TACACACACACACACACACACACACACACACACACACACACACACACACACACACACACACACACGCACACACACACACACACACACAATTTCTCCCCGTTGGACAGTTTTGTCAAACATTCTACTGCAGCGCCGAAGGTCTGCCCCGCTGATGTCATGCAGCGCCCTGAAACTGCCCTGAGAACAAAAGTAGACAAAGTACCCGAGCGGAATGTTTATTCTCGACCTACAGAAGGACTTAGGGAGTGCTGATGCTAATCACTATCTCTCATTTAGTCGAAGTCCAAGTTCATGTTCCACTTCTCCATGTCACTTTTGCCCCACTACAATTACTGACCAACAACTGCGAGAAGCATTGATGCACCACTTCGTGTATATCGGAGTGACTCCTTGGTGGATGTTTCCGTTTTTTTTTAATTTTACCACCAGGAAACTGCGCACTGCTATAGCAACAGAAAGTGGCAAGTGACAACCATGATGGTAGGCGATGGTGGTAGCAAATGCATGCAAATGCGTGGGATGATGATGGACTTTCTCGAAGCGTAGTCCGAACGCCGACTAGACGCTCGGTTCCTAAAGAGAAATGCGCTCGAGTGAGCGGATTGTGTAGAAGCTGCAAGAGCCGTCGGCTGTCCGTCTGTAGTCAGTCCAAGTGTCGGCCGTGGTGGATCAGAGAGTTTTAAACCTCCCCAGCTATTTAGACAGGGTGTGAAACGCCCGACCCTGAAATCTCCAACCCATTGTATTGATGGATGGCGAGTCTGTAGTTTGACTCACCGATGCGTAAATTGACACTCGCAAGAAGCAACTAGCGCGTTCGCCACAGAGATCTGTCTCGAAGGGAAGTCAAATACGACAGTCGAGACGTTTTCCACCGGTAAGGCACTAGAAGCCATAACTTTGCCTTTGTTTTCTGCTTGAAATCAAGGGCTTATATGCAAGGGACTTGTCGGTAAAACTGGTGTGTTAACAGCCGCACTAACAACTAATATCAACTCAACAATAATTACGTGCGTAAACTGATCCGCTCCAGGTTTCTATCCGGTCATTCCAAGGCATAGGCACCGACAGGAAAGAACTTGAATGTACATATTCGATGTAAGTTCTACCTAATCAAGTCTCTGACCGACAAAAGACATAGATTGAGAGGGACACTTTTATGTTCTTTCCTTTAGTTAGGAAGACACAGCTTCTCCAGTCAGCTACGACCTCTCTGTAAGTCCTCCAACCGCCTCTTCCCATCCGACGGCTGGTTTTTTGGCCTCTCCACGAAACTGCGCAAACGTAACTCCAGTCTGGGCAATCGCGGTGCTTCTCCCTACACCTAGCATGGATCAACTGCGATTAACCTCTTCATCCTCCTACCCCCCTTGTTTTGCCACTTTTCACTTCATTACGTGACATGCTCGCGACAGCATGTCACGTCGTACTGCTCCACGTCTTCCACCGATCCTTGCTGCAACCGCTGCTGTTAACACTTTAACTGCTGATCTATCGAGTTATTTAAAGCAACTTTTAACTGCAAGCATTACCGTTTAAACAGCAGAGTTTGCTAGACTTCATTCAGTATATTGGGCCATTGAATGCTAACAAATCTGAGAGTTACAACGTCACTAGTTTGAAGCAAACACTTATTCCGGTTTGTGATTATGCTGTTGAGCTTACTCCTCCCCATTTCGATAAGTGAATTCAAAGTAGCCCATAAATGAGCCGGTCATGTGATGGTACTTAGTATAAAAGTCAAGACGACTAAATCGGAAGAAGTCAGTTTTACCATTGTAACCGTATTTCAGGTTTTAAGATAGTGCCTAGGACAAAGGAAGTGGATGAAATTTGGTACGGATTAAGTAAATAGGTCCTGAAAGGTAAATTTCCGGGAAATATCACCTTTTGTCACGGTACGAGTATGGCAGTTTTTCGAATCATTCAGTCTGGTCTTTTTGACTCCAGACTGTCCCCTTCTACCGTTCTGGATTGATGGTGCTTTGGCTGGAGCATAAACTGCAGTAAGTTTGCAAGTCACAGTGCTGCTTCAATGCAAAGATCTGAAGCTGAGCACGCTTTAAGACCGCGTCAAGCTCTCCACCGGGGCGGAACCACAATCAGTAGGAACTGAAGCGCCTGCACGCGCATTCGATCATTAAGCTAACACTTTCTTCCACTATTTCCGTTTAACCTTTTCATATTTTATTGCTGTGGGTTTACGGTGCTAGCATGCGAAACGCATATGCGCTTTTGTGATCCGCTTAGCGGGATTCGACTTTTTCGGGAACCGGTGAAGCCTTGTTAACACGGCGCATTCGCACTGTTTTCGGCGAGAAGTGCTGTCGAGATGGGTGATTATTAATACCGCACATTTTAAAGGTAGCTTTTTGGAGTTCGTTCCTCGACAGGTAATTTCAATCTTAAAATTGACCCACTCGTGCAGGAGATCTGGGCTAAGATTGTGACAATGGGTACTGACCACCTGAAATTGGTTGTGTTAGAAGTAGCAAATTCATCGAACTTGACACTGAAATGCCACGTTGACATTCTAAATAATTATAGAATTAAAAAAGAAATAGAAAAGATGGGTAAATTGAGTCTTACAAGATGAGCTGTTCTACAGTTACCTCTTCTCTTGCTATCAAGCATGGTAAGGGTGTTTAAATTACGCCATTGAGCGCAAATAAAGGGAGTATCTTGAAGATTGTGCTAGTAATGTAAGCTCGACCGATTTATTTTCGTCTGCGTTCTGCCTACTGATCAATATGAGTAGTATATTTATTGCCACATTTATTATTTATTTCGACACTTACAAATCCATCTACGTTGAGTCGTTTAACGGAAGCGATTGTGCCAGATAATACGATAACTTAACATTTTTCTACATTAAAGCTTACAAAAGAGCCAAAGGCGAATAGACAAATTACACAGACAGACCTCCACGAAATAGGTCGGAGGGGCGAAATGATGTTGAATCGCTATTACCATAACACTATGGCCAGTAAACGAACAGTTTTTATTAGAATTTGTTATTAACTGATGCCTGTGTGCGCAAGCTTTAATCCTGCCCATATTTCCACCCAGCACAATCAAAGGGAGAACGATGTCAACGTGAACGTCTTTATTGCCGACCCGTACCCCCGCAAGGTGAGGGTACGACTGTTGATCAAGCACCAAAGACAAGGTAACCCCATTTTCAGGCATCTATGGTATTTTGATTACCCTTAGCCTTATTATGACCAGTAGTATATTTAAAGCCTCCCAGTGTTGCTGACCAATCAAGGGAAATGAATGCTAGCGCACGTTCTGCGAGGCTGTAGAACGTGAGGAACTAATTACGTAGAAGGAAATTTCCAAGGAATCGGAATAAGAACATTTCTTGGGATTTCAGACAGCCCTTGTACAATTGCATATCGCATTTTACGAATCCTACAAGTCGGTGACGCGGCTGCCACAGTTGACGGGCCAGCTTTGGATTGTTAGATAAGTGGCTTGTGAAAAGACGTGACCTTGTATTCCAACGGTACATGGAAGGATACATGATTGGCTATCCCCAACCGATCCACTCACTACACACCCAACACCAGAAATGCGCAGAAAGGCCAATCAATTACAGCTGGAGCCTATCCATTCGATACCACTCTCAAGGGTGTAAAAGAAACCGATTCTTGAAAAACTGCTAAGTGTAGTCGGTCAGTCAAAAGAAAGCGCTCTTCTTGCATGCCAGCATCACAATACGGAGACAATTTGCACTTTGTTCAGAATAGGAAGGAGGGAGAGAGATTCGCTGCCTCATCCCAATCCTCCGCATTCCTCGCATGACCTTCCTCCAAGTGACAATCACCCTGTCTTGACCCTATCATTAGCCAATCACATGACCATATAAAGTTAAATCGACAGTCATGAAATAGGAATCAGATATAAACGCTGATAGCCAAGGCTACATCACATAAGTAGAAAGCAAGTAAAATGCCAACCTTCTACTTTGCCTCGATTCGTAATGTCAAAGATGTAGAAAGCATGCATAACCATCAAGTTAAACCAGCCTCCATAAAGATTTCGTGAATACCGCTGAGTAGACGCCCCTTCTTAATCTCGCCCCAGGGTTCAAGATCGGTGGACTTGATGAGGCAGCAACTGACCTCCAGTACGTACGGTCGCAAGCTATCCACGCCGAAGACGGTGCAGTCAAAGTGACCTTCCGGTGTCACCCACCGCGTCCCGATGTCGGTGTGAGGGGGCACTGCGACTTTGGTGGTTGGGAAGTGCAGGTAGCGGTCGGGATAGACCACCTTGCCAAAACCGCACAGCGCCTCGACCTTCCACACCGTCGACGTGGCTAGCAGAATCGTCAAGATGTGGGACGCTGTGACAAGCATCATCTGAGAACGAAGTAAACTTTAAAATCTATTTATTTATGTGGCTTGGGTAAAAGACAAAAGGTTTGAAGGTGAAATCCTCCGTTGGTTCACTATAATTTGGACTTATAGGTAAATGTATCCTAAGTGGAGGAAGGAAAAGAAAGGAGTCTAATTGCATCAAACATTGGGTTTACTGGTTCACCTTATGCTTGCAGTGAGCTTCAGATACTGCTGGAAGCGTAAATGACTTCACAACTCGAAAGATTAAGCTGATAGTAAACGACGCCAGCTTACCGAGATTTTAATCTGCAGCTGAAAATTTGAATTTTGCATCAGCATATCGATGAGGATTTGAATTTTCGATCACAACCGGCTATCTCTCTCTCTCTCTGCTAAGGTTAGTCATGCAAAGACCAAATCAGTTTAAAAATACGGGTATCTCAGTCGAGAGCTGGGACTTCATGAGAAAATTGTTGAAAAGAGCAACAACATAGGATCAAATGACACACATATGGGTGAACTTACCGCAATTTTGATCTATGCTTAAAAGCGCAACTATAGTCCAATTCCTCCACCACTTATGCATCCATCAACCAGAGAGGATTTGACTCGTTGTCATTGAGAAATCACACCTGGCTTATTTGGGAAACCCTGTTGCCCTCACATTGACTGAAGACATCGACTTACCTTACTTCATGTCTCATGAGGTGAAGGTACTTTTGTTTCCACAACTTAGTCCACGTGTGAACTCACTAGGGATTGGATCAAATGAAAAAAATTCACCCAAACACTCAGCCACCACACCTTATTGCTGAAGGTAAATCGTGAGAAAGGCATCCATCGGCTCCTGACCGCCTGTACAAAGTTGATCAGGCACTCATTTTGAACGTAATGCAAATTACTTAGCTAATGAAATAACTAGTTAGTCAGATACGACAACCTCTCAAATAAATACAAGACTCATCAACTACCCGATTGGGTCGGGAACCTATATGCATAAGCCTTGGTCCTAAGACAGCAACACGCAATCTCCTTTCTTTCGGGAATCTAAAGATCAAGAGTGAGAGGAGTTGCAGGCAACCTGCGTTTCTCCTAACGACTAGTCGAACAGGAATTGGCTTTTAGGCATCAGCATTTAATTTTAAGAACTTCGGCCGAAAAAAGTTCCAACAGTCATACCGTGAATGAGTAGCAAAAACAGACATAATCAAACCTTATCTGAGAGGATATCAAAAGATTTCACCTAGGAATGTTGATTCGCCTTCAAGTCTCGAAAAAATGCTTTCCTGTATGACACATCGAAAGGTGAAAAGGACAGCCTACTGCGTTGCCCTAAATAAGACTGTTTAAATTCACCACCATGTACAGGCACCCCTCTGACCCAAACCATACCACTACGCAGTCAATAAAATCAACCTAAAATTACATATTCTACAAAAGTGGCTGCAAAACAAGGCAGCTTTCCATCACTTATTCAAAAACAAGTAAACTTTGCCGCAGATTTGACATCGACTAACCAGTACATTAAAAAAGGGTAACCAGCGTAACCAGTTAGTACATGCTTCTGAAAGATGATAAAGCACAGTTAAACTCTAATAATACATAATGAGAAAACTGAATGTAGCCTGTTCTTCGACAAAATTTCTAGAAAACGACTAATAACTTAAAATTGGTCTTTTGTGACATAGAACCTAAGCATTAACAAATTACTACATAAAAATGCTCATATATCTCGCCTCTAGGCATTTTTTAGCGGAATTTAGGAACTTCTTAAATTTAGGAATCAAAAGATAGATAGCGAATGACATTATTACAAGTGTAGATTTAAAAAAGAGAACAATAGTCATCGATTCCCACATCTGTCCTCATTATCACCGGAGACCCGCTCATTCAGAGCTTCCAGCTGTTTATTCAGAAGGGCTCGTCGATCAATAAAGCCGTAACGACTCTTTCCAAAGGAATTCGGACCAGAAGAGGTAGGTGTCTCCCTATAATTTCGTGTCAAAAAAATGGTTTATCGCCTACCGGCCCTTGTTTCGCATTCGGATTCGGGCTTCCATGGGCATCTCTTCCTCCTCACTCTAAAAGAATTTTGCGTGTTCATAGAAATATGGAATCGATTAACACACCTCTTCGTCCTGCCCGAAGACTTTAGCGACGTCGCCACTCAAGGGTTGAAGTTTGAAGTTCTCCTTCTTGGCACCATCGGACAGGGACTAGATGACGAAATTATCAGAAAATGAAGGCGCACAAACAAACCTTGTTGGGCAGACTGAGAGAGATTCTCTTAATGGGAAGGCATGGCTTGGTTTTTTTCGGGACACTTGGAGGAACGGGAATGGAGGAAAGGCTAACGGAGGACTCTCGAGTCTGTGGTTCGGCTTCGGAGTGCTTCCGCTTTAAGCTGAGAGAGACTACCTTTTCGGGGGACTTGCTTTTATTCATGCCGGGAGTGCACCCAGTGGTGTGATAAATAGAATATCTGGAAAAAAATAAAGGATTTGAGGTCTATGACATCAAAAATTGGTGAGTTTTACGGTAATCCGTCGCGATTATAGCACTAATATTTGAGTCCTAGCCTTCATAAAAGTGACATTATGAAGTAGCTAAGATTAATGCCATTTCTGCAATAGAATTTCACAAGCACGGTTTTCTGTGTATACCATGAATTGTCTAGTTACTTAGTTAAAAATGTGAGTCCAAATAAAATGCTTTAACTCACGCATTAAACGAACTGACTGCATACAACAAGCAAATTAAGTAGGTTTAACAACTGTCGTAGTAAAATGTCAATCAAAACTAGAAGTCTGTGGTCTTGACAGTTTTAAAAATCCAATGGCCAAATAAATCAGCTAAGTACTAAAAAGACATGCCAAGAAATAATTCCACGGTGACAGATCACTAGGGGGACCGAGCCAAAAACGTCCTATTTGAGAACTATTACTAGGCACACACATACCATAATAAACGCCTACGGCGCAAAACCAATCAAATCAAGCGCAACACCAACACATATGATAAACTGAATCATTCATGGGTCCCTTTTCGATACTATAGTAAAATGTGTTTCAGAGACAATGGAATTACGCTAATTATAAAAATCTACTTAAAAATTGCCACGGACCTAACTTCGAAGTATTAGTGATGGCTCATAAGATTAACAAATAAGAGCGAAACGTAGAAGGCAAACTATTTTCCCTAGCTTTACAATAACAAGTGATCCTCTTAAGGCAAAAAAAAACACAATTTAATCTTCGAAATAAAGGTGTTCAGGAAGGTAGCTTTTGTTTAGCAATTCTTTATGGTACGAACCCAAGTGCCGAAATTAACAGCGTAAAGGAAAAGTCTTGTTTTATTTGACAAAAGTACGGTTACCTTTAAGGCCAAGTTGAAGATAATAACTTATTTTTTAAGGTAACACGTTGTGTTCTATCGTACTTTTGGGTCTACTTTGGGGATCTTAAACACATTAAAAATTAGGCATCTAAGTTTTTTAACGTCTAAGGGTGCCACTTACACAAACACCTACCAAATATTATGTTTTTAAGTCGCCTGAGATGATCTGCATTTATTTGGAAAAATTGGACTATTTTTTTGTTACAAAATATATATTCGTGGTTGTTATAGTCGTTTGTTTGCCTCGGCGGGGGCGCTTTTTAAGTGCTGCGTGTTGGATAATGGTTAAGTATTCGTGGGAGCCCAAGACCGAGGATGAGTCTCGTACCTGCAAAGCCCGTGGATCTTACTGGCGTGTGCACTTCAAGAACACCCATGAAGTTTGTCAAGCCATCAAGGGCATGACTCTTTCACGGGCTCAGGCCTACCTGAAGAACGTCATTGCCAAGAAGGAGATCGTGCCATTCCGTCGCTTCAATGGCAGTGTTGGTCGGCACGCTCAAGCCAAGGCCTGGGGTGTTGTACAGGGTCGTTGGCCCAAAAAGTCTGCCGAAATGATTTTGCACCTCCTCCACAATGCCTTTAGCAATGGCGTGAATAAGGACATCAAGGGCGGTGAGGCTAGCCGATTGTACATCAAGCACATCCAGGTACTGTTATTACTTCTCTAATCGGAGTTCAGGCTAACCCTGCTCCTGCCATGCGTCGTCGCACATACCGTGCCCATGGTAGAATCAACCCCTATATGTCCTATCCCTGCCACGTTGAAGTGATTCTAGCCACCAAGGAGGATGTTGTTCCCAAAGTAGCAGCTACGGCCGCTCAACCAGTGAAAAAGGAGTCCAAGAAGAAGCTTAAACGTCAGGCTATGAAGGCTGATGATTTCTAAATCTGGAGAATAATAAATAACTTGTACATGGTTTGTTCCGAGCTATCTGTTATGGTTATTATGGAACGGTTGTAGTTCAGTCGGACTTTGCTGTCAACTATTGTTGCGGTACTGCTGTGTTGTGTCCCATAATTCCGTTTTCTGTGCATCTGCACAGAGCCCCGCCTATCATGGTCTTCAGAAAAGGTCTAGGGTAGTTTTCCTAGTCGTGAAGCAGGTCATTCACCTTTTGTGGTATTCTTGATTACCTTTTTGTTTTTTAAGCTCAGAGGAATTCGTGAACTTTTCTCTGAGATGAAGCAGCACCGCCACTACCCATAGGAAAGCCTAGATTTTATGATGTCCTGACATGTTAGTTCCCCACTTTATGCGCTGGAGTGTGTGCTGGTTGTTAGTGCTGTTTTAAGCTTGATTCTGTTAGTCAATCGGTTATTTCATTTTTTGAATTCTAACACTTGTCAGATCCGTGATTGTGTGATTAAAGGACGCCGATAAAAAGTTTTATTTACAAAGTGCATGATTGTGTTTGTTACAAGGGATCCCAGTTTGTCGCACGATTTGTTTGGGTGTTAACTTCGGTCCTGCACACTTGCAACGTTAAATTTGGTTAAGTCTGATTTTTCCAGTATTTCCTTCAAATTGATTCTGGCTTCAATTACTTTGCAATTATCTTCATCGCTGTCTCATTACTTTGACGATGTAAGGAAAGGGGGTTCAGCGGCAAATCGGACGGTAATTTCTTCTTGCAGGTCATCCTTGCTGACAAACTCTGGAATCGTGTTAATTTTTCCGAGTAGTTGCACACACTGCACCTTCAGTGAGGTAAAATGCGGAATTTCGGCGTTGCGCACTTTCGACATTCCAAATACGGGGTGAGGATTTCTGGAGATTCTTGAGATGTCGAAAAATTTATTTTTGGAAATACGCGTTGGTGGTGCGTCATGGTGTCATTTGGGGCCATAGTAAGGTGGTGCAATGGTGACTTCATTAAAGCCGCTTGCTTTTGATCGGCCTTGGTCACTGTCTCTTCATAGAAGGTTTGGTGATTTTTGTCCGGAGGCTCTCTACAAGGTGACGACACAGATGGTAAGTTGTCGATGGTTTCGCTTCTTCTTACTGATGTCTAATAACCCACTTGGTCCGTACTTGCCAAATCTAACTCGAAAGGGGATCATCTTAGCGCCTTATGGTCTCTCCTTCGATTGCCTTCGCAGTCTAAGTAAATTGGAACTTTTTGAGTACATTATTCCTGTAATGGTGGTGTTGGTCATTAGGTGGCAATACATTGGCGCGAATGACGCCTCGCGGTTGCCTGTCGCACTTCTCCAGACGATCATTGGGAACTTTGATTGGGTGACATCCGAGCTCCGAAGAGTAGCCAGGATCTTACGTGCAGGAGAATCGTTGGTGAGTCTACATTGAACGGTTTAAGGCTAGCCTCACTTTGTTTTCTACCGCACGTACTATCCAACTACCAGGAGAACACAGACACAGTACTGGAATGTGCTAACGCATGTCTAGTAGGGGGAATAAGTCTTCTTACTCATAACTCCTGTGCTACGAGGTCTCAAAGTGACTTCTGCAGCGCATTAAATGCAGGATTGGCTTCAATTTGTTCTCTCGTCCATTACTTAGTGGTTGATATGCTCCTTTCAAATCCGGTTAGATGTCTTACCCTCTCATCTGCAGTAGTCACGGATTTCCACTCCATCTTAACGCTGATAGGTGGGATTTTAGGCTGCCTTGGAGGTTGTTGATGAACTTCAAACGTCCCATTGACTGATCCACCACTTTCCGCCAATTCACAAAGGGGTACTTCAGCCATTCCGAGATACGATCCTTCCTTCGCCTCAATTAAGAGCACTTTCAGGCTGGACGATCGCAGGTGTCTATACAAATAAACCAAAGTTGATGGATTGTTCTTCTCAGAATCCATTATATGATATGGATGGCATTTGAGGGTGCTGAGACGCACGAGTGGGGAATACCCACTAATTCACCCGATTTAAGGTATTTTCGAGGATGTTTACCTGTCCAGCTGAGGAGAGTCCCTGAGAGTGATCAGTCTGATATCAGTTGCCGGTGGCTCGTAAATCCTGGACACGTACTCTGGGCATCTCCAGAAGGTGTAGGCAAAACAAAAATCCACCTGAGGTGCGAATTCCTCTACACTCAGTCCTATCGACAGTTGTCTCTTTCCCCTTTGATGTGACCTATTAGAGGCTTCGTCGAAATCTCTCAGTCTGCCTTTCTTCTGGTGTTGCTCGAGATAGTCTCTACGGTCAGAAAAGAGGATGCAGATTTGTCAGATTTGTAATCAACAACTTCACTTCTTAGGCATTTTAGGAATGATAAGTAGATACTGTTAAAAATAATTTGAAATCACTCTTTTCGGTTCAGACTAGGAAAATATGATCGGTGTGGGTACTTCTGGTACATCCGTATCCGAACGATTGTGAAGTGTTCACAAGGGAAATAAGGTTTAATGGGTGAAGATGGTCTTTACTGGAAGTTTTGGCAGACTTAGGCCTACAACGAGCGTGGAGAGTTGCCTTATGTGTGCAGAAGGAGATACGAACGTGTAGAGCAAAATCACGGTTTACTTGAATAAGGCAAAGGCGCCAACTTAATTTAAAATTTGTTGAACTGCCGATCTATTGGTATACAACCAAAAAAGTGCGAAAAGGGCATCAAAAAATACCAACTAGGTTAAAACTTATCTTCAACATGAATTACTTTGTCTGTTTAACTCTTCGTTTTTCATTACGTGGGCACTTAAGGCTCAGTGACATGGCTTCCAGGCCATGCTGGCAGCCGCTCTGTCCTTCTGGAATTCTCAGGATGCTACAATGGTGGCAGTGAAAACGGATTCGATCCTAAAGAACAACTCCCCTGGCTTCTACTCCAAAATTGGTCAATCTTAACATGACGGTCGAAAGGTATGTCCTACGGATGGAAGAATCTGTGATGATCCCTAACAGAAGGGTTGGCAATAACGCCTACCTTTTGCATCTACTCCATTCCCGTGTTCTGCAGAAAGGCTATTAAAACAGAAGCGACATTAACCGTGAACTATCTAGAAGAGTTCATTACGGAGCTGTCTACGGTGCATGTGCAAAGATGTCAATTAAGTGGACACGCGAACCCCCCTCCCCTGCCTCTCCATTAGCTAAATAGAGCTCAGATGGATATGGTGGGCAGCACCAAAATGGGACCATAAAGTTAATGGGAAATAAATCCAAAACCCCATCGTCATAAAACAACTTTAAACTCCGCCCTTTATTAAATGACTCTGTTCTGAGGTCAGTGCATCGCGACTAGCAATGGACATACGCGATGGCCAGCAGATCGCCATTTCACCCTAATACTGTTCCCAAATAGGACCGGAGTTCAGACCCAGTTAAACTGCCGAGAGGGATCAGTGACGTTGCAGTCAGATATCTTTGCCGATGCACGCAAATTCGATGAGTGACTCGGCTGGTTTGTGGATGGTCTCATTATAGCACCAACTACGTTAAGATGGTTGCTGCGAGCGTTAAGCCAAGGGAAACTAGATAATAATTGGATTATCTGTTTAACTCTTTTTTTGTTTTCGGACACTTGAGGCTTTGTGATTGTACTTCCGACGGGCGGCATAGCTCCCAGGCCATGCCGATAGCCCTCGGCCCATCTCTACGTCAGCAACGCATATTGTGGTGAAGCATCATGGCTTTTGGCCTTTTCAGTGAGGTCTCAGGATGCTCTAATACCATGGATAAATAAACTGACTAATGGCACAATCCAATACTGCAATGACCCGATACCTAGCTAAGATTTCCAAAAACATAGGCCTTTGACAAATGTTAACTTGATTTTCGTGAAAAAAGAGCGAAATCAGCACAATGCACGCATTAAATGAAGATTCTATTACCTAGAAAAAGTTGTATTCTGCAAGATTGTTCATCAAAGTATTTGCACTTTGAAACAAAATCGTGCAGCCAGAAATAAGTTATTATGGCTGATTTTAACGAGATATATTGGCTCTATTACTCCCCTTACATTACCAAATGTCGTATTGTTTAAGCGTATGAATTAGTAACTTAGAGCGTTCCGCTTAGTACAAATCTCACTATTGAATGCTGGGCTTATCGACTCTGTGAGCTGATCTGCCAATGCTCAAATATTTACCAACAAGCGTGTTTAACCGAGCGATATATTAACAAGTCTGCTAGAGTAAATAACTGTTGGAAATTTGGATATTAACACATAGGAGCTTAAATGCGTCTTCATGAAAGAGAAAACACATCATTCAGTTTTCAATACATGTACCGATAAGCAAGCTGGAATGCGATGCGTCAGCTCAATGAGGTGTTCACTCACCGAAGGAAGCGGTCAATGGGGGCACGGAATCCCACCCAGTAGACGACCTGTCCGACGATACGTTGTTGGTGCTGCTGTTCTCCCTCCTCAACGTCTCGATGCTGCTTTGTGGCGCGAAATCGGCCCACTCGGCTCACTCGAACTGAATGCTGTGCTGTGCCGTCTGTGTTAGTCGCTATAATGTATGAGAAAGCGTAAATGAGCACTGAAACTACTTGCCCTATGTTACCTACTAGCACTGATGCTGAGTCAAGGCGAGAAAGGGGTTTGAAAAACTTGGAAGAGTTCGCAATGCATATTTCCCATGGTCTTTCCTGCTCGAAATCGGTACTCTTCGACTACTTTTCTCCGAAGGTTAATTATCTGCCATCGTGAGGATTGGGACTGCCCCAAAGCCTACACGCTTACTATTTACGCTCTCTGTCTCCCCTGCTCCGACCCAACGTGATTCTGTCGCTATCCTCTATTAAACGATTGTTCTCGCGAACAAAATTTGTAACTATTCTGGGCGTTCTGCGTCTGTAACGGGGGCTGGGTCACTGTGATCTTTGTCTTGGATCGCTTTTATGACAAGTGCTTATCCGTGTTTCCAAATCTTGTGGGAGGTTTATGGCGTGTAACCAAAGATCCTATGAAATAATTTGTCACCGAATTTGGCCGTTGCCAATGCGATAGTCTATTAGGAGAAATAAGACCCCCAAGGAATATTCACGTCCTCTTCATCCTCCTACTCTTCCCCCTTCTAATTCGACATGATTAACTGGCTGTCTTCCAAAGCTTTTTTCGCCTGCCTATTTACCGGGGTTGGCTTTTTCACAGTAGATGAAGCTACTGTACGCGGGATACACCAGTAAAATTGGCAGCCCCTTCCACGAATACTTGTTATTTCTGTTCCAAGTTGGTATCTTGCTACTTGACTGCTAAATTTTGCGATAAAAATCCTCCGATTTCTCTTAGGCAATAGAATGCTCATATGTCCATTACGAAGAACGAGACCGCCCTGTGGAGTATACCTTCAATCTCCCGTCTTCTCTTTCGACCCAATAAGCCTGACATCCTCTGGGATTTGTGAGTCTGTCGAGGTGTCAGTGCTTGCAAGCAACCATTGAGGTTATTCAGAGCTCTTTGCGTTCTTAACACTGGCTGAGTTAATGATGCCGATGCCAAACGCTTACCTGTTCACTCGTGCAGTCCCAAAAGAAAGCAAACCGCCGGAGTTCAGGTAATTCCTTTTTCTATTATGAATCAAATAATTAGCAAGTTTGTTCTTCTGTCCCAGTCTTATTCATTTTCTGTTTCCCATGTGTGAAATGCGGTCCCACATATGTGCAACATTGGCAGGGTACTTGTCATGCCATCAGCAATAACAATCGGCCTCTCCTTATCAAGAGAATACTTATGATGTAGTAATACGTTGTTTGTTCAACTGTCGGTCTTGGGTAACGGGCCACTTGGAGGCTCCACAACTGTACCATGCTGATAGCCCCAATCTCTTCTGCGTCACTAGTGTGCATTTGGTTCGAGTATTATGTCCGGGAGCTCTACAGCATCTCCATGATGAAAAGCGAAGGCCGCATAATGCAATAGACCTAATTAGAAGGATGATAACTGGTCTGAGGGCTGAGCATCTACATCTCAAGCTCGGAATAATCGTAGTGATGGTATATTAATATCCAATTCATATCATTTATCGAATTACTTTGACTTGCGGATGGTGTCTGGAGGTATGTTCTTGTCATCGGATACGATTCAGCCTTCTGCATGAATGTCGTTGAGACTGCTTATCCATAGTTTTAACTTTTACCTTAACAAAAAAGCTGCAAAATGGGAAGGAGTAGTAAAGTGCCGTCTACAACTGTGGTTCATTCTTTATCTTATTACTACTTTCATATTTTGTGGCGTGATGGAAAAACCTTAATTTCATTTCATTTGTAGGTTGTTCTTACATGCGTATGATTCCGGTCGAAGCAGATACTGCAGACCCAACTCAAACTCGCCAATCTGTTGTGATGACAAGTCCGGCAAGACCTTGTGAAGTTCTATGCTACAGTGTTTCTGTAGTACAATAAAAACATCATCTTCACTTGACAACCGATATCTGGAAGTATAAAAACCAACAGCTATTTGCCTTCATTCGCTTACATCAATATTCTTGAGCAATGTTTCCTGAAAGAGATAAAGTCATTTGGATGGAAATGACCGATTTCAAATGGCCTAAGAGTTTTTGCAACGGATTTCATTCAATTTTGTACATTTTAACCACTTGAATCCATTTGGATTTACTGTATTCCTCTGTGTTTCTTGTTTTGATAACACATCTAATTACTGGATTCCATACTACATTACTTCACCTCATGAAGGTAAGTCCAAAATGCCTCATCCGTGATGACAGGATACTGGACGGTGAGGTTGAAGTTGGAGCGTCTGCCGCGGACAGTGCCGGTTGATTGTACTTCGAAGTCGTAAAAACGCCACACGCAAAAGACCCCGTTGGGACATGCTTCCAATTGGTCTGGAGTCAAGTCAATTTCACCCAAGTTGATCTAAAAAAACAGGCTGGTGGATATCAAATAAGTGAACTCATTTACGTGATAAATAAAGAAAAAGAAATATAGAATAGGGAAAATGTCAGTTCTGATAATGTAGGAAGCGTGTAAAGAGCTACCTCAAAAAGATTTCTTCCATCTTCGAACGAGGGGCCTTCACTAGGAAAGGATTTCTAAAAGAAATGCTGATAATTGTATCGGGTATTGTTGCTTGAAATTCTTGACTCAAAAACAACGTGTCAATATTCTATTCCTTATGCGTTGGTAATAGCTCAGACTAATGCCGCTTGGAAAGACCTGGCCCCAACCAACTCTTCCATCTGGGCTCCATTTCCCGAATGTCTAGCTCTCTTGGCAATTGTCACTTGGAGGAATGTCATCCGTGGTATGCAGGGGACAAACATGGTGCTGTGAATCTTTCTTTTTCCTTTTTGTTTCGAATAAAGTGCAAATTGTCTCGCCTGTCAGTTTTGTGGTATGAGTAATGAGGTCTTGAGTGGTATAGTTGTGCTTGAACGGCGCTTTTGTTCGGTTGTTTTCTAATAAGATTCCCTTCCACCCTTTCAAGTGTGACTATTTCTTTTGAATGAATTCAAAGCATGCATTATGAAACTGCCACGTTTTGAATTACTTTTTAAGCGGAAACTCATGTATACACACACACAGGAGCACCCATTAACTTGCGTTCATTCCATTACCGCTGTAGGCAAGGCTCTCTGTAAGCCCAGTCCCTTGGCCCGACCACTCCCCGGTTCTAGAAGTGGCGTGTACTTCCCGAATTGGGTTAGGTCGAACTGGGTCGTGGCGTTCACCACTGCCCTCCGATACTCCTCTGGCACTCGGTACTGCGTAATGGGTAGTCGCGCTCGGGCCAACCCCCCTACTGCCTCCGCGTGCGCACCCTTTGTCGCTGAAAGGGTTGGATGGTATAGCGTCTATTAAATCGAAGGACCAAAGATTCCTACTGAAAAAATCTGGGACCTCTTGTGTGATGTGGTGTCCAACTACATTCTAAAGAAAATCCCAACACCGTAACTATGTTGTCAGTCTTTTCACCGCATCTTTTGGATGCTGAGAGCCTTGAATGGTTTTTAATTTGTCTCAACTAATTTTTAAAGAAAATATCCCATATTTATTGGGTTCCTATTATTGGTTGCTGGAACACATTCAATGCTCATTTTATGGTTAGTTTTTCATTTTCATAACGCAAACTTACCACCAAATTTAAATTGATGTGATCTTTTTTCAAAGAGGAATAGCTATCTAATAAGATAATAAAGAAGTCACAATCAGTAGTCTTAAAAATGAAGATTATGCGTATCATCGACTTTCCAGCAAAATAGGTTTTATTACAACATTATAAACATTACCCTCATTCTGAGGTGTTTTTGAAGTCCATGGAAGTACATCCGCATCAGTGTCTCCAGCGGGGTATTCCCTTCGTCTACTCATCCGAATAAGTGCAGCTTCCAAGTCCTTTACACTCAGGCCGACTGACTAAATTGAAGCGGAGACTTTGACCATAAATATGTGAAGATACTGTGCAAATGATTCCAAGATCAAAAGTAGCTATCAAGGTTACAACTAAGCCAAGTCTTCCGCATTTAATAGACAACTATGGTAGTAAGCTTCATTACTTTTCCGACAGTTTGTTTTCTGCAAAAATTGAAGACGATAGACGAATGGGCAAATTGCTTGAAGGTGGTTTGATAGATACTGGGTGGAGTCGATTCTGCAAATAGAAAACTGGCCAGGCGTGAAACGAGATAGAAATGAATAGAAAGGTTAACTAATCTAGAGAGTAATAAAGGAAGACTGCATTAATGAAAGCAAGCATAGATTGAGTAAGAGGTGGTTGCGTAAATTCAGTACGGGTTGATGAATGAATGGATCTGAGACAGCTGGATGGATGTGTAAATGATTTACGATGAGTGGATGAATTCTTGACGGGTATACGGATGGGGAGGTTTCAGATGAACTGATAAGTAGATAGAACGGTTTGATTTTAAATAATATGGCCCAATGACATCGGACCGCACTCATGTACATATCCACGGTGAGTGTGTCCGTGCTCAAGACGGTGGATCGGGACGTTTAAGGCGAATGAAATTTTCTTTATAGCTGACCATATTTAGCCATGCATATCTCTATCCAAGACAATAAGTATCCAAGAGTATTCTGTCACTTAGATAGAAGGCAGAATCACTGGCAGCGTTAGTTTTCTCCACCACAACCAAGTTCACGGAATAAAATATGATTACTTGGGCAAACGGAATTTGTAAAATTAGCCAGTCAGGGCTTAGAGAATTGACTAAATTTTAAATAAAAGGCCAGGAATGAATAGATGATTTACAAAAAAGTAAGGATATCAAAACTAAATAAATTTCCACTGGATGTTTGATTATTTACCAAAATAAGGACAGGGTAGTGAACCATTGAAAGGATGGCAGAATCGGTGCCCCCTCTTACCTCACACAGCTCCTGCAAATTCCGAGAAGGCTGACTGTCCTCCAGACGTCGGGAGAGTGCTTCGATTCGCGTCTCTGCACTCTGTGCTCGCGTCTGCAGGGAGCTGTGGATACGACGCATCTCTTCGTACTGCTTCTCCCGATCACCACGCGATGCGGACATCTTGCGCTCCAGATGCTGCAGTTTTTCTAGCAATAAATCTACCGTTTGGAGGTCGGATCCTCTTGCCAAAGAGCTTTTAAGAGGATGGATGAGGATCAAAAAGGGACTGGACTGTGCATGAATATGTGTTTGTGTACCCGAGATGGATGGGTTTGTGATGGATAGATCTTGAAGGTTTGATACTCGAATGGACGGATAGATGAGAGAGCGATAGACATGGCAAGGTTGAGAGGGAAGGGCTGGAACCGGAATGAATAGTTGAGTCCGAAAGAGATGGACATATCCAGGATGGAAAAATGAATGGGTGAGTGGAGTGGTTATCAGAAGAAAGAATAATATAGAGGCTTGGAGAGCAAGCATACCTTTTTAAAATTTGTTCATTGGATTCGCGTAAGATTTTATTTTCAGTTTCGTATTCGGCCACTTTGTCCTCAAGCTAAAGTAAAAGGTTAACGAATATTTGGGGACTTTATTTTGCATAGAAAAGATGACAAGTTTGACAAATATGTCTAGTTTGGTAGCATTGTACTTAAACTAGAAATATGGTTCTCAAATTATGCAGACAAACGGTGCCGGGAGTTATTTGGCCACATTACTCCTGTATATGCTACTCAAATATATCAGCTACTCCTAAGTCCTGGTTTGCCTTGGTTAGTGGAAGCTCATCCCCTAATTAGAAGCTTTATTTCTTCTTTTTACCATATAAAGCGTCAAACTGAAGAAATAAACATTTCCGTTACACGTAAACAACAAAATTACATTAAGAAACTCCATCAAGTCTTCCGAATCATTATCCCCAAAGTTCTAAAATTGGCATGGAGTGATTTCATTCCCACTTCAATTAATTACCGCAAGTGTTAAAGATTTAACGATAATAAGATTTTTTAATTCATGTATTGTAGCGATCTTATGGAAAAATAGGAAAATGAAGACTGTCTTAATGGCCATTAAATCTAAGGATAAATGCTAAAAAACCACATTAGCGTCGAAAATGAGCATTTCAATGCGAGGTACCATAAGGAATGATTAAAAAGGAAAGGAAGCATAATCTGTAGCCATATATGTGTCAAATAAACACTAATTTAGTAAACAATTGTAATGGGAAAAATCTTACAAAGAAAAATTGACAGCAGTAGGTAAAAATTATCAAATATGTTAAAAGGTGGCGGCATAATCTTCTCCAAACGTATTTTATAAAGTGTCGGTATTTCGGTCTCTTCTTTAACTTTCGCCTAGAATCGAACATTCCGACTGATTATGAAAAGGAGACGAATCTCCTTTTATATAATTAATTGGCTCTCTCATGACGTTGCCCCAAGCACTGCTACAATTAGAGGTAAGAAAATAAATGACCTTCCCCTTACGGACCCACGTACACATAGAGAACGATCGAAAAACTGAAGCCCACTAACTACTGCAGCAGAAGCGGTGGTGCCAATAACAACGACAGTAGCAATGATAGCACCAGCATCACTAATGACTGCTTTACCACCACGTGGAATGAACAAGACGAATCTGACATGGGAAATGAGGTTATCTTACGTTTAAGCATGCAGAAGTGAATACATTGTCTAGCGCTTCAGAGTGATCAAACATATTTTTAGCCAGATTTGTCATTTTAACATCCACAGTTAGTGCAGATATTAAAGAGGAAAAGTGGCATTTCCTCTCTCTTAATTAACTACACAGTTCAGTACAACATGGTTTGTATCAAGCGGCAGTAGTCGATAGATAGATAGATTAATAGATAGATGGATAGATGGGCAGAAAGATAGGCAGACAGGCTGATTGATTAATAAATAAATAAATGTATACGAGCACACCACTAATGCTATGAAATTTACTGGCGATACGTAAGTTGACTAATGGTGCAACTTTTTTGTCAGACCACTTACTGCCACTCAGCTTAACATGAGAAGGATCACGCCACAGATAGGGACCCAAATGCTAGGGATCAAACAACTTGGTAGTATTACGCAGGAGAAAGATAAAACGTGGAGGTAGTACGAATATTGGGTTCCTACATACCGAAGTTATGCATTATAAGGCTTAAGTGAGTTCATTCCCATTTGCAAGGTGACACAGGTGATTGATTGACTTGGAGCAAGGGATGGAGACAGTAGTTAATTTTGAACACCACTCCTAAGAATACAATTGATAAGTAAGTCTGTTTCCTAAGATTGGCTATTCGGTCAGTAAAAAATTGGAACCCTTAAAACTAACTTAAGGATGGGTTGAACACATGGTTCAGAATGCTTTTACCTATGCCATGCAATTTGATCTTAGATGTTACTCACATAGGCCTCCGAAGGTATATTGAACGACCCTATTGTTAATACACAATATTCCAAAGATATTTTAGCAAGGAAATTGTTTAGTAGAGTGCTATAACTTACAAAATGCAGTTTAATTTGCAGTTCATTTTTTCCCATAGAATCTGTCTGCATATCTTGCTTATGAATACTGTGTTTCTCTAGGTCCACCAAATTCAGCTGCTCCCGTGTTGAGGCCACCTGAGTCGTCAAGTGTTCAATTTCCTTCTCCTTCTCTGCAAGTTGTCTTTTTAAACGTATCATTTCAATGTTCTCGGCAAAGGTATCTCTAAATCCAGCAAAAGAGAAATATTTCCATTCACAGTAAGTAAAACCTGTAATATATGATGGTGCTAATGATGAACGACGAAAAATACCTCTGTTTGAATGCATCTTCTGCTTCTTCTTTATCACGAATTATCTTATTCTGATTGTCGACTACCAGCTCCAGTTCCTTAATGCGGGATTTCATTTGTATGTTCTGATTGTTAAGTTGCTTTATGGCTTTCTCTCTAAGAAAATACAAGAATAATAGGCAAATATCAAGACCAAAGTTAAGAAAGAATTAATATGATACCCATCAATGTAATGTCTGTAATGTGCTTAGAGTTTTTGGCAATTTATTGGTAAATATTGCAAGAAGCAGTTGTTTGAAAGTCACTTAAGTCAAAATATAATTCTATGGCTTTGTGTGTTTCGCCGACAAGCAAATGCATTCGTATGTAAAGCACTGGATCAACTGATATGAATAAGATAAAAACTAACAATGCTGCGTTTTGGACATTTTGCCTTTTGATTTTCCGTAAAAGAGGTGTTGATTTATCCAAAGGTGGTTCTTCGTCCTTGGAAAGATAGAAACGCACTACCGTAAAGTGAACCAAATTCAATATATTTGTTGTAAAAAGAAAAAACACACTAAATATTACAAACAACGTGTAATATCACGAGAAACACCGCGCAATCCTAATATTTTACCAAGCTATTTTTGTAAGAACAAGAGTCCCAAAATTGCCAACTTTGTATATAATATCATCGTCGTACCTTTTTGGTATGTTGATCTCCTCGAAAAACGTCCTCCTTCGCCTTAGCATATACATCGGAAAATTTCTTGTTATCCGCTGCAATTCTCATAATTTTTGTGCTAAGCCTTTAAGAGTTGCAATAAAGTGCAGATACTCCTACGTTTTAATTTTACTGTTTTGTTCTGCAATAACTCGGCGAAACTCCTGATTTTCATCATATAAACGCAAGTAAGCATCCTCCAGCTCGTCTTTAGTCCATTCTCGAACTTTACCAACACGAATAGCCATTAATTTTTTCGCCTACTTAACCTGCGCAATCCACACACGAGAAAAATACATTTCAATTTTCATCAAGTTACGTTACTATTAGCAACAAATGGACAGACCAATCGCATTCTAAGGTTGCAACATGCATTCTAATCGACAAAATATGATGATGTTTTTGAGAGAATTGGCAAAATCAAATAAATGCATTGACTTTTCACTCAACGCCTTTGTAGGCTGCAAAAGGGCGTAACTTGCCGTGGAGTTCATAAAAACGGCAAAATAAATTTCATCAGACGATTCTGGTATGGAAGAGTTTGCTTTCTTCAACTTGCTTAAAATGCCTATATAAATATAAAACTTATGCTACAATTTTTGCGCCTCACGCTGTGGCGTCCACTTTTTTGCTTTCTAGATGCCTCATTTGTAATCCCCAATTGTTATCCCTTTAGTTATTGAAAACGGCATTTTACTAGTAGTCTGCATAATTGCCCCTCATAATTTTTCCAGTCTAATGACGCTATCGAACATTTGTATTGCATTTTACTTTTGTATTCGGCTTCAGACCCTTGTATCCTGAAGATTGTCTACAGGAAGCCGGCTTCTATTTATGGTTTATTTAATTTTTACGGGGGATAATTGTTTATCTCTCCCTTAGAGATCGGCAACGTCCACTCATCTGAAGCTGGCGGAAACTTCCCATTCGTTGAATGTACCTTTAATTGAAAAGCTATCAGTTTATGGCAACCACGTGACGGAGCGTACGCCTTTAGCCCCAGAGGAGGAAACTAGCCCCGACCCCCTTTAAATCTTAATAATCCACAAGAGCTCGTTTCATTCACCAAATAAAAATGCAAATTTTCACACGCTTTGTGTGTCTAGAATATGAAACCGGAAGTGAAAGGGAGGAACACTGAACCTATTACACTCGTCGTCTTAAAGGCATATTCAGCAGAGCATGCATCACAGCCAAATATGGGTTACAGAGCGCCCAAAACTGTCCTTGAAGAAGGAAGATGCCATGATCCTAGGACAGAACATATGCATTCGCGATACAGAGGGGCTTGGCTACAGGCGTGACCCAGAGGCCAGCTTACTCGGCTAAGGTACGGTAGTGGGGACCCAAGGTGATCCCTTTACCGGAAGTGAGAGATAAACAAAGATTTAACGTTTTATATTGTGTCTAAAACCGAACAAAGTCTTCTTTCTTCGACACCCTTTGCATTCCTAAGTAGTGGCGTTCGATATTTATTGAGAAGTCTTGGGGTAAAAGGATTTTAGTAGTGTTAGCACCTTTTGGAAGGGCAAAAATTCACTCAATTTTCGTGAAAATTAAATGGATTTATGGGTCCCACGATTTTTAAATTCAGCTTTATATAAGCAAATAATTTAAACAACTCAAACCTTTTCTGCTTTCCATTATTAAATATCCTAGCAATTTTTTTACCACTCCTATTATATGGGTTTACCAATTTTACGATTGTCAAATAAACTTTATTCACCAAATGTTTTCTCAAAATCCTTTCACCCTTGCATTTGTTCACACGCAAACCCATTTTACACCCCCTACTTAAAACTTATAAGTACGCTAGTCACTTTTGAGATGCTTGCTTATTAGCTATGAAAAAATCGTGTTTTGACCATGTTTCTATGACGATCAACCCACCATCAGTTTTGTCGCCAGATAATGCAATACCAGACATGGACATTCCAGTGATTCCCTTAGAAATCAGACAGTTGAATCCCATAGTAGTAGGATGCGCTGTTAGTGTTGTTTTTGGTGTCCTCCAGTTTGCCCTTTGTGTTGGTGTTTTGACCAGACCGCCGATGTTTATCCCAAAAACCGGGGAGCACGAAAGTCGACCCTTCTACTCCTTACCCCTTTTGTGTGCCATTTGTCAACAACCCAGGCTGTGGGACGGGTACGTCTAGAACGTCTGCTCTATCATGCATCTTTTCCACTTTGCATCGTTTCAGGGCCTCGTGTTTCTTCCTTTCTTTTTCGCACCTTTTTGTTTGTCTAGTTGCAGTAGGCCGAAATGGGTGCTCTGGCTCTGCATATTTGAGGTGGGTTTTGGTGTAAAGGACTTACGTAATTCTCTCCTCTCCAAGGTTGAATAACTAAATGCATCCAAGCGCGTTTTATGCCACTACTACGCCCTAAAAAAAATGTTAGTCATTCGTCTTATGTCGAATGTAATTATTAATCTTATCAACTACTAACATTATATACACTAGGAGGTTTTTTTGTAGTAGCCTGCAGTCGCCGAAACTAATCATTAATTGGTGTGCGCGCTGTATCGAGGATCTCAGGGGAATCCCTGAAGTGTGCACCTAGCAGCTTAACTTTTCCTCGTCTGAATCATGTAGTCACTCTACCATCCCGTTTTTATGTCTATACATGGGGTTGAATGCAACTCCTCTGGGGGCCCTTTTTTCATTGGTTTACGTTAAAAGTGGAGTGGGTCCTTCTAACCGAGAATCTTACACGTAGCACCACCTTGGACTAGTCTGATCATGGTCCATGTTTTGTTAATTTATAGGTTTAGTGAGTGTGGTGCTCAAAATAAACGGCTTTTTATGACATTTAGATTATCACTCTAAAGAAGTATTCTTTGAGCCTCTTTTTTTTCAACCAGACATTACAATGGTCTCCAACTGGTCATTTAAAACTGACATTACAAAAACCGTAAGCCTCTAAAGCGTCATTAGCCATTCCTTTGATACATCCTGATGGGGCATAATTTATTAAGAACCTTCTGTCAATTCTACCTCACTGCATGCATTAAAACGAGTCTATGTTACTTTTGCAGCAACAACATTTTCCTCCTGAGTGGAGGTTGACTGCACTAAGAAGCTCCAGTTTCATTTTGACCATCGGTTTTTTTGTTTTATTTATTATCACATCAAACTGTTACCAGAAGCCACTTCCCCCCACAATATGGCGGACTCTTAATTTAATTAGAAAATTTTTATCACACATGTTCACCTTTTTGTGTCTATCAGTTACACCAGTGTGTCTTAATTGTTGGTAAGTCTTTTTTTTTTCACTCGATCAACTCGTGAGTGCCATTTGCAGACACTCCCACTCACACACACACATGGATTAAGGAAATGGTCGTTATGACACAAATTTGCAGAAGGGTTATCACCACCTCGTGCCAAGGTGTCAGTAGGAGCTCTTTGAGGGAAGGAAGCCTGGGTACCCTAGTGACTTTGACAAATAATAGAATGTGGTGATGGTGATGATTTGCTGACATGAAAGACCGGCCATCCACCTCATCCCTCTTTGGCGCTTTAAAGTTGGAGTTACATATTCCCATACCAGGCTCAGGTTAGCTCATCCACTTCCTTGGAAGTATCTCTAACCAAACATTTCCTCAATCTAGGCTCTTGAAGACGTATCAGTTTATTGCAGACAGAAGTGTGTGTGTGTGTGTGTGTATGTGTGCTTAATACTGCGCAAAAACGCGGTTTGTTTACTCCAAAATCCACCTGCGCTTCAGTCAAATAGACTGCGTTGAAAGTCTCCACTGATTGTGCTCTCACTTCCCCTCCCTTTGGCCAATTAACTTTTTTACATCTCTGATCCCCAATTTGGATCAAAAAAGGGGACTGGAGTCGATAAGCTGGCTAAAAAGTTTCCATGAGCCCGAAGTTGCTTTCTGGTTGTTACACGCCCCAATGTTTCATTACAATTATGTAGTGGATTTTTGTATCCTTTTCTCCTTCTGTGTCGCGTCGAGATAAACCCAGAACGCGACAGTATTTGCTATGCGCGTGTTAGCTTAAATCCAAAACAAAGTACTATTTAATTCCGCTACTTCAAACGAACCGACAGGCTTGTTTTGTTGCATCTCCTCTGGGGTTGTTTTCCTCGTCCGGAATGCGTGCAAGCGCGCACGCATGCCAACACACATGCAGGCGGGCTAGATTTCAATAACGTCGTGCACCGCCTCTTCATTCTGGTCTCCCCGACCTACTTGTCATTGCAACTTCAAACGACCCATGCGGCATGGCGAGTTAAGGCATTCCTGCCCCATTTCTGCCCCCTCTCCCCTTTTAATCCTCATCCCATCTCCGCAGGACGGAGTCGCGGAGATAAATTAGGCGAATTTGCCGTATTTTTGCTCTTCCATGAAATACTCCATATCTGTCTTCTTAAGGCCGGAAGTTCTGGTGTGTAATGCGATTTGACCACACTTGAACAACACTTAAACGGCTAGTGGTAGAATGATGTCACTGCCGAAGTACGAAAGGTCGCCGGACATTCAGAGACGGTTCACTACTGTCTCAAAGACAGCCAGTCAAGCTGTAGCAGAGCGATATCCATCTAATGCGCCTCCAGGACAGACAACTAGGATTCTTCAACTCTAGTTCTTGGAATATTCCGCACATGTCCGTTTAAGCGAGCACCTAGCAAGGTTAAAACTGAAGTGTATGCCATAATGTCTTGCATGGGTCTGACTCGTCACTATTGTTGAACTGACCGACCTCTGAGGCGTCTAGGATGCTAAAAAAAGAGAGAACTTGATCCACCCAACTCAACGATAACACCTGCCCTACATCACAAATCGCTTTAATGACCTCAAAAGCGAAGGAGGTAAGGGCACATGTAAAACGCACTGAATTCGCGAATCAGGATCAGTATAAAGTACATTTTCTCCCAGAAGGTTTAATTTTGGAGAGAATTGACAATGTCAAATGTTGGAAAGTAGAGAAATCTGAAGTTTGGAGATTGAAACCTCCACTGTGGTTGTAAGCTTCTTTAGTAAACATTAAGTTGTACGCATAAATAAGTCAATAATAATCTAAGTGTTTTTACTTAGGAATTATCACTTCCACTTCATTACTGTTTTCGTTTTTTTTTCCTATCTAACTTGACAACTCCAGCCAACTTACGAATTGCTACGTGGTAAGGGGAAAATTTGGTGCTACTGATAGCTGCTTGCCCCATCTCCTCTTGCTAGTTCTTCCCTACACCAAACTGTGATATCCGTCCTGGATATCTTTAGTCCAGTACACTCTTTTGGGATCTATGCATGTATTACTGGCGAATCCAAAATATGATTTCCAGATAATTTTTGTCATTACTATCCAGTCCCATAAATCTACGTTTAATGTTTAGCAGGACTTTTACTTTGAACTTACTTTTACAGTTGGTAATAATGAGGTTCCTCGATTTGTGCAGCTCTTAAGAAAGGAAGGCTATCTTTTCTTTGATTCTTTATGTAAGTTTTGAGAGTTTTCTCTTGTCCGACCGCACTTCCTCAGCAAGAGTTGTCTCCTCTAAAAAACATCATTTTTTGTCAAGGGGGATAGGCGGCAAAGGATGCGTCTGTACCGAAATTTCAAGTTCATAGAACGAATCAGAAGTTTAATTTCAAAACTAGGAATTCGTTCAAGGGTGTCTAGACTCTAGTGATGCAGATAAAGTATTTATGGCAACTCATTGCCTTTCCGGAAAAGAAAAGGCATCTTTGCTTTGTAATAATGAGGAATTAACTTGTGGAACATATGCAGGGGTTGAAAACTGGACATCGCGACAGCGATGTATGATCCAGGAATGTGTCAGTCCATAACCCTTCGATTGAACGTCGTTTCGACCAGTTATCTCTAAAATCCCTCAATTAAATATTAATGACTTTTATCTACCCACGATGTTGGATTCGCGTGCATTTAGCTTCGTCAGTGGGGGATTAAAAGTGGGAGAAGCCATAGGATTTTAATGAATTAAATTCACCCTAGCATCTTAATAAGTCTAGGCAACTTTAAATGAGTATCAATAAGAGATGTCTAAAATATGCCCAACAAATTTTTAGTAGTGGAATTTGGGATACCACAAACTGCGCACCAACATTTGTCTACCAAAACTCCTTACACGTATGCGTTCATTCACGCATACAGACCGTAACATATCAAGTTGGACAAAAAATGAAACAAAATTGTCTACCACAAGATTAAATTCTTAAAAATCCTTTCCAATCTGTGTCGAAATGCAAAAAAATGGCTGTCATTGTTTCACTAAGCCACAATGTTATTTTTAAGATCCGTAGGTAAAGCAAGGGCTTGGTTTTTGCCATTACCCCTAAAATCAATAAAAGGATGAATTTTTTAATAAGAACTCTTCTTAAGAATGATGTGAACTCATGACAAGGCAATCAAATTAATTAGAAAATCAATCACAGCCAAAGTCAAATTCTCATTGGCTAGCCTTCTCTCCCTCCTTTAATTAATGACATATTTAACAACCCCAGGCCTAATTGTTACTGGAGGGGTGTGGAGGGGGAAAGGCTGCACATTGAATGCATGCTGGAAAAGGTTTCCCCTACAAACGTGATAATATAGCCGTTGGGCTCATTAATATTAGCGGTTTTACTGAGGGCAGTGGGGGGATCACTGCAACCACTTGAGTGGAGCATTGAACAAGCTATTCATTATGAACATAAGGAGGAACCAGCCCCCACTGCAAAACCGCCGCCCAAAATGCATGAATCAGACATCGGTTTCGGTCGGTTGCATTTAAATAAATGAAATAAACTCAACGGTTGTGGCGGTATGTAAATGAATGGGAATATAATTAACTTAAGAACATTGGGAAATCAGTGAATAATGTCACTAGGAAAACGGCATTGTGATATTAGAAAAGGCGCTACTTTTTCTTTTGTGGCTCACGGATAGGATACTTGCAGATTCCTCACCATTTTACACTCTGAAAGGAGGCAAGCAACCGTTTTTATGCTCAGTTAATCACTACCAAACGGCATTGTGGCAATCTCCTGCATTATTCTACTTCATGTGGGCTCCTCGTCATTCATCTGCTCATGCTACCTCTCCACTTGCGTGTGTACATCCCAAAGAGAAATTAAATACTAGGTTAGGGCTTAAGCGTTCCTTACAATGCTGAAAACAGGTGTCTGGAGATTCAAAAGTCGTTTTAGTAAACATCTTTATCGTGTAAAGGATAGTGCATGTTTGTGTCGTCTATTCTTTTTGAATTAAGACAAGGTGAATTGCATTGGCATGGAGGTAGGCACTCTAGACCGTATGTCCAAGACACCTGTAAGCCAATTTTAAGGAATCCGATTTTTTATTGACTGACTAGCCAATCTTGGAACACTGCTTTGCTTATCCTGTCGAATGTACTCCAAGAAGACGTGTTGCTCACAATTAAGTGTTACCTTCATCGCATGCTCCAAGTCAATCGTACACACACCACCTAGCAAATAGGAATGGACTCACCCGAGCCCCTCAATACATAACTTCAATTTTCAGAAACCCAATGTTTGTGCTACTACTACGTTTTACCTTTCTCTCCCTTAATGCTGCCTACATTTTGAGCCTCAGCATTTGGCTCCCTATCTGTGGCGTGATCCTTCTCATGTAAGATCGAGTGGCAGTGAGTGGTCCGACGAAAAAGTTGCATTATTAATCAACCTACGTATCGCCAGTAAATTTTATAGCATTTTTGGCGTGTGTGTGTGTACGTCAAAATGTACTCATTTATTTAGCTACCTATCTATCCACCCATCTACCTATCCATCTATCAACTCTTTCCACGTGGATCATCACGCGCGAATTAAGCCATGTCGCACCGAATTGTATAGTTCATGTGAAGCAATGGGACATCAATTTACCTCTTTTGTGTTGATATTAACTGGATATATCTAAACTACAGGCCTGATTAGAAACACGATCTTACAGTTGAAAGTGCTTGATGATGTATGCACTTTCGTGCGCCTGAGCACTTAACCTCATTTTCCATGTCAGACATGCCTTGTCTGTCCCAGAAGATGGCAAAGCGAAGGTCACAGATGATGGTGCTGCCATTGCCGCTGCCGCTTCTGCAGTAGTTGCTGTTGGGCTTTGGTCCGTCTGTCGGTAGGTCGGTCTGCATGTGTGTGTATATAGGTGTGTGTCCGTAAAGAGGACGCCATTTATCACCATACCTCTAATTGCAGCAATTCTTGGGGCAACGTCGTAGGAAGCCCAATTTACCTCAAAAAGAAGGTTCCGCCTCCCCTTCACGATGGGTCGGAATGTATGATTCTGGGCGTGAGGTAAGGGAGGTGAATGGGAATCCTGACACTCTTTTGGAAGACGTCTGGCGAGATTTATGTACCACCTACATAAAAAATGATTGCGAGACGAATTGTAGGGTAAGGACCAATAAATTGAGTTATGGGCCTTTTTTTGACTGCGTTGCTTGCTTTTGCGACCTATCTTTGGAAGCCATTTGATGCATTTTATTTCAAGTTCTATGATTCAAAAGGTCTGGTCATATGCAAATTAAATGAAGGCAATTTATCTAATAAGAAAGTGGTTGGTGTTTTTTTTGTTTTGGCCATGATTGGTCTACCACCGTTTCGCCTTCGTTTCTGTGTTTACCGCATACTACTGAAATCAAATAGAGTGCTATAGAATGCGAGGCTTTTCTCAGGATGTCTAAGTGCATTTCTACCAATTTCAGAGCAATCCGAAAACGTTTTTGCAATCTTACAAATGGTAAGAGCAACTTTGCCCTTCAAAAAATGGCTAGAATTGAAGTCTTGTTTGGGAAATGGAAACAGTCACTTCAATGCCTGCCTTTCAGCTGGAATTAAACCGTTAACCCGTATCATTTACCCCTTCCAACTCCGGACACGCATTTGTCTTTAAAAGTGGCTAACCTTCAGATGTCACTCTGAACCAGAGCAAATAGACCATTTAAAGAACCATTGTATTGCATGATAGTTCACCCCATTAATAGACCCATTGATTTTCGGGTCAGGTCGCTTGAGTGATTAAACCTTCGCCAATAGAACCCCAGACGAGGCTCACAGGCAATTGTGCAAATAGCCAAAGTGACCTCATGCACATCAGAATGGATTTTATGTTCAAAAAGGTTGCATTTTAATAAGAAGTGAAATGTAGGCAGATAGGCGGACAATGGCTTTTGATCGTTTAAACCGGCGTCAAGCCTATTTAACAATAACGACGGACTTATTGTTGGACATGCACACTAAGACCTGTCCGTACTTGAATTCCCTCTTGAGACACTGGACAGATATGTACTACTAGGAGCTACAGCCACTGTTGTTCATCTTGTTGACGTTGGTGTTTTCGCTTTTGTAGTTAGCCTGTGAGTAAGAGGCCGAGGGAGGGGGTCTTGAAGTGGCTGTGTGGATGCGGGTGTGTGTATGTGTATGTGTGCATGACACTTGATTAAAAGGGGTTTTCAAGGCCTGTGCATTAAGGCCCTTTCGTCCAAAAATACGCACCCCATGTCCCAAATCGGGCGCAACCCAGCATTCGGACAGATCGTCAAGGTCGCAATACAGCCTTGTGTGTGCATGGCTACGACCACGGCCACGACAACGAAGACGACGAGCAACACCCATTTCGTCCGCCTTTTCGCCCTCCCTTCACGCAGGACTGTTTATTCTAACCGGTGTAACGAAGAGCATTACGCGAGGGGAAGTGGACAAAAGGTGGCGCGCGACAACTAAGAGGGTCGGAGTCGATGAAATAAACAAAAAGTGGACACAGTAGCATCTCCCTCTCATTTTGGCATCACTACATCGAATCATTGGTAGGTCAATTTACGGCCTGTCTTCATGAGAGGTATTGATTGAATTGCCATCAATTAAACAATAAGGCGTTGATATCACTTCTCCTGAACTGTGATAAGCAAAGACCCAATGAGATTGCCAAGTGGGCAGACCATGAATCTACTACAGAATGGTGCCATCAGTAGATTCTGTTCTGGACAGAGAAGCCCAGCATTAACACTCATTGTATTGTGGACTAATCATGTCAACTTACAAATGATGTGATGCTTCTTTTTCTCTTGTCACTTGATATTAATTAACAGGGAAGGAATCAATATTGTCGCTTTATCACTGCAGTTCCAACCGTGAAACCAGTCAGGTATCCATGTTAAGTTTCTTGAGCCGTAATCAGCGAATAACCAAGGCAACTTGAAATATACCATCTGCCTCGAACTGCAACTGATTTTCGGCTTCATTTAGGCTAAAAGTGGAAAATTTTCGACTTAATGGGGAGACTGTTTACTAATTTTGACAATTTAAAAACTGATTAATAATTTACTCATCTTTAAATAAGGTATCGATTGAATTGTCATCTGTTCAAATGGCCTGAGTGTCATATCGATTTTTTTGGTTGTGATCAATAAATGGCGTGCGCAGTACCCTCTAATCCCCATAAATTATAGGATCTTAAATCATTCACAATGCAAGTAAGTTAATTGTTTTTCGGAAAGGATAAACAAAGATAAATTCGTAGATTTGAAACACTTAATGCCTTGTATTCCACAACGTGACGTTAAGGAAAGTTAAAATAATTTAACAGCATTTTCATGGTCGGTCAGAAGTATCCCAGATGGAAACCTTAGCAAATAATTAACCTTGCACTACTGGACTCTTAAGTGCCTTCCATTATCTATTTTGGAACTTAATCTTCTCCCGCTATCTGCTTAGAGCCAATTCCAAAGTTCTCATTAAACTCTTCATTAATTATCAACAAAAGTTTCCATTCTATGAATTTTAATAACACCAATGGGCAAGCCTAATTACCACATAATTAAAGTTTTGCACTGCTATTTACAGGGTCCGCATCGGAGTTGGTCTTAGTGTCAAAGTTGTCAGTTATCTAGATAATATCCTGACGGTGCATTTCAACCGATCATGTATCCCATCTTCCTCTTTCGACAACACTCAGGGCATGGCGTGTCATGCACTGTCTTATCAACTATGACTTGTATAAATATAAATATCGATTTTTTTCCACCTTGGCAATAGGATCAAAATAAGAAGGTGGTGAGTTTTAAGGCGCAATTCCGGTATTTGTGAGTCTCTATTTCGACGATTTTTTTTAAGTATGTTAACTTGAAGGGAATATTCTACTCTTTGATCCCATTGGTGTATTTGGAATAATATTTTTGTTACTGTCAGGTAATCGAAACAAAACACAAAATTGAATTTGCCACCTATGGAGTACATTAACTGGAGCATCACATAGTGCAGAGTCCTTAAAGTGAATGAATCCACCATTTCACAGACAGAGACATGTCAATTTAATAACACATAACTGCTTCAAAAACCGCGCGTCACATGCCTTCAAATGACTTTCGTCATAAAAACCTACCTCCCACCTCTAGCCCTGTCGATCCACCCTTCTGCATAAACAGCACTACCTGGTTTCATTTACTTCTACCAGCAATTGAAGTGAATTTGTAATGCAAAAAAAATGCATTTTTTGCCTTCTCTGCTCTCTTATCAAAGTGTAGGGAGGGGGAAAGGAGGAAGAGGATTTAGTCATGACTGCGATTAGTCATTCGTTAGCATGAGTAGTTGACTGTGTGATAGGTTTGTCATTGCTACCTAATTAATAATATCGTTTCCAGATGGTGATGCCAAGAAAGACGTAATACCCATTCATGGTTGTGAGGGGGACTTTGGCAGCCAGCAGTCCAGACATGATTTGAAATGAAAGTCAAGCACCATAATGATTTATTTTGGAGTCTCAGTAACTATCCGAAAAAAAATTTCTTGATGTATGAAATGAATTTGATATACTTGGGCTTTAGCTAATTTGTTACTTTTGGACTTCTCTCTAGCCTCATTTGGCCTTCAGACCATAGTTCTTTCTTCAACAGGTCCCGATTAAAACACTACTGAGTGCTGTTACGACGATATGGAGACAACTTTTGACCTTCCTTTCGAAGTTAAGTGTCGACGGTGTTAATGAGCCCACATTGCACTACACAGCTCTTCAACTCTCCATCCAGGTACGTCAACGTGTGTGCACACACATAAAATGAATTTGGAAAGAAAACTGAAAACACCGCCAGAGTAAAGGGCTAGGTGATGTGATAGGGCTTGAGAGTACTAATTCCACGTCCGAGTTACACCTGTGATGTTATGGCGTTACCGCCTGCACTGTTGCTACCGCTTATAGTGTTGATGTTGTTTGTATTGTTGTTTATGTAGTCCCAGGGTGTGTTGACACTCCGACTGGGGCTGTTTACCGGGTAGGCACAGACTTTTATCTTTGCCCCTCTTTTGCTCGCTTTCTGAATCACTTTGCCGACAGTGCCTACAATCTCACGCGCCCGCATGCACACACACCCACACACAAAGGCCACGGTTTTAATCAAGAGTGAGCCGTAAAGCCAACCGCTCCCCACCCACATACACATGGTTGATAATGTGGCCTAGTTGTGGACAGCCTTGCTGGCACACGCACTTCCTCAGTGCAGTTTTACACTTTCCGGTAGATTTTCTTTATGTCAATGTGATTATTCGCTCGTCTGGACTTTTGTTTTTGTAACCATTTGTTTGTTGGAAAGGCCATGACTGGCCGAAAGAACAATTATCAGAGCAATAGAAGCTTCATATTCTAACTGTATATGGCCGGCTACGTTGCCGTCCCCAGCATGGCGATTAATCGGCCTGTGCGTGGAACTAGCCAGTAGCATGCCTGGTATCAGGGAGTCGATCAACTCGGTATCTGGGATTTGCTACGACAGTTTTTATGAACTAAAAACCCAAATTCAAAACTGGTTTGGTTTTAATTTCAAAATAGCATTAGGACAATTAAATAAGAGAAACAAGAGCTTTTCTAGCTGCTTTGCAGAACACCTAACTTTTGCTAACAACTCTATTTTAAACAAAAGTCTGTCCACCTCTGACGCCTGTCTTTTTTTCTGCTCTGACGTATTACAGTTGGCAGATTCGTAGCATTTCTTGAAAAAAGGGCTTAAAATACCATTTTACTGGTTGTTTCTATTATAGGCTCTTAACGAGAGAGAAAAGTAATTGTGCCTTTTCCAGCATGTACTGAGTTGCTTTTTTTCTCCCACAGTAGAAAAGTCCATCTCCACAGTAGTTGTGTACTTTCCACTGACACCGTTAAACCTTCCAAAAAGTGGGTTTCGACGTTTAGCCAATAGCTAGTTCAGGACGATCCTGTTTGAGGACATCTGATGTAGAAGACAGCTGAGCTTCGGATGCAAATGAAGGCAGTTGCAAATTGTTCTGAACAAAAAAGTTTGGGCTCAAGTAAAAGTGATTCTTCTTCACTTATTTGCAGTTAACAGAGCGGTCAAATTTTCCTCTCTAAGCGGTATTACACTTATATATCTTGCATCAGATCTGGAGTAAATCTGGATATGCTAAAATTGGTAATACAAATTCATCACTGTGTTTATTATTTTTTTTAATTTTCACCTATTCACGGAAAAAAGGCACAAGTTCAGACTAAAAATAGGAGACGTTTTAGGGAAAGACTCGTTTTTAATTTAGACTTCCCTTGACCACACCACGATAAGCAAAGAGGTTGAATAAATTAAGTTTATTTTGTAAAAAAAAACGATGAATTTTTTTCGCTAGGATAGCCACTCAATCATTTTCAAAGATTGTGTGCCCTCTCGCAAGGGATACACACGCACGCACAAACACACGCATACATAAAGCCTAGATGTCACGCATTTTGGACTCGAAAACACCCCGTGTAAGATTAATGACATGGAGGTCATTAAACTGAAGATGGAATTTTTCGCAGGAAAAGTCTGATAAATCTCTCCTCGATGAGTAAAAGAGGCTACGCCACACGCTGGGTACAAGAAATGACCTTTGGCAAATTCACCCAGACAGGTTGTAGCCCACATTCCCATCTTTATCGATCAGGCCGTGGTTGAAATTTTTATTAACCTGCAAATTCAAATTTAATTTTAAGGAGTCAATTATTTGGCAAGTGTGAGGGGATTAACCCTCCATCAATTATTTAGCCCACTCCTTGAACTGCGGATCGTTAAGTCCAAATGACGTTTGCAAATCGTCTTTCTATTGGTCTATCGCCGGTCTGTAGGGTCTAGCAGCTAATAAATTGCTGCAAATAGAAGTAGGCATTTCTTGAAATGAAAAGAAAAACGAGTAGGCAACCACTAAAGCAAAGTCTTGTGCACTACAACGCATGCACGCACGCACACATGCTGCGAGCCTGACAGTTCCGTGGATGGAGAGTGAGCGAGAGGGCGAGTTAGTGAGCTAGCCCGAGTTGGCTTGTGCAAACACGCAGTCCTAGGGTCTGCAGACGGCATGCGCTTCGCAGCGACAGCGGTAGCAGCCAAGATTGCGGGCGTCTAGACAGCTGCGTTTCACTTTCACTGCATTTGACGCACTTGTCTGCAGTGCATCCAGTCTTCATAATGGCTATCCTACCTAGTGCCACTTTTTTGTCACGAAACAACAACCTCCCTGAGATTGTTTTTTTTGCTCCACAAAAAAGTGAAATCATATTCCAGTTAGCCTGTACACAATTCATCCACCTATGGCTTAACAACCGACGATCAATTTTCACGTTGTCAAACGGTGTTAGGAGCTGCAACTAACTTGAAGTAACCAATGTACTCCCCACATGTCTAAGCATACAAAATCACTAAAGCATATATTCATTGAGGTGTTTCATTGGGGTCAAAATGGGCAGATAACCATTCAGTATGATGGCTTAACATTTGGAAGTCTTTACAAAAGGTAGGGTGTGGATAAGACTCGGTTAATTTTTCGTTATTTGCAACCCGAAAGTATTCAAAAAAGATGAAGAGCAGGGGAGAAGTCTGGATTGATCAATCGTTGTCATTGCCCACCAAAATCGCAAACTTAAGCAACTAAAATTATAACTAGTCCTAACTTCAAATTACATTATAAATGATGGCACAAAACATACATCATACTACCACCTCTAACAAAAAAACGGATCTACTGTGGTTAGGGCAGTATAATAATCACACAAAATTACAATTCACTGTGATCACTCACCATCACACTTTCTTTGTAGGAGTAATAATGGCAGTTCCAGGTGGGTCAAGGTTGGTGATCCCTTTTATCAGTCACCTGGCAGGAAGTTTTGACAATGCGCGTCAATTAGACCTTGCAGCCACCGTGAGTGAATTACTCCCACCTTGATAGGCTGAATGTGCGCCCTGAGGAGTGCAGATTTGACTGCCGCATGAACTTTACTCACACACGCGCACACCTGTTTTGTACGCAGAAGGAAGAAATCAATAAATCGATGAATTTGCGCTGATTGTGACTGGTGCATCGGCTGAGCCACCAGTGGCTCGGATAATTATCCAATTATTTTATTCAGCTCATACGTTAATAGTTTGTAGCTATGGTGGCAAAAATAACGACATCATTTATTTCGTCGAAATTGAATTTTAAAAAATCTTAAATTTTAAAACTGGCGATAGTTTTCGTGAATAATTTGAATAATGCATTTGGTGAAAGTTTGATCTTAATAGGTACAAATAATCAACTATTACATCAACTACTTCACATAATATAACCTCTTCTCCATGGCGTGAAATCTGTATATGATTAACTGTTGGTGAAAGGACTTCATTTAAAGGCTGGGTAATTCGACTTTGACATCTTTTACCACCTTTTCGTCGTTGAGGCAGGTATACAAATCATCAATATGCATGAATCCCCGCCAATCACTTGAATCTAATCATCATCACATTCTTCTGCTTCTTTACCCAGTGAGAAATGTCAAACTTTCACATTACGCCACCAAGAAAGTCACTTTTGTAGTTCACGGTTTTCACCTTTACACCTCACCATGGTGGCACAAAAACAGGTTACTTTGAATTCGTCGCGGGCGATGCAAAAATGGCTTAAAACTGGTTAATTTCAGCCCCCGCCTGTCATTCGTGCGATTTTAGGGAAAAAAACACTTGGTGACATGGAAGAATACCAGTGAGTTGATTTGCTTTTATAACCTGGAAAAGGTGATTTTATAATAGCTCGATGGGATGGAGCTGCGAGTGGAGCTATGTCAACCAAAACAAGTGGAAAGATGAAGGCAGTTCGCAAAGTGGCGCCCGGTTAATTGACCGGCATTTGACTGGGCGGCGAAAACAACAATAGGGGAGCTAAATTGCCGTCCTAGATTCCGACCTAGTAGCCCCTTTAATCCGAATGCCGCGCGAAGCGGCCGGCGGCCGAATGGCACCGTTTCGCCCATCCCTCTCGTCTGGACACACACACACATGCCTGACTCTAAATAACAAACATTGTTTTCACCACTTTTTTTCTACCATATACCTCGTTTCTAAGCCTTTTAAAAGTTGAATTGAATGAAAAACTCATTTTTTATAGCTATGGAATACTTTTTAGCTGCCAATAATTATAAAGTTGCGTAACCCCCCAAGTGAAATTATGCTCCAATATTCCCAACCAAACACTCATCGTGATTCTGGTGTAGCAAAATTAATTCGAAATGATGTTGTTTAATGTTGGAATAATTTATATTTAAAAAAAAAAAGAAATAGGAGTATTTGGGAGAGGCATAAAACGCCTCGAGATCCAAGTGCAACGGGTCAGCTTACCGCGAGAGTGCACTGGCGTATATGTGCGCGCGTGCGGACGTATGTGCATGCATGCGTAGGTACAGTGAAAGAGTCTACAAAAAGCTCGCACGTGATTGGCAGCTTCACGTGCGGCGCGTGTAGTTTGTGGGCAGAGCTTGTGTCTCAAGCGCGCTCAAGGACATCCGCTGTCGGTGCCACCGTTTTCGGACAACAAAACAACGGGGCACGTGCGTGGTGCGTGCACACGCGTTCTAGCGTGTGCACTCACACGCATGCACGTACGCATGCAGACAAAGTAGTTCGCTCCCTCGCTCGGTGCGGCTGCCCGCGGTACACCGACGGTGGAGATAGGCGTAGCCGTTACCTTTTGCCTCTGCTGCGCTGTGTGCGCGCGTGCAGACATGCTCCCACCTCCCCTTGCACTCCGGACCGAGACACTCCCTCCAAAAGGTGGCCAGACAGTTTTTTTTTCTCATTATCTGACGTTAAAGGCATGACAGGAGGCGAGGCGAAGCTGGGCTGGGGCTAGAGGAGCGGAGTTGCCCCTACCAGCTTAATCATGCGTGTCCTGCCTCTATGTGATACCGTATTTCCTGATTAAACTTATTAGTCCCGACACACCGACCGACCGACTGACTGTCTGTCCTTTGCTTAAGAGGTGTCTCCCACTCCAGACGGAAATCCATTCCAGTTTTCATTTAGTGAGGAGAGGGGAGGGGTGGTGAGGGGAAATTATCACGTTTCAGACACACCCAATAGCGAAGTAGGTATGGCTAAAAAATATCATATTTTACTTAAAAAGTTTCTCATCTCCTTTTTCGCTGGTAGCACTTGATTTATTATCATTTTATGACCATGTTATGTGAGAACTTAAATACAAATACTACATCTCCCATCGTTAATCATGAATGACCAGATGCGATATACTATGAATAAAAACTTTGTAGTTACGTATAAACACGATCGATCATTTATATACCCTCTGCCTCATTGTGTACCACCAATAACTCCCCAGATCTTCCTATCCAATGGGAAACATTAATAGTGTCATATCGATTACTAATAGCAGGAGATGATTGGTCTTTAGTTGTTGAAGGCTGCTTCCAGCCATTGACTGTTGCTTAGCCAGTAACAATCGATCGAATTTGCCTACAATTAAAGCACCTCTGTTTTAGCTTCAGAGGCGACGATTGCTGTGATTCAAATTCTTGGAGGTGGTAGTTGATAATCAAAACTAATCATACCTGATCAAATAATTACTATGAGCTAATAGTAGTCATTTAGTGCCTGTTATCTGATGGGTGGTATCTATCCCTGTGTGTAATGCTGAACTAGGTGATATCTATCACTGACGCGGATTCTGCTAATGGTTGTTAGCCATCGACTGACCCCCATTGAGCGAGTACTCAAAACCTTAAAATATCGGTGTTCACGAAGGCTCCGGATTCAAAAGTGCTCCTATTAAGGACTTATTTTTACCAATTTAACAAAATCGCCATAGCTTTTCTATCGACATGAGACCTAACGGCATCTACGGCCCGATTTTGAGTCATGAGCTGAGCATTTGCAACTTGTCACGTCAAAGGTAAACGGTCCTCACCACTCACATATGCTACCACATTTGTCAGCTCTCAAAGGAATGTTCCCAACCAATACCAGCTGCCCATTACCTGTTATCCAATGCGCACCATTCATCGATCAGTGACGATCATTGGTCGATACTAATTTCACGCAGTCATTAGTCAGTGTCCAGCGGTTGGCGATCGATCGAAGTTACATTGCCGGCACTCATTGAGGCCGAATGCGTATGAAGTTCCGTAAATATATTTTTATTTATTTTGATCATCATGATTTCTTTGCCCAAATTTAGAACTGACGGTATCATCCTCCTTCCCACTCAAAGGCGCGGGCAAAGCAATGCCCGTCCAGTCTGCTTTGCGTTGTCTCAACGATGGTAATCTCAAAAGACTTGTTTTCTAATCAGCTGGATAGATTTATGAACGAAAAAGAGCCAAATGTTTCACCGAAATTACTAATGTTAACGCGATAAGCAGGGGTTGGTTTGTAACAGAACAAAACGGAGACGTGCGTTACGCACAAAGCAGGAAAAAAGGTCAATTAATTTTAAGGTATAATTTGGTTTAGTGAAGGTGGCTTTACATCAAATGTAGAAATATTTGACGATAAAATTAACAATTAACGACCTAGATTTAGGGAAATTGCCAGGTGGATAAATTTAAAAAAACCTTAATCACGTTTAATCACTGCTGAGGTGGAATGAATCTGTTTCAATTCATTCCACAAAGAGGGCGATCGAGCTGTAATTTACACCTCCACTGCAAGAATTTTAGTGACTGATTTCACCACGAATCTAAGCATTCTGATTCCATTTCGGACATACATAAATTTAGAACTACGAAGAGCACGAATGGTGGCCTAGTAACTCATTTTCGTCGTCTTAACCAGGCATTCCGAGATTGTTTCATCCAAATGGATATTCTTTTATGTAAAGTCATTAAGTTTTCGTTTGCAATGGTATTTTTTAGATGAACAGACTTGGATCTCAAGTTTGGGATTTGGTCCAATCCTATTTCAAAGGTAGGTCACGGGGCCAAGCCTTTTTGTATCCTACATGTTCATTCATCCCTCCACTGAGGTTTCCAGATTACGCTGCCTGCCTCCAACAAAAGCCGGCTTCTTTCAATCGTATTAAAAGGTTAAGTGTAAAAAACATCCAAGGAACCATAGCTCAGTTACCCTGTTTATTCACTTCCCAAATCAGACTATGTAAACAGGTGGGAAAAGTTTTCCACGTTACCCTCCCATTTCCAGACCCAATGCGAAATTCCAAGGAAGGTGGAAAAATAAGCCCATACCACTACTTCATGTATGTATATGTGCATATAGTCACCTCGCTCTCTGCCTGCCTATCTATCAGCCTTGCCATCTACCTTCCCGTTCAAATGTGTACGCCAGGGCAGTTTTGGAAAAACAGCGAATAGGTCTCCATTGAAAAAAATCACATAACAGTAATAATATTTAAGTCGAACTTCGCAATTCCACCCAACTCGCATTCAGTCCACCTGTCTATGTTCGCAATTTCATCCACCAGTGAGCAGATGATCAAATAGACATCCATGTGTAACTTCAGCCATTGATAACTTTTGACAGATTCGATTGATAAATATCATCCAATGTTTTGATACACCTATCACCTGATACATTACATATTCAATCTATCATCTGACACCTTTTTCATTAACTATCTATTAAACAGTGGTAATCACCCTAGAAGTCTGTGATTCTAGAAAGGCCAAAATAGAAATGAATGGGGATTACGGTTTAAAAGCTGCAATATTGTGCCAATAATCCATTCCTCCATTTCTATTGGCGCATTAGCTCACATTAGAGACGTTGCAAAAAGTGCGCCGATGTGGAAATCAATAAATCCAAAATCGATAAACCTATATTTCACGGCTCACGATTTTTGGATCTGTTAAAATGGAAAATTCATAGCAAAGTTTGCGCTGCAGGCTCTCAGTAATAGGGAAAAACCCGCGTTTTTCGTATTAATAGACACAATGCATAATTTTTGAAGGTAATAATTTCCATTTTATTTCTTTAACCCAGCATTAAGATTCTTTAATCGTGATTTGCCATAGATTTTTTCACTTTCCCAACCGATCAAAATAAAAAGAACACCTGTAACGAAAATTACAGTGTCTTATATTAGTAAGCTCATAAGCAAGACTTGCAAGATTTCAAAGTAAATCAAGTATTAAGGAATTACAACTCTTAAGGGAGGTCTTGATCATTGTTATCGCATATCATCTTTGAAAATGCTGTTAATCTTACTTTAGTTGAAATGAACTTGAAAATTGTGTGATATTGTGCTATGATCGCATCAATCTACCTTTGGATTTTAGAGGCTATGCAAGTTTTAGGGGTCAGCGTATCACGCGAGAATTTGACTGATTCATCAATTTGACCTAAAACTCAGCCCAGAACGGGATGAAAAGGATGCAAACAGGCAAGCCACTAAATTGATACTTAGCTTTCCCAGAAATCATAGCCTGTTAATACAAGCTTTTTATTGAAGTGGCCATAGAAATCATCCTATTTTTTTAATTAGATCACTACGGCCCATTAATATCGCTGAATTGAACCAAATTTACATTATAACATCACCATTAAATGAATGAACAAGATCAAAGGTCTCACTGAACTTGAATATGACGGTTTTTAGGTTTTTCAACCTATTCGTTGGAGGAAGGATCCAGGTTAACGCTCAATGTATTATCGTTTATAGAGCCATAATTTCGAGAAAATAAGCCATGAAGAAAAAGAGAGCAATCTTTCATGTTTAGTGTCATGGTAATATGAGAAAGTCTTGTGATCCACCTTTTTAGCATAGAACTGCAAACAATCGTTGTATCCCAACAGGTCGTAAACACAGTGTCAGTCGGCAATTGAGTGATTGGTTGTAGAAGCGAAGTAACCTTCAAATTTCTGTGTCTATCACCTGAGTTTCATCAAAACACGACGTCAGCACTGCTTACACCACATTACCCTACACTACTACACACTCCTCGAAAAGAATGCAAATTTGTTTGGGAAACGTGTCCCCTCAGGGAAGAAGTCGCGGAAAAGGCTGCTGTCTCATAGTGTTCAACACAATCCTTGAAACTCGACTCTCCTGGGACACAGGACCACACATCCTGTTGTTGAAACGGATGATGGGGGATTGTACAAACAAAGCATTGGAGGTCGGGTCCTGTGGTAAGATGTTTAACTTTGAGCTCTACGGAGCACGTCGCCGAAAAGTGCCAGGAGTAAAAGAAAGTATTCAAGTCAGGTACGCAATTATTAAGCCAACTTTTTGGGTATGTGGAAGTTGCGATACACACCCACTTCCCATAATGAATTTGACAAAAGCTATCGGATCGCATGATTCTGACTTGTGTCAATTGATTCATCCGTTCTGTCAACAAGTTTGGGGGACAGGAAGGTAAGCTACCTTGAGAGGAATGCCTATAAGCCTAAAGTTATCAATAAATGAGGAGATGGTAGAAGCCTCACCTAACGTAAACAATTTGTACGACCCAAATCACGTGCACTTTAATCGGCCACGTTATCGGAAGTGCGTACTTTTCAGCCAAAGGTTCATGTAGCAATGCACTTTTGACTTAGGATTGGGAAGTCAAAGGTAAAGCGGACAGAACCATAAAATAATTTGAACAGATTTTATTTCCCAAAAGAAGTGGTTGGAATTATACAAAACATGAATTGACCAATTACCCTTTTGTGGTGTGAAACCAGACTAAGTCCTACCTCTTTTCTGCATTAAGTCTGAAATTTAAGCCGCTATTTCCCCTCAGCCAAGTTTAAAGCATTTTGAATTCCCTTTAGATTAATTAGTTCATGTGCAGTAGGCGATTAAAAAATACCACATTTTAGTAGTCAAGCCATGTAATCCACTGTGAACCATATAACCTCCTGGCAATGGGTTATTCGATTGTGAAATCGAGGCTTTTCTATCCTCTCCAGCAACTGCCTCTTAGACACCAATTTATCGTGGGGTTGAGTTCCAGACAGAGCCTGTCAATGTGGAGCCTTAAAATACTTTGAGACTTTGATAAAAGCCCTGGTGACTCTAGAGAATATAATTTTTTTCGCATCATGTGTGATTAGTGGACTTATTCAGTCCACTTTTTTGTATCCGCCGTGGCTCCCATCGCATGAGTCATGCGAGATGAGTAAGCCTGAAATAAATCGATAGCCTACTAATTAATCGAATGAGGCGATCGATATTTTCCACCAGCTTAGGTGGACTTGAAGTCAGGACACCGAGTCATTTGCCATGGGGACTGTATCGATTCGCCCTCTAATTTGAGGTATGCTGATACCACACACCAGTAGTTCGTCTGAATAAGAACAAGAAAAATCCACATTAATGTTCGCTTATGAAAAATAAATGGTTTGACACCAAGTAAATAATTACATGAGCCAAGCTAACATGCCTCCTTTTGACATGGCTCTACGCGATGATGAATTTCAAGGACATCGTCAAAATCTAGCCAAGTATATTAAAGCAGCTAACACAATTCTGCTCTAAAGAAAATCTCGCTTACATACAGAAAGGTGATTTCATCGAACTCACTCAGGCCCTAGAGGGGGGTGGTCTTTTTGACAGCAGCACAACAAAACAGTCTCATGGGGGGTAAAGTTGTCTGAGCCATTGCGAAGGTTAATGCTGCTGAAAATGCCCTCATTAAAGTACATATCTGGCGTAACCTGCCAATATGATTTGGTGAGTTCACGTGTATGGATGAGTGAATGCCTATAATTTGGTTGCAGCGACCGTGATTAATGGCGCACTGAATACGTTCTCCCTAGCCAAGAGCTAAATTGAGCAGAAAAATTGGTGGTAGTAAGGACTCATGGTTACCTTTCTTTGTTGGTTTTTTGCTGCCTAATGACACCCTGGGACACGTGAGCTCGTATGGCGAACTCCCCATTTGTGCTAATCAACCTTAATTTGATAATGAGTGGAGATTAGAGAGAGGGTGCAACTATCCTAAAATGGACTCTCAAAGGAATGCAACACTTGACTTTCGACCTACTGTTGCACTAAACTAAACGAGTAAAGATGCCCTGTTGAACAAAATCCCACTATAGATGATTATGTGTACCAGCTTTTAGAAGTGAGTTCTACCAAATGCTTTTTTTCGGGATAGCGTTTCCATACAAGACCCATTTGAAGCAACAAAACGTAGCAGGACTTTAATAAGATAATTAATGACACCTTTTTTCACAAAACCTAGGAACACACATTACTGTAACCTGTGTGCTAAATCATTCGTGAAATTGGGAATAGAAATGTCAGTTTGATAATGGAGGGATAGGTCTTGTCACGGGTGGTGTCCAACATGGATTGAGGAATCGAACATATTTTGAAAGGTCAGTGAGGAAGAGCGTCCTCATTACATACCACCCTTAGACTTCCCATGCATAATACTCTTTGTCTACTTGAAGTGTAATATGACTTAATTAGAAGCTTCAAGGTTTGTTTCAACCCGAGAAGGCATCCACCTTTGTTCAACCTCCTATATTATTAACTTTTTGGTCCATTATTTAATGTAAGGTGGCGTGTGTTCGAATTCTGTTATAATAATGATGCTGGTAGGTTTAAACCTTCTATTGTGGCACCCATAAAATGCTCCCAAACTACAGCAGGTGGCTACTTTTGCAGAAAATCTGTGTCTGACAAGTTCGATGATACCAGACTCTGGAGACATTCATTCCTCGTAAGCGTCACCATGATGACACAACCTAAAAGAACAAGTAAGTTATTTTACGACGGAGTCTGAGGAACCAGATCGAGATTTGACATCTATCAAGCTGTTTCGCCTGTACTAGCGGTTACTCAGGCAGCATATTCTAATTTGATCAACCTCCAAGCACTTGGGTCTGAACGCAGCCTCAAAAATGCAACTTCAAGGCACCAAATGTTTAATGCCTGGAATGTTTACACCTTATATCGCAATGAAGGCACATAGGAATATATCGGCTGGTTACTGTTCGACAAATGATAAAATGGGCAAATGTCTTCAAGTTCAACATCTTCAGGAGAATTGAACCAGTCGAGACACCTGCACTGAATGAAATACTTTAACCACTAAACAATAAGCTGGGTCGGAATATCTGCCAAGCAAAAACAAATATCTAAAAACGAATCTGAATTATATCTGATATCACCAACGTGGCAATACAAGGCGAATTAAGAAACCGGGAGGAAATGCCTAGAAGCTGGATTATGCGCTGAGGGAGAGCTGTACAAAATATCCCTTCGTTGAACCTAGTTCAGTCTTAATTTTCCACACATATCATATTGTAATAAAGAAAGATGACTGCCAGAACCACCACTAATATCGGTTTTGAAAGTCTTATCACTACGACCGAAATAATCCGAAGCATTGAGGATGAAACCCAAATCACCACGATAGCCTGTAGCAAAACTATACCTCAATCCGCTACGATTGGGGTCTCTCGTAATAGTGACACTGATCTCTGAAACTAGACTGGATAGCAAATTTTCCTTTCCACAGCCAGCCTATTTTACTGGAACCCAATCTGGAAGCAAAAATGACAATCGCAGACCAGAAGTTATGCTATTCGACTGCAATGTCAATTGTCATTAATTCATTTGACTAATTTATATATGCGTTTTCCAGAGGTAAGAGCAGACGACGCAATTACCCCTCTCAGACTAATAGCACTCTACATCTATTTTATTGTCATGAGCTTAGCCAGTCTGTCTGCGATATGATTTAATGCAGCTACTTGCCACAATCTGATAAGGGAACGCATGTCACCCACGTGACATGACAACGAGCTGGGATAGGTGGAATGCATTGTTACACAAGTCATACTGATAGCAGTGGTGCTAAATAAGGGGGAATAGCATGAACCTACGTTGGATTACTCTTTCTTTGGTCCATCAAAGTTTTGTGCCCAACTTGATCCACAACTGGGACGATGGGATTGAAGAGGACATTCAAGGCAAGTTCAACCTTAGACTGGAGTACTTGACAAGTAGAAACTATCCAAGCGTTGTAGTTCAAAGTCAATCTCAAAAGACTGACATCCAATGAAGCTAGGCCACAATTCATCAATAGAACACTTATTCAATCGCAGTCAATGAGGAGGAGACAAGTCTGTTAAATTGTTAATTTATATTAAATAGGATGTATAGCAAGAACGCAGGTTTGGTAATTTCTCACTAATGAATCAAAATTTTAGTGGCAAGAGGGAGGGTAGGATGGGCTGGGAGTGCAGGGGAAAAAAGGCAGGCTTTTGGCTGTCTGGTTGGCTGAATAAGGAGAGGAAATAATAACAGGGGAAAGAAGTAGAAGAGTAAAGAAAAAACCGAGGCGGACAATCACACACTAGCACACACACCAGTCTTAAAATTGCTGGATTTGAGGGTGTCTGGATGCGAAGCTATATGATATAATCCAATGCCCATGGAGGATGAGAAGGCCCGCATGTAAATATGTGTATGTATATATATGGTATAGTAAAATATGTCTGTGTGGAGGTGAGAGTGAAGTCAGATGACTTTGCAAAATGAAGGATGGAGGAAGGGGTACACGAGGGAGACGGGGAATGGAGAACACAATCACAATGAGAATGGTGTGAAAATTTGACGTCCGTCCGTCGTCCATCCATCCACTCCCCTCCTTTCCCCTGGTCCAAGTACGAGGGGGCAAGGGGTTGGTAAAGAAAGAACCTGAACACACTAACATCATTCAGAGGCTTATTTACATCAAAGCATAAGGTCGCAGCATCAACACAAAAAGAAGTCATATGTTGCCTGAGATAGAGAGGAGAGTAGAATAGGTAGAATAAATGAGACTGCGTTCGTTAATGACAGGGAGTGGACAGAGACATTTAGTTATTGGTGGTGTTTCTCTCATCTTTAAATTCACTGCTTCTCTTGCTGCTGCCGCTGCCGCCCTGAGAACAAAACCAAGGTTTATCAAGCGAGGAATAATGGGAACGAGGAAGGAGGGAATAGGGTAAGATTCCTGGGTGCTGGTTTATTCAAGTGACAGTGTACGTGAAATCAAACACCATTCTCCACGGTTCGTGCAGCCGACGCCGCCACTGCCGCCCATTGTTGCATGGTGCTGCTCATCTCGCCTGACTTGACCCGATTCGCGATCTCGAGACTGATTCGCAGCTCCATGGCGTCCTGAGAACTTAGTAGTTGTTGCTGTTCACCACTTCCATGGATCGTTGAAGATAGTGCCGAGCCCGGCACTTCGCCTGACGAATCACCACACATCAAGAGGTTGTGCAGGTGTGAGTTTGTTGGTGGTGGCAGTGGTGGATGTTGGTGATGGTGGTGATGTTGATGATGATGTGACATAGATGGCGGTGGTGGTTGGTGGTGATGTTGCAACTGATGTGGATCGTCGCGGAGGAAGGGATCTGCACCACCATCTAGACACTCGGCCGAGCCGGTAAGGATGCCCGTCAGGTGATCATAGGTGGTGGTGGGAGTGGTGCTCGTGGAGGCAGCGGTAGGAGAAGCATCACAGAGGGATCCATACCGCTGCTGTTGGTCTTGGGAAAAGGCCTGATGGTGGTGGTACCGGCTCGATTGTGGTGGCAGTGGTGGTGGAGGAGGGGAGAAAAACGAAGAGCCTCGGTCACTACCAATCCCTGAGGAGGAAAAACTTGAACGCGTGGAGGAGGAGGGAGGTGGACGCGGAACTTGAAACTCATAGCCACCGCCACCACCACTGCTCATCAAGCTCAAACTACCCGAACTGACCGAATCGCTCGTCTGCATTTTGCTACAAGAAGACAACAATTATTTAGTAAGACACGTAAGACACGGTCTTTACTTGGACGACAAACTGGCTCAAGACGAGCATATCTAGGCTAAAAATGGATGTCACACATTAATCCTTTGATAGTGTAACTGTGATTTTTTTTGCCAATCGATTAATCACCTCCATAAGGCTTCTACACCCAGTTTTTTGAATAATGAAAGATTACTTTTACACGACCAGACGCTTAAGCGTTTATGAAGAAATCAGTGAATTTTGAAGCTTAAGATAACGACTTGACGCTAATTTGTCACTAATCACAGAACATAAGCAAGATCTGATGAACTTTTTACATCACCATCAATAGGATGGACAATCCACCTTTAAAGGTAGTCAAGAGAGGATGGAAATTCCATTGCTTACCATAAAGCACTAATCTCATCATTGGGTGGTTTCCGATCGGCAAGGAAACCCGAATTAGTCCAGGGATGATGGTTAAGCCCTGAACCTGGGTCGGGTTTGAGCCCAAGCAACGTGTCGCTACCTCCACCACCGGGAATGCTAAAGGCACTCACGATGCCCGAGGAAAGGCTATTTAGGTGGGAGCGGACAGCAGCGGCGGAGCTTCCGCTCGATTGTAGAGTGGAGAGAAGATTATCACCGCCGTACAATGCACCGCCCGATTTCATCTCTCCTCGACCCCCGCTTCCACCTCCTCCGCCACCGGCAGCGGTGGCAGCAGCAGCTATCTGTGCAGCCCGCTTAGCAGCCGAGGCAGAGCTCGCTGCTCCGCTACCTCCACCACCAAGACGGGACTTCGCCTTCTTGCCTCCGACACCGCCGCCCCCGCCACCAGCAACGCTTCCTGATGTGTCCAGGGAGCACGTCCGTCGACGCACGTAGGGACGGTTAAGAGAGTTGGCGTTGAGGCGCCAGTAGGACGACTTGGAACTTTCGGAGGCTTTTGGACACTTGACGAACTTGTCATGAAGCGATAGGTTGTGACGTATGGAGTTCTAGATTAGTAAAGAGGAGAGAGTCTATAGCTTTGAGTTGTAGCATTAATAAGAGCTCGTGGATTCGCTTTAATTTGGTTACTCAGACTAACATACTGGGAAATTTCCACCTCACGAACGAATTATAGCGAAGAAGGATTGGTTCAAAGACAACAATAGATCCACAACCTCTCCAGGACCCCTTAAAACCTCTGTGAAAAGCAATTTCAGATTTTACGGATGTTTTGAAGCGGATTTATGCCTAAATAGATCGAATGGTTACTACCAGAAGTTCCAAGTCAAAACTAGCAACGGAACAAGTGTAGAAGCTAAAAAAATCTATGCCGTCCATGAAAGAACTGTCCACATTGTCGAAAGAAAAGGTAAACCTGTATATGTGGCACATTCCCCAGTTAAAGGTTGAATCGGAGGAGCGTTGAACGAGTTTTGCTGGAAAGAACAAGGGGTGTGCAAAGTGTGATCACTATAAATCTTCGTCCAGTCTTAAGTGATAATAGTCCATTTCAAAATACACTGACATCGAATAGAAACATCGCTGTCACAAAGTCTTCTTACTGCGGTCAAAAGTCACCGCGCTATCTTCGCGCTGATTTTGGAATGGTTTCAGGTAACTTAAATGTTGTTTTCTTCGCCTATGCTAGGGAGTGATCGCCAAGAGTGCCAAAGACGATGCTTAGGTCAAGGATTAAATTAACATTTACTCTAGACCTGTATAAAATGACACCGGTCCTTTCGGTCTCTCGTAACTCGAATCTTTTTGTACGCAGATAATAAACATACTGCAAAACTAATTTGCCTTAGCCATTTACGGAATCACTCAGGCAACAAACTGTTGCACAGCTACCTTACTTGATAAGCAAGATTCCATCTCACAGACAAAGGTGTCGATAAATCTAACCCAACCTATATCAAGCCTAAGAAATAGACAATAAGAACTCCAGGATAATTCTAGGCGGAACATTTGAGCAAAATTTAGCAGCAGAAGAAAGTATAAAAGTCATGCGACAGTGGTCAACGGTGAAGCGTTTGGCGAAACTAAGTAGTGATCGTTAGCGGTCACGTGAATTCTGGAGGCAACTTCTCTCTTCCTCGCCTTCTCTTGCGCCCAGTAAATTCGTGGTACTTTTCTAGTTTAGACTACAACGCCCCACATAACTAACATGTCATGTAAGTAGAGAGAAAGAAGATTAAGAGACATCAAACAAAAGAGAGTAGTCCAAATATCGAATTCTGCGACAGCTACTGCAAGTCCCATTGTAAGACGCGAGCATTTTAGACTGATAAAGTCGACTCTCGGTAACTTAGACATAGAGGTAACTAAAAGCCATACAACAGCTACCGGCGACACCGAATTTAGACTTTGTGTCTGCCAAAAGGAGAGCGAGGTGAGCTCCACTGTCGCATGTCGCAAAGAGGCTTCACATCGACAGCACGTGGTACAACGAGAGAATGGGAGAATAGAGAAATTGACAAGCTTAGAGACACCGATTCTCACAACTACTACTGGCTCCGCTCGAAGTCTATTTGAGAAATAGTTGAGGCTTCAGCAATCACGTGACACACTGGATCCGCATTTAATGCGGAGGCGTAGGCTTTAATAGTGAAAGCCCGACCAAGGAGAAGGGGAGGTAGGACTAGGTGATGTCTTAATAATGCATGAAAACCGGCTCAGAGACGCGTGTACATACACGCAGAAAAGGAGGACGCGCGCATCGTGTCTGAGTCTGTCCCGCCCCGGGAGGGAACAGACTGGAGGGGGGAGGGAAGGGAAAGGGGGAAAAGGGAGGCAGGGGGCTGAATCGCGTGTGTGCGTGTGTTTACGCACTTGTCGGAACAAATTGGCCAGCCGCCCGAAGCAACGCACCGCAGCACGACGCGATGGGAAAGCCGAGGGACGGACGAACGGACCAACCCACCGACCGGCGGCGAACGGCAGGCGGGGTGGGTGGGTGTGTGGGCGTGTGGATGTGGGTGCAATGGGCGAATTGTTTTGACTGTCATCCGCACCGCGCCGTTCAACGCACGTATTCACGCGCGCACGTAGATAAGCACGCGCGGACGCACTACTACTAACACAACGCCGCTCAGGGCAACGTAGACGGCTCGGACAAGACGCGCACAAATGGACCAATTTTTGGACAAGGACGCACGACGACGGCCACGACAACGACTGTTGCTACTGCCTCTGAGTCGTCGTAGTAATAGCAGCAGAAGCAGAAGCGGTGGTGGCGACGACAGCAGGCGGCCGCGGCATACATCAACCTTGTCCTAAAGCTCGGCCTTTTTCACCCGATTTCTACTACCGCTGCCACTACGCTGGTAGAGAAAAGCAGAAATTCCCTCTCCATCCACCCCACTCCACGCGCCCAATGGGCCAAAAATTCGCCTTGGTTGGGCTCGGCGAGCAGTCGATAATCGCTGTAGTGGCAGCGACCTTGACCTTGTTATTCGTCGCCGTGGTCTGTACTTTTTAAGGTCGTTCCAAGGGGAAGAAGCTGTTGAGTGATTGGTGGATAGGGGAGCGACTAGATCCTAACGGTGCTTTTAGCGTTTTACCTAATCAGAAGGAAGCGAAGGATCTTACTGTCCTCTTCAGCTTATCATATATATTGACTGATGATACAGAGTTGACTTTTCTTTGTGGTTACCTCGCCTTCGGCCTTACCGTCTCTCCTTACTGGTTAAACGCACACATACTTGATGCAATAGGAGGCAACAGTTAGCAAATTTTCACCACACAATTGCGCAAAAATTGTGGTAATTTTATTTTTACCTGGCTGATAGACCCCTAAGATCAGCTATACGGATTTTCGTTTTCGTCACCCGTACTGAGCTGAGGGCACATTTATACGAGTTAAGCTTGATTAAAATACGAATAGATGTCAGACAATGCATTAATTTAACATCAAACTAAAATAGGATACACATCAGGTAGGAAGAAACATCAAGCCACGAGACTAACAAAAAGGGTTACGATAGCTTCCGTAGACCTTGACCCAATGTACTTTTACCTAGCAGTAGTCACGCTGTTGGAAGCGAACATTAGTGAATCCGGTACAAGTAGGTAGGTGTGCAAGTCGCGTGACCAGAGGCGACACAAGGTAAGACACGCGTCGCGTCGTGCTACGCTGGTTATGCTGCGCTACAGCCGTAGCAACTTTGGCAACGAGTACTTTACGTTGCATCACGCGACCTGCTTATTGGCTGGCCCAAGGTCGCGAAAATTAGGTGACGCACCAAGAGAGGTAGAAGAGGCAGACCCACACACACGGTAGAGGCTTTCGGTGGCGGTGTTAGTCTTAGCGGTAGTAGCGCGGCTCGACGAGGACAAACCAGATCACGTGCCCGCCTGAGCCGGACTCTCGCCATCCCCATTCATTCATTTAATCACTTCACCTAACGCCACGTGACTGGTGGGCGGAAGGAGAGGGGAGAATTAAGTATGATTACTTTACCTCTCCCTCTCTCCACCTTTTCTGAGACGCAAAGCAACTTATTGAGGTGAAGAGGACGAGAACAAAGGCAAAAACTCTCCTGATGCCAATTAGGTGAACTTTGTTGGCACTTGATGATGAGTAGCTTGTCAAGTGAGATAAGCAGAGCACATGACCCGCATTGACCACAAACCTCTCTTCATTTCTCAGTAGATTGCTTTTGCATTTACCAGGCGGGTTCTTTGAGCCTTTCGTGAATACGTCTTTAGTAGTAGCTTAGTCGTTCTATGTACTAGCAATAAATTACTTCAAGGCTTGTTTGAGTCAGGGATGCCTTTATGTGTTGCCTTAATGACAGTGGTAAACGGAATCCACAGTAATTTTGCCAAGAGAGACATCCCCCAAGGATGACTGAATCTGGGGAGACTCACTCATTAAATCACCCCAACTTTCGGCGATTACAGCAAACCGTGAGTTCTACAATAATGCTCGTCCCAGGACAGACCAGACCGAAACAGATGGAAAAAGCCCACAAAGGAAATGCTGACAATACTAAACTCTGAATGTGATCCAGTGTGGAGGTCTGTTCGTCTGTAATAGTCCTACTTTTAGTATCTCAAGTGTGATAACGTCTACAGAGGTAACTCGAACGCTACAATGGTGGCAACAGTAAGTAAACCCACTGTGAAAGAACAAAACCCCGACTTTACTGGCTGAACACTGCATGAAAGCGTCAAAGAGACAGGGAATCCAGTTGCTGAATTGTAGAATTTGCAGAAGAGCTATTACCTCAACCTCAGCTATAGATAGTGTCGATACCGAAGTCAAACGAGGCTGGACTAATCTGAATCGTTCAACCTCAAATTTTCACATACTTACAATACGTGACGACTCCAGCACTACATAGAGACTTATGCTACCCGCTGAACCATCTCTGTAGAAATGGGACAGAGGGCTTTGAATAAGCTAAGAAAAGGAGGGAGAGGAACTTGGCATCTGTAAGGCAATTTCATCACCCTCAAGGATTCGTGTTGATTCAAGGCGGAGCAAAACAAGGAGGAATCCTAGTGACTTGAAACCGGAAGGGCATGTTTACGAGGCAGCGAGGACTACGGGGTCAAGGATGGGGTGTCACGCGCTCGTATGTACATAGGGACGCACACGAACGCTAAATGTGAAATAAATTTGCCCATTTAGGCTTGTGTATGTGTGCATACACGCACCACGAACAAGTACAGAATGACCTTGACTGACATAGGCAGAGGAAGAGGCTGCAAGAGAGCGCATGCACATATCTCCAGTGTGTGACCTTCAAGTGATTGGGTGCACACACGCACGCGTAAATGCAAAGGAGCCCTTATGCGTGTATGTGTCTTGTTTTCAGCCTTATTTCGTGTCTGCTAGATCCACGAACTCTTGCAAGTCAACTTTGAAATTCGAAGGGGGAAAAATGCGATGATAAACATCATACTTTGAAAGTGTATGATTTAAACCGGCCAAAATCGGGCAACTGTGTGTTTTGCCTTAGTGGTTTTCCGGCTCCTTTCATGTCGGAATCACAGTACTCTGCACAAATCAATGTAACATTTTAAGTTTGAGAGGGACTAAAGTAAAAGATATACAAAAGCTATTTCTAAAGACACCTTGGTTCGATGCTTTTTGCTGATTGAATCCCTGATTTCAGGAAACAAAGATGAACCGCAAGGAAATAGTGGTCGGTGTTTCTTTTTTAACTTCAGCGTGTCCAAATTGTAAATCCTCACGCCCTAAAGGCCGAAAGAATCTACCTACCATTCCCATTTGGAACCGATCAAAAAGGGGGGATGTCTCACCCCTTTTATAACTCAGGGCTTGATAGAACCTCCAAATCGTTTCGACGTTGGGTGGAGAAGGGGGTAAAATGATTGACAACCCACTCACCTTTTACGAAAACGTATTCTTTATTTGATGCCTCATCCTTCCATAGGTGCAGCACTACAGGATCAGGGTTTGCTAGGAATCCTAGGATTACGTAGCAATATTCTTGGCTTTAGGATTCCGAGAGAGAGAGAGGCAGAGGGAGGACCGAAATGATCAACTTAGTATTTCATTTTGCTAAACTCATCAATTAGACCGGTCACAAACGTGTTTGATACCTCTTCCGCCATTCTGAATGACTTCTTTGTAAACGTCGATGTTAGAATTCAAAGAAACTGGACTGATAATTATTCCATTATAATCTTGTGGATATATCATTCAACGCGCCCAAAAGTGGGTTTATGTGGCCTATTCCTATCCCAAAGGACTGAGTTTAGATTCATTTCCGGCCAAAAATTGAATCCAATCAAATGATTCAGGGAGGGAGACCGAAATGATGGATGGACCATTCCCTTTCAACTAGGATCAGTTGAAAAGATCGAAACGATCTTGTCTAGAGACTAACAGTTTGACAGAAATAACCCGAATCAACTCAAATTTGAGTCGGGAGGGTGGCAAAAAGGAAAGAAACACCAGTTTACTTTACGACATCACTAGCTAGTGTTTCTTGTCCACTTGGCCGGAGTTTGACAAACCCTTTGATTTGTTTATGTGATCAAAATTTGATGGGACTCTAGCAATTTTGAATGTAGAACTCATAGGCTAAAATTATTGCCTTGGTGCCGGTAACTTGAAGACGGATAAGTCTAAACCTGTACCTTTTTCCGGCTTATTTCTGTGTCCAAAGAGTCGCAGTGTCATAAAACCCTCGACTCCACAAAAATTAATTCCAGGTCGACCAAGCCGAATTTATCAATTAGACCAGCGAAGAGGTCACGATGTCCTGAAAGTTTTCTGCTTTATTTCTTGCTTATAAAATGCCGGGATTTGGTGAAACCGTACTATGACTCTGGGACAATGGAATACTCGATAGACCATGACCATCCCCATGTATCATTTGAAAGGAACAGTGTGAATGCGATAACGCCTCACTTGCTTTCTGATTCATTTAGTGCCTACAGTATATCAAGGCCAGGATTCAACAGAATCCCCGATCCTACAATCCAGAAAGATACACTAAAATACCCCTACTTTAAAAATTTACCAATTAAACTGGTCAAAAATGAGTTGTGTACAGGAACACCAGATGATGAGAGGCTTTGCAGACAAGCAATTCCAAAGAGTTCATTCACTCATTTTTTCATACCTTCTTTCGCATTGTGCCGTATTTTTAGCACAGTACACATATCACACCGCGTGAACATCGTATTTGCAGATAAAAAAACAGATCCCATCTCTCTGTCTCTCCCTCCCCTTCTTCCTTTTTTTCGAATTGTGCATAAATGGGAAAAGAAAGATAATGTTAACTTGAGTGACTGACCTCTGTCTTCAATTAAAGCATAAGGCCATCAAAGCTGCCGTCAGGATTTTCAAAGACAACCTTCTCCACCAGTGCCACCAGATTGCAGAATTCAAGTATCCCACCATAGCTGCCTACCACTTGCCCAAAAACCAGCACTCACTTTCCATCCAGCCGAGGCGGGCGGATCACTACGCTCCCTGAAGTAGGTGTAGTTGGTAGAAATGTAATCGTAGATCTGTTGTAACGTTGCTTGTTTCTCTGGGTACGATTCAATTGCCTTAGCAATGAGGTCCGAGTAGGTCTCCGAACCCCAAGGATTTCTGCGCGCCGGCCTCTTAGCAGCGGAACCAGTGCCACCACCGGTAGTAGCAGCAGCTGGCGTGGAACCTCCTACTCCAGTTGTTGGCGCTGTCGTTGTAGACGCCATCGCTCCCTGGGCGCTCATCAAATTCGGCTGTGGGATCGATAGTTGACTTCCCACCGAGCTAGGAGAACCCGAATGCAGCCCTGGTTGCTGTTGTTGCTGGGGTTGGGGACATGAACCGTTAGTATAGGGGGATGAGCTGCCGTAACCGCCGCCACAGGGTGTTAAAAGGCCACCACCACCTTCTGCATGATGACCAAACGGTGACGAAGCGGAGACGGATAAAACTGAAAAACTGGAGGATTGAAAGCCACCACCACCACTATTGGCATTCCAGTCTCTCGAACTGTGAGATGGTGATGAGGCAGTGTTGGCAAAGAAGTTTTGGGGGTAGTCAGAGGTCGTTGATTCAGGAGTCTTGTCGGCGACGAGACGACGAGAAGTAGAGAATTCCTGAGTACCGAGATCGGTCGCGGTGGGAGGGGAGTAGTGAAAGCCCCCGGCGCCGCCAGTGTTATTGTTGTTGGATGGCTGGTCGACGGGTGTAGTGGCGGCGGAGGTAGAAGCAGTGACACTGCGAAGGGCGAGTGCCGCAGCCGCTGTTGCCGTCGCCGTATCGGTGTAATGAAAACCTCTCGGAGCGTCAGAGTCGTGGTCCGAGGTGGGAGCACCGGCGCTCCAGGTGGACGCCCGGCCTCGGAATAAATCGGACATGGAGGGTGGAAAATCCGTTTTGAGAACCTGATATGGCAAATGCGAGCGTGCTTGCACTTAACCCTCTTTCTGCGAAATTAGTAATGTGTGAGCCGTAACCTACAGACAGAGAAAATTACAACAGAATGATTTTATATCAATGTCCAATTAATCCAACCAAAAGGCAGCAACTTTAACAAATAAAAAGGTACAACCCATATGTAGTGGTTATTTAATAATTAAAATGATTAACTTTTATTGCAGAACTAGAAGAAATATGACATTATTAAGGCCAGCAATTACTAGGACACATCATTGGTAGGTACAAACATGCTTTCAAAATAACACTATTAAACCCAAGTCATTCGAACAAAAAGAGTGGAAATTTACACCCTAATAAAAAGCGGCCAAAAGTAGATGTCATTTGTGTAAATGAAGCCTTAACTGTGTTTGCTAAAAATTTGCTTTATTTTTAGTATAAATGACAAATAAAGGTATCACATTCTAAAGCCCCTAAGTGGTACCACGTTCAACTTATCACGGCTAACAGCGAAGTGCCGATGAGGCTCGATGATTCCAAAATCTATATCAAAACCGCCCCAAAAAACTGATAAAAAACAAGAACTGCAAGGCGCGACCTCACCTCACGCAGTTGGCTTATTTTGAACGTGCAAAAGTTGAAGGAAAAAAATCCACTAAACAATTGGGAAACTTAAACAAATATGTTTTACATCAACAAATAAAAGACTCAAACTTGAATATTTTTAAATAAAATACAATTATTTTTGTTGTTTACAATATTTTTTATTTTCGCTTTTGGTTTTTTTGCAATGTGAATATAGGGATTTAAACATACTAGTGTAAATTTTACCCTCATCTGATAAGTGATAAAGCATGTGTTAGGTCTATCGTGTAGCGGCTATAATAAGACAAGTTTTTTCTAACTGCGCAAAGCACAAATGACCCTAAGCAGTAGCTTTGTACCCAGTATTTTCTACTTGCCTAACTAGGGTGAATCTTATTTCATTTTATTTCACATAGTGAAAGAAACTAAATAAGGCACTATTTGAAATTTATTATTTTAAAGTTTCATTAAAAATATGGCTTTGGAAACACTAATTTCCTGTTATTTATTCGCCTATTTGCATTCTGTAATTCGAAATGATGGCCCGCGCACATTTTTAAACACATCAGGCTTGGATTCGCCAATTTTAAACCTACATATGATTTAAAGTGTCTTCGATTTTAATAAGTGCTATAATATTTCTCAGTTGGCTTATAGGTAGCCCATCGTAGTGAGTGATTTGTCATAAAAGTGGTATTTGCATATTTAACCTAAGGCCTTCAAACAGACCAACTTTTATAACGATTGAAAGAGTATCTACGTTGACCAAGGTCCATCAAGATTAATAAATGATTGTTAACTACAGGAAAGCTGAATTTACAATGAGAATAGCTAATAAGCACACTGAGTTTTTTCGAATCGGTGAAGCCTTCTACTGTATAATCATATTTTAATGTGTTTTACTTCATAATAAGTCCTTTTCGATAAAACTGCTTTAAGGTCCACCTTGTGTCGATCTTCTCCATTGATGCATACAACCTACGCGTTTGCTCTGCTCTAAATAGTGTTAATTTGCAGCCTGACATTTGTTTGTGGTAACTTCTGCTATCGCTAGTTGATTGCCACAGAAAACATATTTCTTAACCAGGAGGTGGAGGTTTTTGATGGACAGATGCCTTGTTAGATTCAAGAACCCCCTTTTCTAGAAGAAGTTAATTTTGTTCTTAACCTAATATCGCCTATGATAAAAAGTGGTCCTTCCAAGGTTGCGGCCCTAAACCTCTCAGTACGAGTACTACTTCATGTAGATACCACTCTATCTGCCACTTCAAATAGTGCCCTTTGTGTTCTGCAGCAAATTATGTCGAGATGCTCAAATTAATTCTCTTACATCTTCCCTGGTGTGTTTTCAGCTTTGACCTCAGTATTATGCCTCTCTGTGGCTTTGGATGAAAGGTTAGCTAGGTTACATTCCCATGGGGTCGGCTGGCTGACTATCCAGCTGAATGCGGGGGCAGACGGTTGTGGGTCTAGAGCATGTTCATCGCCTCTGGCACAATGCGTATAAGCCTCAGTTTTTCAGCCTAGTCTACGCCTCCATTTCCACCAGTCTCTATTCCTTGGATCTCAAAATGGAAGAAAGGAATTTGCAGTAAGTTTAAATCGGGGAAAATCGACCAGCAAACCAAGGTATTGCGATAGGGATTTTCTTCTCCTCAGGCTATGCTAGGCGCGATGACTTGACACGTGTCTAGCTAGGAATGCAAAACCTTTGAAGTACCAGTTGAAAGTAAGCTAAAAACATGCTTCTCGAAGTGGTTGTCGGTGGGAACGAAGTGTGTAAGGTCCCGTTAATCTTGTCAATCAATAGGGGAATCACTAACTTGAAGTTATTTTGCTTGTTTTTATAAAGGGAGCGCGAAATCCAACAGGCAGTAGACCTTGAAGCCCGTTCTCAGGGGATTTCAGACATAACACAGCAGCTGAAAGGCAAAAGGAGCCAAACACATAAAGCCCCATTTCTGGTTCGAAAAAAGAGATCTTAATAGCCATACATTTGGGAAATGGGAGGCCATTATACAAAGGAAAACATTCACACACGTCGGATTTCCTTGAGTTGAGGGTAGAAGGTTGAGTCCACCATCCAGAATCTGTGTTAAAAGAAAGCAAGAAAGAATGGTAAATGTCAGCCACTAGGTACGTTCAGTGCAACCCAGAGAACAAAACGATATGAATAAGGGACATTTGAGCAATTTCAACAAGGAAAAAATCGCTATTTTATCGTCAGAATGGAGTGCCGATAGGTTCGGATGGAGGTGTCACCATTTTCGAGTGTGTGACCCAGCCGATATTACTCACTAACACTCTCTCAGTTGTAATTTCCACTGCTCAAGTCATCGACACTGTCAAAATAATCACTCCACCGATGAAAGGGAAAATTTAATTTCTTGACTGCAGAAAGGGGGTGATACCGAAGAGTCATCTAATTTTTTGTCTTAATTCCACCTTCAAACAACTGTACGTTCCATCGAACGGGTCCGCAAATCTCTCAAAAACAAAAATGGAAAAAACTATCAGATTTTTTGATCAGTCAAGTAATTAATTGATTCAATCCATTTGCCGTGAAGTCACCTTTCACGCAAAACATCCCGCAGCAAAGGCTCCACACGGCGGGGCAGTATGCATGTGGCACCCGCCAACGCCAACTCATCTCGCACATCTGATTGGTCCCAGGGTGGCAGAGCCAATCAATTGACAGACCAATCGGTAGAGCGAAGATGTTTAGGAGCAAGGCGGCTTGTGTAGTATATTTTGCAGGTCTTATTACAGTTATGTCAAGCGACGATTACGCACGACATCAGCAGCAACATCAGAAGAGTTTGGCAGATGGAGCCATCAAGATGGAGCCCACAATAGGCAGAAGCGTTTCTTTTGGTGCTGCTGCCGCTGCTGCCACTGCCACTGCCGGTGGTGGTGGTGGTGATGGTGGAAGCGCCAAGGCAATGCGAGGAAAACCAACTAGTGCACTCCACATGGAAGAGGAGAAGTACATCGCTCTTCGTAAACGAAATAACATCGCTGTGCGAAAGTCGCGAGAGAAACAGCGGGCTAAGCAGAACGAGGTTATCAAAACGTAAGTACGACATTGGGATGATACAGTTCGTAATAATCCCTCGTCATAAACTGCTATTCTTACATCCTCACTAGGAAGCGAAAACAATATATTCTGGCATAAACTGTACAATAGAATACAATTTCTCGTACCGTACTTAAAAAGGGTTTGGAAAACGCAATTTCATGCTTGAGCGTGCTTTAGCATGTTGTCATGGCAATCCGCTTTTGACAGCAGTTACAAGAGCAAGTTGGAAGCATTGGCGGCTTTCAACCCAGTCGCACATAGAAATGCAAATCAATCACGCGCATTTTTTAAAATGAACCATAAGAAAGCTACGCGCTCCTTGTAGGACTTTTGGAGCCTGCTTTAGGTCTCGAAAATTCGTGCTTGATCGTCGCAATATCTTGTGATCAAATGTATTTCTGGTACTATCTGGTGTCAAACAATGCCACTTTTCAGTAGAATATGACACAATTAAGTATCTTAACAGGAGATCCGCATGGTAAATAGCATTATCCTTTATTTAAATAGCCAAAAATACGGTGTTATCGCCAAGAATAGCCACATACCAGTGTCTGGAATGCGCTCGGTTAATTAACATGGAAATATGGGAATAAGATCAGTTAGAGGTGGTTTATTTTGGGAATTTTATGCTGGTGTATCGCGTCATCACTCGTTCCAAATCAAGTCTGCGGTCGATAGAGATTTGATTGGCCGAAAATTCGACCATTGATTGGCTGATTCTTCACCAATCAGTTGCGTATTTCACCAAAAATTCCAATTTCTTGTCACTTGAGAAAGTTGAATGTATTTTGTCATCTCCTAAAGTAAATATTAAATCTCGAGGAGGCCAGAAGCATGGCTCTGGGCCTTAAACTATAAACCACTGAAAGACCACCCTACCGGATTTGCTTAATGACCAGGTTAAATTGTGGTCCTTTTCTAGGCTCTCCATCCTTAGAGACGAAAATTCCAGCCTACAATCAACAGTAGCGGCTCGAATCCGTGAATTAAACCTTTTAAACAGCCTCCTCAAACAGGTGAAACACGCGCCTCCAAAGCGCCTCTCAAAGATCCTCAGTGCCTATAACCTGGAGCAAGGCCCTGATCTCTGTTCTGACAATCCCATCCTTCAATCATCTACATCTTCTAGCTTTTCCCCTTCCTCCTCGCCTCACTCCATTCCTTCCTCCTCATCCGCAGCTATTAGGCTCATTTCTACTACTGCCTACAGACAACAGCAGTAGCATGTTTGTAATCGCCATCACAATTTGCGCGATGACTCCGGTTGAAATGCTCACCACTTCTCTTGCCCTTCATCACTGTACATATTATTTACTTCCTGGGAAAAAAACATGTGTTTCTGGTAAAACGCATAGATTTGAGAGGCCCTCTTATGCACAAAAATAAAATTTCCCAACGATACAAATCACTGCTTGATTTTGCCTTTAAGTTCTCGCTTTGTAGTGCCAACTCCTAGCCTATTATTAGAGCACTTGGGGGCTTTAGACACCACCAATTCGAATGCACGGCCTTGTCTCAGTTGTGAAAATTCTTAGTGAAACAACCTTTTTTAACAAACTATGGGATTGGCAAGTACTGTCAGTTAGGAACACTCAAAGTTGCTTGAAATCATTATCCAATAGAGGTTTGAAGTAGTTGAAGAACAGGAAGGCATGTTCTAATTGCATTACGGCATTAGCTCTCCTCGCTTTGAGTCCTTTTCACCTAGCAGACCTAAGTAAGATTCTGCCTACGATTTCTACACGATCTTCTTTTGTCGGACGCTATTAGTGTCTCAGAGACATGTACGCCTTCGGGGTTTGGGAGCTAACTCAGTCAATCCCTTATACCGCCAGTAGCCCTTTAAGTGAGAGTCAGCCAGATGCTGTTGCTGTTCATCGAAAAGGTTGGTTCACACAATGGAAAACTGCACTTCTCAACAGTAAAATCTGACAAAATGTCAGTTTACCACCTTTCTTCTGCAAAAACAAGTGAATTGGAGCATCTCTAAGGTGAATAAAAGGTGGGCAAGGCAAGACACCGAGTCAGTGGTGGACCCATGCAGCCAAAGTGAATGCTCATTTGTTTATTTGATCAACATGCGGAAAAATGAGTGAATAGTTGAGCTGTACATTGTCTATGTGAAGTCAAGCGTGAAACTAGTATAAGGGCACGGCGCTTTGGCATCACTAAGTGTTCTCATGTCTAGGAGAAGTAGAGATAGCTGATGAACTTCTTGCCAGGTGCAGGCAGCAGCTCATGCAGCTTACTTCGCATTCAAAACCCTCTTTTCTAGCCTCGCTGGCAGCGACACGCGGTTAACATGTGAATTCGCATGTGGTAAGCTAACACTCTCCGCTGTGCGCCATGAAGATGTGGGTCGCACTTCTGCTATTTCTCTTTTGCTCGTACTGACTGATGGTCAATAGCTGATTGAATAACTTGATAATTCGCTCTTTGATTAATATGTCACATGTCAACCTGATTCACGTGCTCCAATCCTGGGAAATTTGCTCCGAATTGAGACGTATCGCTCAAATCCCAAATGAGTACTAACTAACCTTTTTCGCCCATGTTTTGAATTCTGAAATTCAAATTTCCATTGAGGGGGAAAATAATACATCTTTCGATTTTCCCCCTGTTTTGCAATGGGGATTCGCACACCGAAAAATTCGGTCAAATCCCCACCACTCGCCCTCAACCCAGTGTTTGAATTCACCACGAGTTTCAATAAATAAAAATCTACCTCATTTGACAATATTTACCCCCCTTGTAAGTGTCAAATTTTACTGTTGCAGAAACTTTTGTGACAATACACTAGGCAAGGGGAGTGAGAAAAGATACACCTCTCCTGCAGACGAAAATAAAAACGCGATATAGTGATGCATTTTGAGCACTAAAATTTGACTGGCACAATAGCACCCTACTCAAAACGTGCGTTAGAGAGAGTGCAAAAGAACTGGAAGGTGCAGCACCACTGAGAGAAACAGAAGAAGGCGTGGGAATCCTCAATCAATGCGAGTGATGCTTCAAGGTCAAGGCCATGCTATAAGAACGGTAGTTTTCCATAACAATTGTCGACCCCACGATGATAGAATGAACCCAATCCCTCTTACGCGAAATCCGTGAGATGCAATAACTTGGGATTTTTGTTTACCTTTACTTAGGTAATGCAACGAATCATAAACGGTCTAACATACCATTTATTAGTACATACTAGATACCAAATTTAAAGTAATCTGGTACGAGAACACCATGACGCAGCCAACACTCCCAGTCAGCGCGAAAGTATGCGTACCTTTCGTTTAAAGCATTTTACCTCACATAGACGCACCAAAACATTGATCTCTGCGCGACAATCCTGTGAGCTCATTCAAAGCCTTCTCCACTTAATATGCAGTTGGCATTTGGAAAAAGTGGTAATTTGGGTAAATCATTAGGCCACCTCTAAATATTACATTGCCTAGCGTGGTTGAAACTTTGGCAGATTTGCCAGGGCTTGACGACAAACGAATCGACAATTTACTCCTCTGCCCGAAAACCAAGTCACATTCAAAAAAACGACAAAATCTGCTTGACTGAGTAAAATTAATATTTATTGTGTTTACCTTAACAGGTATTTTTACATGTGATCCGCTACATCGTAGTTGATTAGGAGATTGTAAGTGGTAATAACCTCTATTTCCTTTAAGCCGTATATTCAGGCTTTGCTTGATAATTTAATGGTGCAAAAAATTCACCTTTAATCTCTACTTTCTGCAAGACCCTGAGACTAGAATTGTAACATTTGAAGTTCATAGACGATTAGTTGATGGAACGTTCTCACATGCATTATTAACCAATGAGATTTAATCACTAGTTGATAAATATCTCATAAATGGAGCATCAACATAGTTTCAATCCCCTAATCTCGATCCTCTATATCCAAAAGGATGTAATCTGTCAGGTAGATTTGTTGTCTTCTGTGATGAGATTATTCTGCTTAGAGAGTAATCTAATTTCCAGAAAAACTAAAAAATTGACTTTGGTTTATTCCAAATTACGGTGTGAGCTTTTAGAACAAAGCATATTAGGTTAAGGATAATGTTAGATTGGTTGTGTACTTGAGGGAAATAGCAAGAATTAAGTATTTGTATTCATTCAGTCCAGAACTGCAAAATTTTTTACTATTCAAAATGAGTTTTTTCTGACCTTAACTTTCTCTTGTTTAAACTACCAACCCACCAACGGCCATCAATAATTGGCTACGCGTCTTTTTAAACAATGAAATACAATCCTTGATTGGCTAACATTACGCAGATGAGACACCAATTATTTTTCCCCATAATTAAAACCTTTTTTCGAAGAAATTGAAATCCAACGAAAGCTTGTACTAAACCAGCTAAATGGACTTTTGATCGCACGAAGTCGATTACGTAGAGGAGTGATGGGTATCTTTTGTTTTTACTTTGGGCGTTAGTAGAGGTGTCATTTTTTGCTATAAACTCCGGCGGAAACTTTTACAAGGTCTGTCCGTCCATTTAGCACTCTAAGTATAAAAGAATAGCATATGACCGCGGTGCTGAGAGTGCCATCTGCCTAGGAGGCTAGTAGAAGGGCGTTAACTTGTAACAAGAGAGGCGCAGCACCAGTTAGCATTGAAGTTGAAAATACGTGCTATGCTTCCGATCACATAATCTGATCTCATAGACCATCTACCACAAATATGAGCTGACAAGGCGTGATTGTGTGAAATTTCCATGTCACGCTTGTAGTTTCAAAGCTCATTACCATGCCATAGGCTTCTCAAGGCGTCATTTGACACCTAAGTGTCAAGGCCAGGTGTACAGGAAGTAAGGCTTTGAATGGTTAAACGGTAAACACATTTGACGGTTACGCAAAACCACAGAAATTAAGCAGCATTGCTGCCAAGATGTGAATTTGTTCATTTCCTTCTCGCAAAGAAGATGGGTAACCTCAAGGATCACCGTGAACTGCGACCAGAAAAATCCCGTAGCAGGTTGCTCGTCGTTTTGGTTGTGTGAACGAATGTAAGAATCTTCATGGTTTCTGGTAAAGTTGCCTCCAGGAAGGTGGGATGAGAGTCTGCTACTAGCCTTCCAGCCCTTCCGTGGACCTGTCACAAGACTTCTTATGATGTAGTATAGCACACATGGAGCTTTACGAAATGACTTTTGTGCCTGGTACTATGTTGGCAAAAGAAACTCAAAAATGATGCATTGTATCACATAATGTGCATTTTCTTTGTTGGTGAGGTAAACTCCGTATGAAGCGCACTTTTTATTGCCGTAATAGGTGGAGTCCCATTCCCGAGATCCCTTGATTATGCTAATGTGCAAATGTACGAGATGCACCCAACAGTATTGCACAAAAAATCAATCATTTGTAAAACAAAAAAAGGCTAAAGACAAAACTTCAGACTTTGATCACCTATGAAATTTTAATGTGATTGGTTGGCCATTTCTAATTGGTTATTCATTCATTATTTTTCCATTTTAAAAAGTATTATTTGTGCTAAAACCTGTGGAAATTGTCAGGCATGAGCAAAAGCTGATGCAATTTATTTAATTATGTAGCCATTGGACAAAATGTATCATGAAGATCGGGGCTGGTAAGCTCGGTTACTTACAATGGGAGTCAGCAAGATGCTCGGATCATAGAATGTTTTCCTGCAAATACCTCCATTTTAAAGGGTAAATGTTTGAGTCAGAAAGGGTGTGCGGTCATGCGGCAATAGTGAAGGTCAAATTTTCATTCGTTGTTGGGGGGTGAAGTCGTCATCGCCAACAGCATCTTCATCAACAACCAACTCCCGTCACAATTTAAGCAAAGCTCCAGTCTTTCGTCTCGCAAATGTCACTAAATAAACGTTTTAAATGCAGCACAACTCAACACAACAGCGAAATTTCAATTATTTTGGGAAAAAATTGATTTTGCTTATTCTTTCGAGAAATACCCAACCTTCCTCAGGATTTTCTAAGTTCGACATTGGCAAGTCAGCCTTTGATTCCATTGATATATGGGGATACATATAATCTTCCAGCCATGGAGTTATATTTCTGTCAAACGGGCGTTCAGCGGCAAGCATTCTGCGCTCAATTCGTGTGTACCATTCACAAGAACGACCGCTGCGCTGTGGGCTAAGGGCTCCCATGGACAAAATCACCAATTGTGGATGTGTAATCCGAATCAGGACTTTCGTAACACTGAAATCCCCTACTACTAATACCTGAGCGTCACATCACTCTAGAACACCAACTTTAGGTTCCTGACTTATGCCTTCGCCCTCAAGGCACCCATCCATCAGCACACATTGTTACATGTACGAATTAACAGCTTTTTCTGTCAATTTGATTAATGATGTCTGATTCAACCTATAAGACTAGCACTGGCTAATATGGGTGATAAGGGGACACACTTCCACCTCACTAATGTGCACAGTACCGCCAAGACATAAGTCCCCTTTATGGTCCTTAAATGGAGGGTCTTGGTCCGGCTCAAACGCCTCTCATACTTAAAACCCATGAAGAATAAGTGGTTTCAAAGGAGTGAAAGTAGGAACAATTTGCTTAATTTTGTTTGATAACACACTCTAACTTTGAAAAAAAGAAAAATGTGGATTAAGAGAAGCAAAATCAAAACGAGCGGCTCACTATCAATGCTTCATGGTGCTCGAGCCAACCCTGAGGTGGTTTAGTTTTGTTGTTGTTGTTGTTGGGATGAGCGGGGCCCTACACCACCAACGCGTAGGTGTGGGTGTGTGAGATTGACAAGGTTTGTGCAGTTCTAGTAGATAGCCAAAACTTTCATAGTTCTGCTGCCATGAGGCCGCCCTAACTTTTGGAAACCACCCACTCTAAATCTATACAGCGGTCTGCAATTAGACAAGAGCAGATTTGTACTAACTTAAACAGTTTATAGCAAAATCGCTTTGGTTTCAAGAGTAAAAATAACAAATTTAGGGAGTCACGTGAGGAATATATGCTTCTTTATGTTACGGGAAGACGACAATAGTCCATATAGGTAACTGAACAGCACTAAAATGACAGCACAGAATGGAGATGTGAAAAAACTGATTTCAAAGGGGCCGCGACAAGTGGACCCAAAGAAGTCAACCGCTGAAAACCAAAGTCTTCTTGTCAATGTGAAATACATTCATCGACTTTTATGCCTGTCTTTTATTTGGTTTTAAAACACTGTAAGACGACTTGCCACGGAAGAGGGAACTACTTCACAGAACCCTATTCATCCATATGCAAATGAGCTATTATACTGGTATCATGGACTTCTAAACATCTATAAAACCTTCTTCCAGATTGATTAGCCTTATCACGCCTTCAGAGGGGAGTCGGATGCTATAGAGGGATAATTAAAGTGACGTTCAGGCAATGGATGGCATACTTACTTTTAGGTATGAGAAAAACATATTGAATAACCAAAAAACCTACTAAATTTTTGAGACTTGTTTGTAATAAAATGTGGGTGGAGTACAAGCTAATGACAACTCACATTTGACATTTAATTCAAAGTAAGTTTGTCTGTAAAAATGCCGCTCTTTGCGCTTAATGTCAATCAAGTTTCAGTACACAGCTTTATTTGATATTTTCTGGGTGGTTAAGCTCCCAAATGCAGAATTCTGACAATCTCACTGCCGTCTACCCAGAACGCCTACATATTAAAAGAATCAAAACATTTATTGCATCATTTAATAGGACTAAAGAGCTAAGTAGAAGGCTTTGACTAAGACTTAGAAGGCAAATTATGGTACAAAATTGGTAAAGAAGCCTGACGAATTAATTCATATTTTGAATCAGTGAAGTCTTTTTTTATTATTTGTTGGAAATGTTCCAGATCGCCTTTCGATGCATCCGACCGTTGACCGCAAGGATGGCATAGTTCGTCAACAACGACTCCATTTTCAAGTCCTTCTGTCTGTTCATTTTTGCCGAGAGTTTAGCATTATGAGATCCTTACATCCAGCCTATTTCCTCAGCAAACGTTCCCACGCCTGCATGGTACGGGCCTATAAACCTACTGACAAATTACAGTAGCGTTTTTGAAAACGAATCTGAAGAGCAAATAGGAAAGCAGCAAGACCTTCCAATAACAGTCCATAAATTCTAAGCACAATTTGTAAATTCTATCACAATGCAGCTAATAAAAAATACCGTTCAAAAACCTCCAAGGCTATTGAAACTCCTTCAAATTATCCCAAACGTTCAACCGAAAATGAGGGTTTAATCAACAAAAGTATCTTAAACTAAGCTGAATTGAGTTTCCAGGCTTCGACCTTGACCCGTTTAACCAAATAAACAATTACTGTGGGGGTGTTGGTAATCAGCTATCAAAAACCTAAATTAATGATTTTGAAGATGCATTAAAAAAAACTTAGTTTGTAGGTCGAATAGAATAACGTGGAACATGAAGTCATATCGAAAAAATATATTGACGACAACATTGTTTTAGTCAACGTCATAAGTCCACAAACTTTTTGATTTAGTACATTGCATAAAAGCCTTTTTAAGAAAAAAAATCAGCAGGCACAATAATTTTCTGCTCCGAATATTATAAAAAAGCCTCGTAAGTGGCCTAAGTGATCTGCAATACCTTATTTATGAAGAAAACCTGAGCTCCCCTTCTAACCCTTCATATACTTCATCTTTTGAATTCTAAAACACGCCCTAATCCAACACATTAATCTAAGCAGGATTTTTAGTCACTGCGAGTTTCAGACGACATCTTGGTGGCGGTGGGTTATGTTCACGTCAGTCCTATCAACTCTTCTGCTTTAATGGGGACTATACGTCCTATAACATCCTCAGGGAGGACCCAAATACTGAAATAGCAATCACTTTTCTACTTCTAACCCCTCCGACCCACACCTTTAGTTTTTAACAATGTCAACTGTAGGTTCTAGACCGCATGTGCAGCACTGTAGCTAAGTGGGAAGGATATTTCAGGACGCAATATATTCGATCATTCAATCAGTCAATCATGGCTATTGGGGTGTTGTTCACACCAACGCTGATGTGCATGTTTGTCGGAGGCATGATTCTTTCAGGAAATGCCGAGACACAGAGAGGAGGAGTAGGGGCAGAGTAGAAACCATGGCTGACGTCTTAAGGACAGGAAGGGACAGGGAGAAGAGGATAAGTAAATGTTTGTGTAGTCTATACAGTGGTGAGTGAAATCAGACCTCCGCTGCTAGTAGGCCGATGTTGTTGAGACTGCTGCGTCGGTGTCCCCCGATGTCGGTGCCCACTGGAGCCGCGTGGCGCTCGACCGCCCTCTCGCCCCGCAGAATTGGAACTCGTGCATCCCTCTTGTTGTCGTCTGCGCTCACAGCCGCCGCCTTTGCTATGGTGTCGGTTGCTCACCATCGCAGCGCCTTTGCTTCGCATCTCCCCGCCACCGTCGTCGTCTGCCATACCACTCGTTCGCTCTTCCGCGTGATGATGACTAGTACGTCCCTTGATAGGACGATTTCTACAGGAAACAAATAATTGTTACCATTAGGTTCGAAATAAACAGGGAGTTCTCGCTTAGCTAAGTGGTACTTGATGCGCGCTCGGTTGGAAGTTAGCAAGCTGAGAAGGTATACTCAATATTTGTTTGGTAAAACTGAATGGAATTGTTCTATAAGAGCCGTCAAGATCACGTCCTTTAGAACAATGGAAGGAGCTCTGCATGGAAATGTTCCATGGAAATGGAAACTTATGTACCAATTACGAATAAATGTGAGGATGCTTGTCATCTGCGTATGCGACTTTCCTCTATGTTAATTTTAGGTGATTGACACTGTCCAGAGAATCCTCCGTCTACCTTTACGACACGAACGGCCGCTTCACCACGTCGTCTTTGGTTCTGCACTGGCCGAATAGGAAGAGTTAGCACAGGGTGCATTAGGGATGACGTTTAAAGCAGGAGGAGAACCATGTTAGTAAGTGTTACCTTGTAAAGCAATGTACTTGAATGCATGCTTTTTTTCATCCTGCATGGCACTAAGAAAAAGGAAGGCTTGCTCCACCGGCGCTTTTTTCAACTTCTAATCATTTACGGTGAATTTGGTGGATTGGAAAGGTTTAAGTTCAGATAAAATGCAGGAATTTTAGGAAAAATCCATTCTTTTAACTTTGTCTTGCATGTTGTGAAAACATTTGCTCGTTTGTCAGGATGATTTTTCCGAGGATCGAGTAAGGGTGTTTTTTTGTGATCTTTGAATGGTGATTATGAATATGAAGAAGAAGGAAGGTAGCAGCGATAGCAAATGATCCAAATCGCCTAAATAACCAGAAAATCATTAGCCGGGCTACACCGTTGCCACGCCAATTTGTCATCTTCACTAAGTAGGCGGGACATCATTGTAACTCACGGAGCAGACCCAACACTAACACGTTTTAGAGGATTTTTTCCAAACAAGAAATCATTAGGACTAAGGCTTTTGTGTTACAACTCCACAATTGGCCGTGTTGTGTCCTTAGCAATGAAGACTATTTTTAAAAAATAGGAAATATTAGACAAGGCACAAGATTGCGTGAAACATTTGGACTAGAAGAATGAAAAGACTCAACTTCCAAAAGAAAGTGGTGCTTTTTGAAAAGAATGAAAAATTGAAATTTATGTATTTTACACGCGAATGTGGATAGCTTTTTTGAAATAAGATGTCGAACCAAATAACATTTAAATGCACACTGAGTAGTGAAAAAGGTCCTAAATGCCTCAATTACGAAGTATTTAGATGATGACAAATAAAAAATGTCAGTGTTGATGATTAATATCATTCAGATGGTTAGTAAAGCGCTAGAAAACTTGTCACTGTGCGAAGCAGCTAGGAATTTAACGATAGCAAATATATTAACAAAATGGTTGTGAGAGGTGTAAGAGATCTAAAATGTGGATTACAATAGCAAATTTTGGATTCATTACTATGCAATTTCCACCCATAAATTCAATTTTGTGACTTACTGAACAAGAGAAACGGTGCTTCTTACAAATACTTTTGGCAAACTGACATTTATGATATCTTATTTAAAACTTTCACCCGTACGGTTGGCAAAAACACAGTGGACTTTTCTGAAAGTAAGTTTTGAATAATCAACGGTTTAAGCTGATAACCATACTTTCTAGAGTATTTTCGTAATTGCTTGTTTTACCAGGTAAATGATAGGATTTTGGTTATTAGTCAACTCATTCGACCTTTTTAATTAGCAAACAACTAAGTGCATACAGAACTTACGAATTAAGCTTTATTTCCTTAAATCAAACATTTGAATTGCAAATTTTTCTTAAAATATTTATGGAACAATTCAAAAATTGTAATTTTATACGAATTTTCTAGCGGAAAGGCCATCATGTCTGTTTCGTGTGTCAATGCACGCGACTAATTTACCTCTCCACTCAACCCTTTTTTGAGTCGATGTAAAATAAGCCAGGCTCTGGAAGAGGGTTGGTAACTTCAGCCATGGCGTGGTTACCAGTTCGTCCTAGAATTGTAGTTTCTAGCAGGAGCTTACTCATTACCATTGTGGATTAAGGATACACGTGGAGGGAGGCTAGGTGACTGTAACTGTCATGACCAGAGGACGATCTATGAGACCTGTAGGTAGTACACGGACAAACATTTCAGGAAGCGTGCTTCCGGTGTGGTTGGCTGGGCTACAGTTTCGCATTTTATGATCATTATACACACGTTTCTCTCATTCCGCTTTCGGTGCCATAAATCATCTCTCAGGGAGTCTCAGGTCGGCAGAGAAATAAGTCTTTTTTCCTGAACAGTGAGACGAAGGTTAAAAAGTTATTTAATTGGGCGCGCATGTTTACGCACACTTCCATTACGAAATCGGCCCATCAGGACGTTCCCTTCTAGGGTATTCGAGCACTTTGGCATCACATAGTATAGCGGTGCTGATCATGATTTTCGATTCTTGTCTGAAAGAAATTTTTGTTCTTTTACAAGTAATTGTGGACATCATGTAGGATTCATGAATAGCATGCATTTAGGTTACTGACCAAAATATGCCCAGCATACTGAAAATTGCAGTAAATGCAAAAAGGATGGTAAAATGCAGGAAGCAGGGTAAAAAAGGAACGTGTGACAGTGGAAGGTATTTAACTTAGCAATTGCAAAAATATCGACTTAAATAATCAAAACTGCTTTTCACATTCAACAGTAAATTGTCTGTGATGGTATTCCTCTTCAAACTACTATGGTATCTGCCTTTTGCTTAACTTGTAGGACATCTTTATGCCACAGTCACGGATCTGTGATTTTGAACAAGTAAAAAAGGCAGTCACACCTCTGGCTTTGGGACTGAACAAATAAATGTTAAAACACATTTTAGGCCCATTTAAGAGTTTAAATGTGACAGATAAGCTCCTGTACATTAATTGGTAAGCAACTATGAAACAGCCACATCTTGTTCGGCAAGTAAAAAATACCTACGCTTACAAGAGTTAAAAAACATTGTTTATTGTAAATGTTAAAAACTTGGTAACAGGGTGAAGTTGGCTGTGGTAATCGACTTACTGCAGACAGCCATTTGGAGGTACTGTAAACGTGTTCAGTCAAGTCAAATTGCTATCGCTGTGTCAACTTTTACAAATATTTGTGTCCTGAGGGGAATTAAGTGCAGTCGATGCCCTTTAAGAAAACGGAAATGACGAATAGCGGCAGACTTTAAACGGATCGTTTGGTGACACATGAAATGGGTTCACTGATTGGAAAGAGAAAACCAATGCATGCGTAAAATAGTTTAGCAACTACTAAAGCTTCTCTTAGTGAGCTATAGGTAAATGAATCTAAAAGGTGAATTTAGTTTGGTGGTGAACCCGCCTACTGAATAGGAAAATAAGTAGTTAAATATTCGTGCACACGTGACCTGTACTCACCTGACCGGTCGACGAGTGATATATCGCGTGCCATCAGTGCGTTTCTTCACCACCCACTCCATCAGCGGTCGATTCTGCGTCCGCACTTGAGCCTGTGTCTCTCCAAGGCCGGCATATCGGTTGATATGGCTACCACCATCCCCGTTGCCGCAGGTGGCGTTGATGACGCCGTAGGAGGTGAAGCAGACGCCGCCGTTGTCGTTAGCATCATCGGGTATCTTGGAGGCGCCCACCACGTCCACGGCCGCGTAGGGTGTCTCATATATATTGGAGGAGGCTGTGTCATCCTATAAGGAATTGGGCATTATGTAAGAAAGACTCGTGCTTGCCCCAAGTTATGAGCCCACATCGGTAGAGAAGCCTCATTCTCTTTTACCAGTAAAAGTTGTCTTGACTATAAGGAGAGGGTAGTAAAAGGATTTGAAGTCCAGTAGCAAAAAAATGGAGACATTTATCGATGAATCAGTCTCTTTTCAAAAAAGACTAACTTTGGATGAATATGCACGCTATCTCGAAGTAGACAAAACCGTTTAAGTGAAGGCTTCAAATCAACATTTTCACCTCCCACTTTTATTACAAAGCTTAATGCCACTAATTAAAGTTGGTTACAACCCTTGTGAAAAACAATGTGTTCCAGGTTACCTTCAACACCTCGCAGACAAATAGACCTCCCCGAAAGCCCTTCGTCCCCACTTCAGGCAAATTTTAAGGACCCTTAGTTTGCAAGGAGGAAAAAAGAGGTATTTATTACCGTTGAAATACTTTGATTATGTACCAAACTTTAATTTGAATTTCGAAGATGCTTTCGTATTTCCACTGGTTGGCATGGCCTCCGGGTCATTCCAGTAGACCCCTAGTTCTTCTGTACATTGATAGTACACTTTCTGTCCTACTATTTGTGATTTTTATCGTCTTGTGAAAATGATTTAGGCGTCACATTGGTGGCGACGGAAAGTGAACCAAAGAATGAAGGACAACTACCCTGAACGCTAAATGGGAGAAGGGCATATGCTGTCGATGGGAGAACCTCTGACGTCCCCTAGCAGTACCATTGGTAACTACCCAATTCCCGTGTTCTGCCGAAGGGTCCTGGCAACTGAAGCGCCGCTAGCCATAAACTTTCCAGAAAAGTTCGTTACGGAGCTGTTCATGACATTTGCATGAAGATGTCAATCAAGTGAACACGCCATACCTCCTCCACCTCTCTACAAAGTGGAATGGAACCCAGATGGACAAATAGCTGGTAAGCATTGAAGTGGGAAATTTGTTGCAAAGAGGAACAGGCGCAAAACCTCATTCCCCTAAAAATACTTCAAATCCTGCCCTTTATTAAGTGACTCTATTTTCAGGTCGGTGTTCTTACAACTGGCTATAAAAACACACATGCCAGCCAGCACAAACTCCTTCCCCAATACAGTTTCCAGACAGGACGAAACTCCAGATCCAGTGAAATTGTTAAGCAAAACCAGTTACGCTGCTGTCAAATACCTTCTAAGTTGCACGTGGTTGTTTAGTGAGTCCTTTCCATACAGCACCGGCTACGTTGTGATGGCTGACGCGGGAGGATGATTAAGGGGGGTGCAAGCAATAACACCCAAAAGAGGGGGGAGGGGCTATAAAATGCTTTATTTGTTTAAATCCCCGTTTTGGTTTCGCGAGCACTTAAATCTCCTCCTTGGGGGTTCTGCTGAGCGGGCTAGTCACCAATCCATGCCAGTAACCCCCCAAATCCTTCTGTACGTCAGCAATACCGAGTCCGTCCTTGTATTATGACTCCCTTCGTCCTCTGGAAGGGATCGAAGGGCTACAGTAACGAACTTTTTATAAAAACTTGGACCATAATTTCGATTAACAAAGGCAAAAAGTTATTACCTCCGACGCGCTCTCAATCAAGAATACAATGTTAAGTCGACTTTTTAAATTAATTTAAATGTGAATCTCTTCATTGATACTTCAATATTGTTACTTGATAAGAGGATAGCAGTATCACTCATAAAGTGTGGACACCCTTCCGGGAAAACAGTGCAACAAGATGTGAAGGTGGAAGACACACCCATCCCACCACGACCACTAAGTACGCAGTTTCCGTCGATCTGGTAACTGGACAACCGGCTGGTAGAAGGATGGAATGAAATAGCACACAAACGACCACTAGCAAGATTGGAGGGAAAATGAATAATTTAAAGAAGACCAATGCCAGTTTACTTTTAGCTGGTTAAATTATTTTCCTGCCTGAAATGTTGTTGGCAGAGGCAAGCAAGCCCACTTCATATTAGCTGACTGAATACTGCGTCAAGAAGTCACCAAGAGGAAGGCACACACTGCGTGGTGCTGACCCAATGGGCTTTCACAGCTCGTGGAATTCCGTTAACTTCTGAAAACCACTCAAATCTTCAGCTCTGGACAAATGCTAGTTAAGGAGCAGGACTAGATTTGAATCAAGCTTTGTGACATGAAGTCTTCTCCTCGATGGATCCGGGTTCCTGCCTCGTAACTGGTTCCAGCTTACCAGGAAACGCATATGAGGATTCCAGTAGAAAGGTGACCGCCAGAGACCATGCTCAAAAGCGGGGGAACTTTGTGGTAAAATGGCATTCGATTGTATGATGACATGAGCTCCAAACCATCTTTTTACGCTCATACTAAACCTGAATTCACACTAAAATCTTTGGGCGGCTTTCTTTACCTCCATAACACCATCAGTCATCCACTTCATTCAAATGCCTGAGTGCATTTTTGAGATCATCTAATCAAACGTATATCCGTTACTCAGCTTTCAAGTCTGTCAAAAGCCTTGCGATTACTTAATCACAGACTTTGATACTTACCTTGCACGCATCTCTACTCGCTTCAAGTTTCCCCGAGTACATCCAACCCTGAGGCCACGGTGGTGTGGAATATCGTATGTTTGGCATCATCCCAGCAGCAGCAACAGCAGGTGCAGGTGGTAGCAGAAGAGGAGGCGGTGGTGTTGGGGGGGGCGGAGGTGGTTGGAGGCCATTTTTGAAGTTTCGATCGTAAAACTCGTAGGGATGGTGGTGGTGCAGGAAGGCGTGTGGGAGAAACATGCCCGCACTCATGTAGGCGGGATTGGTAGCCAGACCCTCGTACGTGGTGGTCATTCCTCGCTGCGGATGAGAAGTGGGGGCGTTGGGAGCGGTGGAGGCGGCAGCGGCGGAAGAGGAGGTGGCAGAGATAGAAGAGACACAGGAGAGCTTGCTACCGCTCAGGCTACCTCCAGTTGACGGTTGAATAGGTGGTTTAGTACTGACAATCTCTCCCAGACTCGTGCTGCTTTCTGTGGGCGGGTTGGCGGGAATAAGAAATGCGTCTGCTGACATTTTTGCTCGCGTTCAGCGATCGGGGGACAAAAAGTGCTAGCTATGAAGGCAGACTATAAACTTGGGATACAAAACTTACATATCCGCATCTTAGATCAGTAGGCGCAGAAATTCAGCAATTTACAACTTCATTTAAACTGAGATAGATCAGTAATATTGTTTTCGTCTTAGGAAACAAGCTAAATTAGCCATTCTCCTACTCCACTATCGCCGTAGAAGTCTGCCATGGATACGCGATGTGTGAATGGAACCGGAATGTGTGGAGTGTAGATGGATGGAGCGATGCACGTAGGGAGGAACGCATGGATGTGTGGATTCGGGCTGAATTGATGGAAGGATGAAGCCTAGATAAATGGATAAAAGTGATCGGGAGGAAGCATGAACGCTTGAATAAATGCGGGATGGACATTGAACAAAAGAATGAAGTATGCTTGGATGGATGGACGGATAAGGAATAGATTTCGACATCTTACAGAAGTCCCCATACCTCCAGAAGTAAATCTAGCCCAGACGGTTTCGTGTCAGTCAGAGCGAAGGTATTTGCCTTTCTTTGCTACTGGAACATGAGCTAGAACCTACGGGATTGCGACATCCCCTTTAGTTTCTTTAAACTTCCGCCACCGGATTGGAATGGTAATGCGTGCTGCTAACCTCCTAGTCCTTTGACGTTGTTGACTTGTAAATCTTGTAACGCTAAGGACGTAAATGTGGCTCCACTCAATCATTTTAACCCATCCAGTATCCCTTCACCTTTGAAGAATGCTAACTATGAGGAAAGAAAGTGCTCTATCCATGCTGGCTGAGAGTTAAAACAAAATTTGCCTGTAATACGCTATTTCAAGGGTGAAGCCGCTAAAAGCACTACAACATTTGCGGTAGCGTCGTTTAAAGAGAGTTTTGTCTAGACTGCCCGTGGCCAACTCATACAGCCCTAGGCTAATGGGCGTTACCTGTTACTAGCTAATATTATCCAAGTGGGGAAGAATTTTTTTCCAAACACCACTTTCCATCCTTCCACTGTCAAGTTCTACAAATTAAAGTGCTCTGTAAAGTTTTATTTTCATAAATGGAAGATAAAAGGCGTACTTTGCTCCCAAATAAGATCTAAGATGTTTAGTTAGATTCCCCGTGAATCCAATCGACATCAAGGCATGTTAATCCCTAATTAGACTACAAAGTTTGTTTGGGAGGCTTAGGCACAAAATATTGGACCTCACGTGAGCTCAAAAGGACGGGGCAAACTCGAAGCCGCATTTGTTTGATCCAGTCGGTAGTAAAAGCCATGAAATCCTGTCTAGAGCGCGAAGTATATTCGGAGTAGACAGGCGGTAAGCTGGACAACTTCTTTCTGCTTTCATTACTTTGTAAGAAACAGCGACCTCGGCATTTCGCCCAAGTTAATTTCATGAAGGTGAAATAGATATCTCTCGGTAGAAAAAAGAACAGGGTCTACAAATACTCAGTCCGATTATTACCGGCTCAAGGAGGGCCATTCCACAAAACCTAATCAGAGAATGGACCATACCTACGTAAAGAAATTGTGATGTCTGAAGATTGGATCAACGTACTGATAAAAAGTGATCGAATCCCCTCATCACACACACACACACACACACACACACACACGTTGTCTAATTGAGAGGTTTTGGATGGAGACGGGTTACGAATTCACCGTCGTTGCATCGGTGCAGCTTCCGCCAGCAGCTATTAGTGGATCGACGTCAGTCATGTAGCCTCTTTGAGGCAGTTTTCATTTATCTCTTAAAATTGGATGAAAGTGAACACTTAAGGTCCTCAACTGGTTACGATGAATGTCGTAGATACCTCTTTCTCGTTGTGTTCTCGAACTAATCACACTCCTTGTTATGTATTAGGTGAAGTGATTATATGAGACCACCGAAATGAAAGCAAATAGGCTTGACAGTTGAATGATTTCCTAACACATTTTAAAAATTAAGACGAAAAAAATTATTTTCTTCGTTAATAAATCTGATCATCTAAAAAGGGCCTCAGCATTCCTAGTACCACCTTAATTTACCACCGATTTCAAACCTCATGCCCTCCCAATCTGCTTGTAAGCTACAGGCGAGAGTCTCTTACCTTGCCTCTCACAGCTGTTAGTTGATCCAACAAGACCAGATCTGCTTCCTCGATGCAAGAATGGCGTCGCGACATTGAATCGGGCCGGGGTTTGAGCCAATGCCGTTTCCTTGTCAGTCTCTGCTATCGACCAGATGGAGGAAGGATTAGTGGGTGGCATGGAGGCGTGACCTTTCGCCTGAGGCACTGTCATGTCAAGGTCAAAGGGGGCGGAAAGATGGGTGGACGGAGGTTGGTGATGGGATAGAGAGAGTGTTAAGGGATTTTCTGGCTGCTTTGGCATCACAACTGCCTCGTAGTAGTCACTTCCACTGAAGGCTGACGCATCGGTGGGTCCTGAAGTGAGGATTTTGCTTTATAGCCTGTACTGGAGGGTAAATCCAAATATTCGTGCTATTGCTGTTGTAGTGGCAGCAGCAGTAGAATCCCACTTAATTCGGGTCCATTATGAAAAGGTCAATTTCGTTCTGGACAACACGATGGCATTTCCGTTGGGCGCTTGCTCGCTCATAACGTATTACCTTCCGGTTACGAAATGCGTAAATTGTGTAAGCGTTACAACAATGATTGTAGTAATTATTTCTCGCATTAAATTAAATGCCCATTAGCTAAATCCATCGGGGGACTGAACTTGAGATTGTCAACCATCGGACATGTTGTGGGATTTGCCTTATCTTCAGGCCCATCTGGAGCCTGCTGCTAGATTGGAGGTGGAAAATCCCCCGCTATTAACCTGTCATTTAGCTCTCGACATCCTGTGTCGCCTGTCCAATCTGCAAACATATACACAGGAACTGGGGAAAAAGAATAAACATTTTTCTGTTCAGAATGCTTCATCCGGAGCATTTATAATTAAACGGAGAAAAAGTTCGCTGATGCAAACCTGCGTTTTTTTGACGGCTCAATGATGGAGTAATTATTTCGCTGCCGGGGCGAAGGAAGTCGTCTTCTCAGGCAAAAATAGCCTAATTTGAGGGCCACAACAGCTCCAAATTTTTAGCTACACTTCAATTAAAATATGCATTGCAGGAGTGGGGCTTGGCAATTCCAACTTTTCAACATTAATTCACAAGTCGTTGCTCGTTCCATACGGGGCGTAAACACGTTTGACTTGTGTATAAACCAGCATCTACGACTTCTTTAATTGTAATTTAGATATGGATCAAAAACACTTTCCCCCTCGATGGACCAACAGTCCACCTACTCATCTTACCGGATGGGCTAAAGTCCCACATTTATCCCGTCTTTAGACTCAACTTGACGCAATGTAGTCAAGTTCCAAATTCAAAAAGACATGCTTTACAGTATGAGATCGCCCGTCTGCTCTCGATAATCCCTGGTTTTGCATCCCAGCAGTACCCAAACGTCCACCACCAATGGTCACGTGAGCCGCATTAATTGTTTGGCCTACTACCCAATCTAGCGGACTCATGTATCGGAAGTAAATTTTCCTGCATACGTCTGAACGCGCTGTTATCGCCACCTCAGTCCCACCTCCATCCTAAACTTTCCTTAAGAGAGTCTGTGTTTTGGGTGGATAGATATTACAGCCCTCAATAATCCTTACTTCGGTCTTTCCACATCCCACCTGTAGTTTAAAGTCCCATATTGTGTCCACGTGAGAGAGGGGGGCTAAGGAGTAAACCACCTATAAAGTAGACCGCTGTATGCAGCAGCAGCAGCAGCAGCAGCAACAGGAGGAGGAGGAGGAGGAGGTGAGGTGATTAGGAAGTCATAGAGGTACACACACATGGTGTGATGAATAATCGCTTGGGCAGGCGGGCAGGCTGGCTGGTCGGCGCGCTTACATGAATGTGACTAAACAAGAGGGCTTTGAGTGCGGCGAAGATCTAAAGACAGCACCAACGTCTCTGCCGCTTTTGCCATGCCGAGAGACACCACCGCCGCCACTTTAGAGGGCAGGTGTTTATGACATAAATGTGACCTTTCCAAATTCGCCTCCCTTCGGTTGCAGATTTTGCACGTAACCTTTACGTCTTTAAAGAGCCCTCTCCCATCCGCCCATCAACCTTCGCTAGCTATGGCTGAGATAAGTGGGTTCCTGCCTGATCACGGGATTCCTTCACCTTTATTGGTAGATCGGCATTAATAATTTAGTATGGGGGGCTTGACACTTCCTCCATTTGAGACTATCTTCCACTTAGTTTTACAAATCTTGCCAATTTATTTGGTTAGACCCACCACCTGGTGGTGCCAAATAGCCCTGGGTAAGGAGCAACTCACTTCTAATGTTCTCATTTCCTCATTTTTAAGCAAAATTCCACGCCCGCACACAGAGGAGGAACTACCTGCTCACGCTCTCTGCAACGCTAATGGAGAATGAATCTGATTGGGAATTGTTAATAATGCACAAAACATAGCAAGTTGTTTATCTGCTCCAAAAAAGGTTAATTTAGTAGACAGTTACAAAGAAAGCACTCTTCTGACTCCACACTTCAGCAATCAGTAATGCAACATTTGGTGCTACCACTTTAAGGTGATCCCGGCACTAAATGATTGGGTTCTTTCTCAATGCGCTCAAGAGATCAAGGCTGAATAAGCATAAAATGCTACTAACCTTTGGGCCTTACAATGCCGTTAGCAGAAGAGGCCTTGTGGGATGAAGAGGTGGCTCCCAATCCCATTCTTGGAGTTTGGCGCGCTTTGTTAGGCGAGGTATCCTCAGTTCCCCTGTCGCCATCACCTGAGCCCTCCCTTTCCGCTGTCGGCACCGATCCGACCCCTAACTCCGGTCCATCCGCCTCCGCTGCCGCCACAGCAGCGCACCCTTCTTTAGGCTGCAAGCCGCCACACATCTTGACGTAGGCTAACTTGTGACAGTGCATAGCGAGCGACTGCATTAACTGACTCAAATGAATCAGCTCGTTATCGAGGAGATGGGTGTTGGTCGGAGAGGTCAGAAAGGCCGCTGCTGCCGCCTGCGCTAGGCCCGTGGCGGTACCGGTGGCGGCAGCAGCAGTGCTGGAGGCGACCGTAGTGGTAGTGGTAGGGGGAAGGGGTTGGTTAGTGCTCCCAGCATTGCTGACGGTGGGGTCGAAGAGGGGCCAGGCATTCATCAACAGCGCTTTGTGTTCTTCTGCCTCCTAAGTAGAAATTGGCAAAAGTCACGTCGAGAGCTTGGAATAGACCTGCCTATTACATTTGCTCCCATGCTACCGTGGTTAGAGACCATCAAAACATGGAACACATAGCTTATACGATTGAAATTACTTCATATTTCCCAGAAAGACTTTGCCATATTTTCAATATCATTTGGAAAGAGCCACAACTTAATATGCATATTAGCCTTCATTAAATGCAAAGAAAGAAAGACATTCATTAAATTTTCTGAATAGAGTAGCTGGATGCAGCATCGGTGGTCATCCTAACATCCAATAAGATTATGATGAAGGAGGTAAGAAGGGGCTCATCCCCCAAATAAGCTCCAACCGAATTCATCCGATTGTGCCACCCTCTTCCAGGAATGCAACCTCATCCACTTCTTACCCATTCATTAAATCCACTAAAATAATAGGTAGCAATGGATTCGATACCTATAAGATGGTGGAACAAAATAAAAACGCTATTTGCGATGGCTATTATAATACTGGCTTAGAGGGGGACGAAGGGAGGGGGGACGAAGGGAGGGGGGACGGGAGAGGCGGCAGTCCGAACGGTGACACTTCACGAGCCAGTTACTTCAGCTTGGTGCACGTGATCACCCCCTGATAAACAAATCTGAAGTCTGGTTTCTGCTCTCCCACTTTTTTAATCAGAAAAAAAGTGGATGAAAATGCCAAAATCTAAGGTTTGTGGCTAAAGTTGCCTGGTAGTGTGCGTGGGGTGAGTTTGTCAACCGGGAAAATTTGCGGATGTGTTGCCATTATTTATCTTAGTCAAATGCCTCTAGTTGTGGAAAAAGAACTAGAGGAAGATCTACTGGTGTTTTTGTGCTTGGTGGTGCTGACTAGGAAGGCGCAGAGATGTGCTATCGTTGGACAAAAGCTAAGCTACCTTACGGCATCTTTTCATTGGTTCTTGGACCTTATATGCCCCCTAGTCAACACACCAACATACTCCACAAGGTTCATTTGGCAGCACTAGCTTAAGTTGCAGCACCAAGGGTATGATTCTCCACTAGCATCTAAGGCTCAGTTCGGCAATACACCTGAGTGATCCTTCCAATTTGTGGAGATGCATTGCTTCCATAAAAGACCTGGTATAGTGATTTTTCACTGAGAAGTGTTTGACGATTTGCAGATGCCAACCAAATGACAGAATGGCAGATTTTGTCGTCTGATATCTCACTAGCGAACAATTCTGTATTACCATGGCTATTTGTTTAACTCTTCGCTTTAATTACGCGAGCCAAAAGAGCCCCGACCGTTAAACTGCCACTCGTCGGCACGGCCAGTGATATATCTCCCGCCACGCTCCTGTGACCTCTTTTTTCCTTAGAACAGATTCAAGGTGCTGAGTAGGATAGAAAGTGCATTTTATACTTACCTGATAAATACTGGCTCTAGTCTAAATTCTTTTTTACTTAAGAGTTAACGTTACCAGTACTATGGAATGAAATATGCTGATTCACCTGAGATTCTACAAATCACAATTCTTTGGTTAAAATGATCTTCAGGGAATTCGCTGTAGACTTCACTTCCGGCCTGCTTCGTGGGAGACGTCAACACCGCCTGTTTGTGTTTATGTGGAGTGTGTAGTGGAGTGTGAAACACAAATATGCGAATTCATCTTCAGGTATCGTGGTGGAATTTTCCATAAGAGCGTCAGCTCTTCACAAACACTCAAACATTTCAACTGGTCATTTTCCTTTAGCTCTTGCCGTTCTGTACTGATCTCCGTTGGATTTTAAGCTGCTAGATGTGTGTCGAAGCCCTGGAGTATTGAATCGCAAGGCACAGGACAAAAATAGGTGATACTGTCAGACAGTTTTGGATTCCAAGGGTCAGCCAGTATTTAAACTTCTGGGTCGAGTGATGAATCTGAAACCTACTTTTGCATAACTGGGAGGCAAACCGAGTGAAAGGACCGGCTCAACTTCAAGAGAAGTGGGTTTACTTGAAGGTGCCATCTATTTCATTCCACTAAATGATTTTGCTGCTAGGTTTTCATTTTTCTATAAAAAAGCTGTAAAGACATAAAAAAGCCGTTGAAAGGATATGATTCTTCTATGAAGCTTTATGAGGACTTAATTCAGACCTGAGACGAATGATCGGACCCAATTATCATCCAAGGAGAGAAAATCCAAGGATTCAAGGAGAAACTTGCCTGCTCAGAGCTCTCTTCAGTCCTCACACTGTCATCCGTTGTTCTGCCCATACCAGAATCCTGATCCTAAAATGAAATAAACCAAATTATGGCGTCATTCAACCTGCCTGGAGCAGATGGTCACAACTAAAAAGGAATTCTTCCTCTCCTGCCTTAAAAGAAATTGCGCCAACGGTGATGTGTTGAAGTGTTTACCTCTGCCACGTCGATCGAGGTATACACATGGGTGATTTTGACAGATCTGAAAACTGTTTGGTGAGACAAAAGGCTATTAAGGCCTCATGGGTCACGATCACCTCTACGTCAGGCAGGAGTACTAGTGAGGAACTGGCAAAAGTAGTCTCCATCACCACTGTTGCTGTTAGTGGTGGGTATCTGACAGATAAAAGGTGACAGTCACTTGCAATAGAGCAGTGGAAGGAAGTGGCAAGGTCCTCATCATCAGTTAAAGCCTCTATAAGTACCGCAATTGATATGAAACTATTGAACAAGCTGTTAAATAAAGGCTTGGGGTCACAAAAGGCCAGTCTAATTGTGGTAAACGAAAGTTTTGCTGACATTGTCGACTCTGCCAACGGGTTATGGGTAGTGCGAGATTTACAAGTAAATTCAGCCAATTTTATGTGGTCACACCTGGCTCGAGACTTAAAATTGGCTTGTCAAAACTCACAACACCTCAGTGCCGACATTAACTGAACCGTACCCGGAAGTGAACAGGCACGGTTGTTGAAGTGTCTCTCACCTACTCTGGAAGTCACATTTTTCATTTCAAAGTTGAACATGCCTGCACACACATACGCATGTACAATAGCGACCAAACGTGTTCCTCGCAGCGCACACCCCAACAGCCATCACTTCGACAGAAGCACCCTGGCGGGTGTGAGTCACACCGAGACTGTGAGTTGACGGCATTTAGCAGGACCACTGCCAAATCATCTCATCCAGATATTTGGCTATCGGGATGTGTGGAGTGAGCTCCTCCGACCTTCAGACAGCCTGACAGCGGCCATCAAAGACAGTGGCTCCTGCCATAGGAGTCCAGATAAGTTTTTGAGTCACTAATAAATCTGCCTTAATTTAAAGTCACTGAACTTGGATTCAGACTGATCCAGACTTAAAATGCCATTTCAAGTCAGTCGAGCGCATTGTCGACCTCCAACGTTAAATGACCTTCAGCTAACGTCCTACACGGTTGGAATGAAAGGCCCGCGAAAATTATGATGTGCTCCGTTCCCAAAAAAACCGCCGACCGAATGCTTATCGTAGTAGAACAGTCAACTGGAGACATTCATTTTAAAACTTCCATTAGCAAAAAAATAGTGCTATCAAAATCCAGCCAGCTGATTGGCATTTTATCAATTTTAGTACAAAGTATACCTTAAGAAATTAAATAACAAATTCAGGAAAGACCACCTTTGGTCAATGACAAAAAATTACAATTCAGTCTTCTTCAAACTCTATTGACATTTTGACAAAGGAAGGTTACTGAAGTGTAAATTGGAATGACAAACGCAATTTAGGATACAAGGCGAATTTTACGCTTGAAAACACACCATGTGAAGAACTTTCCAACGTGACAGACTCCAAAAACAAGATTCTACTTTCCAGGTTGGTTGAGTCATCGAAAATGCCAGTCTCGGCGTTATTGTCTAGACGATTCACCAGTGTCTACCTTCCTAAGCCGCCTGCATGACAAATGAACTTCCTCCAAAATGTCATGGCAAAAGGACTTTCAAGACGCAATTTTTTCTACATCTTAGATTACCGTCCAGACTCGATCTGCGGGAGCACAAGGTGTGATGGTCTAGTTTTGCATTCAAAGCCGCAGTAACTCACCGGTAAGTGAGCATAAGCAACATTGGTGATGCCAATATCGAGGGTTGAGTCGGGATAGGGGTGGGTGGGGTAGGCGAGCTGTAGACGACCCAACGATTGTTTCCACATGGATTGTCGCATAAGGGTGATCCTGGCACAGAGTCCACAGCCCTGGAAGAGATCCATCACATGCTCCCGTGAGGTGATCTCCTGATCTCCGATCTTCACCACTCGATCACCCAACATGATCTGACCGGACCGGTAAGCTATGCTTCCAGGCTCGATCTGCGGGAGTACAAAAACAACCGCACGTAGAATAATTTGGTGTTCGTGTTGCATCTACAATCAAGTTTTTCAGCTATTTCCCGTTTCGGCTACCACATGAAGCAAATTTTTTTATCACCAAGGTGATTTTCACGCCTTGTTTACCTCTTCGTCGCCGCGAAACAGTGAAGAAGTTTAATACCGAGATCAAAATATATCATAAAAGCTGCTACAAATATGACATTCCTCGGTGCTGTGAACAGACAATTATTTAATTCAAAAAATTACTTTTTGTTTGCATTATTATTCAATCCACCGGAAAAAGTGCTCACTCACATCACTGATGTGACATCTTGACACTTTCGCTACCCGAGCCTTAGAGCTAAGCCAAGATGTTCCATTGTTCTACCGTGACGAATAAAATAATATTATTTCGCTTTTTTCTTTCCAGCCCAAACTATTTTCCTTCCAATTTAGTGGGTTTTATGTGTGTGAACTGCGGGGTGTCACATATGTGTGACGTCAAAAGTGAAATTGCTAATCACTCATCACCTGGAAACAAGCAATAAAATCAAACGAAACGATCGGTCATCCGGAAACAATATTTGCATGTGTGTGTTTTTAATCACAGTCAACTTTACTGAAGCTATAAATGAATTTCGGATTCACTTGTGGATGAATTGGCGTGCAGGCATAATAATAAATACAATAGGAAGGGGGGGGGGTGATGAAAACTTGACAAATCTATTTTCCCTAACCATTTTATGATCGAGTTTGGCGACGATGGAAAAATAAAAACAAGAAACTATTTTCTGCCACTGCCGAGGCGCCAAAATGTGGGTGCTTTCTGACCGAGGCGTTCGTGCATTCAATGCCCAAAGAGGCGAGGGGAGTTATTTCCATTGAAGTACTTTCTGCAAGCCTTCGTTTCTATCAGGATGGCATCCTCATTTGTCCTGGGGTGCACACAGAAATAATTCGAGAAAAACAGGGAGAGAGAGAGAGAAAGAGAAAGGAGGTGAATGGAAAATGTCGGTAGTGAGGGCGAGAGCGGGACGGAAATGAGAGACAGAGAGAGAGAGATGTGGGGTGGGGATGTAAAACGCCAAGTGCGATTTCGTAAAGGTTAAATGAGTCACTGAGGTGTGCCAACTTGGCATTTACATTGCTCGAAGCATTTCCCTCTAACACTTTCCTTCTCTACTAGATTTCCGAAATTGTGCCATTCACTCATTCATTCAATCATTCAATTATGCACTCCCTCTCTCTCCCTCCCTGATTGCATGCCTGACAAACATTACCCACTCACCCATTTATTCACCTTCCATCCTCTTCCGGCTCCAGCCATCACCACCGCCGTTAGACCTACTCGGTAAAGCATGGAGAGATTTTCCTGATGCCTTACACACTTAAAACGCAATAAACGGGCAGAGAGGGAAAGGCGTAGGAACATAACTTATGGGGAGTATGTCTGTAGGACACACACGTGGTTGATTTTGTGTAAAGTACCAGGCAAATCCGAGGTCGGTGCTCTCACAACCTCTTTTCTACGAACGAGGCAATTTCCTCAAGAGGAATAAATCTTCAGTTTCAAAATTGATTTAACCCCTAAATCATGATCTATCAATCGTGAGGAGGACCCGGAGTCAAAGCAACAAAAAAGTCTTTCATTTTCGCCCAAGGAGGAACAGGATAAGCACAGAAGTTTCAAAGCAACGCAGAGTTTACAAAAACTGCGGTGATTCAAAAATTCAGGGACTGGGGGTAACTAAACCCAATTCCCATCAATTGGTAAATGGGAGAAGAGGTTAAAGACAATCCTCCCATTAACAGTCACATTACCCGTTTGTGACTTGTCTGGAATGCCTCCAGTATCCAGCAGAAGAGCGGTATATTCGTAGTTCCTATAAGCGTTTCACTAGAGGGCACTAGTTGGTAGTGGAGGTGAGGCGTCAGCAGGGGAAGGCCATGCGGTTACTGATTTCAAAATTCCCAAGAGCATTTCCTTCTTAAAAATAGCGATGACAGGGTTGGAACAATGCATAGAGGGACTCAATACCCAAAATGGGACGCGCAGTCTTGACTTACGAACCACCGACCTTCCGCCCATCCCACTGCGGATTTTGAGTTAATTAATGGACGTGATGGCCTCGATACCCCTTTCAATGAGTCACAAATACGACTTAACGGTGTCTCATTCTTTATTCTTTAATAACGCTCACGGATTCCAACGCAGATTTAGTCTAAGAGGGCTCTCTTGCCTGGATGGATAACCTAATGAATGCTTCACCCTACACAGACATCACCATTGCTTGATGTATCAAACTATTAATAACGCTGTTAAAATTCCTCTCGCCCCCTCGGGTGCGCTAATGACGCTACGAGGTGCGAATGAGTGATGCCAACACTTCATCCGAGCTAATATTAATGGCCTCCGATTAATGTCGACAGAGGTCGGGCATACGTATCATTGTCAGGTCAAGTGCCTCGATAATTTATCTGCCCCAGGGGCCGGATGTGTCCTAGGGGGCACAGGAATGACTCAGGGAAGGTCAGAGAGGGGAGAAAGCCTCAATTTTGTCTGATGGGAGGAGGACGCAGAATGAGAGAGAGAGAGCAAGCCTATTTCGTAAATAAGTAATGCTGCCTCTGGGTGTGACCACCATGGCACCGCCCAGAGAAGTGGATTTATAGAGCTCAAGGCGCGTACCAGATACATGATTTCTGTTGAGAAAGTAGAAATCATTCGGAGAGAATGACTTATGGTCCTCTATGGGTGCTGATCCACCCAGACACGCAAAATCACGCGCTTAGTTTGTGCGGAAGGAGAGTCAGGAGGGAGGTGGGATTTAGGAAAGAGGATGAGGAGGCGGAGGCGGAGGAAGGATGACTCATTTCCCGCTTGTTCCGAAGACCGCTCCCTCTATCTTGTGTGTTTGTGTGTGACGCGTCGGTTCCCTCACCCTAAGTGACTCATGCTATCACAAGCGCAGTCAAAATAGAGGGCAAGAGAAAGAGCTGACAACTGCTCAACATGAGGATGCTAATCATTCGGCCCGATCACCAAGACATCCGGCCCCCCCCCCCCACCCACCCCACTCTCACGTACCGCCCGGCCTTACCGCCAGGGCTATCGCCATCACCGCCGCATTCCAAGATGAAAAGACGATTTGCGATTGCTGCTCAGCTGTTGATAGTTGAATCATGTGTGTATGTCAACTTGTAATTATGCAAATTATCTCTCACTGCCATCCCAACTTCCAATGTTGAGGCTGAACGCTATCACCCGTCAACCACATACAGACATGCCCAGTTGATATATCCTGTTTAGACGGCAGACACGAGTCTAGATGGTGGTGCTTGGTCTGAGAAAGTGTAAACAGTCTTTGAGAGCGCCCGTGGTAGTGCTGTCTACATGCCGTGCCTTTAACCTGCTAACGAAGAAACATTCCACCAAGTGGTACAGTACGGTAGAGGAAAGTAAACAGCTCACCTCGCTGATGTACACCTCCGTGAAATTTTGTTGAACCTCACTGGGCCGATAGCACAGGGTTAGCCCGAACTTATCAGAGGCCGATTGTTTCTGCAGGATCACCTCCTAAAAGAATCGCGATGAGATGATGCAGTCACAACTATAAGCACAACTATATTAACGTTCATTTTAACTCCAAGAAAAAGTTGGAAAGGCGATTAAAACAGCCAATCTGTCAGTTATTCGCAGAAAATTGACCTCTTTATAAACTATTTCTAACGTAACTGAGTGAAAAAATGTCCCAATTCACTGCTGGCGGCAATTTCAAATGCCGAGGAGTAAAATTGTTGGTGTTGGGTGGATGCTGCTACGCCCTAACTACCACCCATCAATCTAAAACCTTTTTTGGCCGACCAACGAGGTGTTAAGTTCAGATGCCATACTTTCATCATTTTATGCTTTTATGAGATTTATGCTGATGTTTTCCTTCCTCACTACCAGCAGTCACAGAGCCATTAATTTCAGTAGCTTTGTAATACAAAGATCTTCGTTAAGACGAAATGCACACATCCACCAGGACGTTGGTACCTCCGCTTCACACAGTTGCGAATTAGCAGAATCGCTACTCCGATTAATCATAGGGCTCCCTTACCTCAACGAGGCAGTCGTGCTGGCTGCATGGCTAAAAACTTGGTCACCCTTTTTTGCACCAACTGTCTACACGACTGTGACCTTTCCGATTTACTTACTCATTCTCTGTCTGTCTAGCTGATGTTTTGGGAAACGTTCCTGGTGGGCTACAAAATTAGGCTACATTTCCTAAGACTAATTCGATTTGTAAAAATCACATACAAAGCATTTCTCGGTAACATATTCTCCGGTAGGCAGGTTGCCAGAAGCGAAGGAAGAGGAGGCGGGATTTTCGGGAAAATTTGCGTAGACAGAATCGATTGGTTGTGCGAAGACATAAGGGTGACAGAAGGATGGTAGGACACCATTTGTACTACAGGGATACTGTTTGAGGATGTAGTCCAGGCATCCCACCTCATCAACACCGAAGACAGCATCATCGACATCCTCGGCATTTCCCTCCTCTTCGTCTTCTTCCTCCAAGCCATCTTCATCCTCCACTCCGTCTCCAGCCCCAGAGACGCCAAGTAGGTAGTCTGCTGGATACTTTCCCGGCCTAGGGGGGAGCAAATTAGGGGGTGGTTTGTTGTGCCATATGCATGGCAGGCATGACAACATCTTGATTAGTCCAGGATGCGTATTTGCACACTCACACCCAGTGACCTTTACCTACTCTGTATCTCACGCAATGTGCGCAAAACCCTAAGGTGTCAGAAAGAAGGGTTATCATGGGAGGCATTTGCGCAATGCAATGCAGCAGCACAACGCAATGCCACTGGTTGCTGGCATTGGGTGTGTTCACCGCCCCCTTCCCCCCGCATCCACTACCGTATAGGCGATTCTCCCGGCACACACAAATGCAAAATCCGGCCTGCTGTCTGTCTTAGCAATAACAGCCATAGTCATAGTTTCACGGCTGTAAAGAGAGCCAACGTTTTTATTTAGCCTAGCAGCGCTTCGTGCTAAAGAGTTGGAACAACATTCCGGAATAGGTATAAATTAGCTCTCCCTCTCTCTCCGCTTGATTGGCGGAGATTTGAAAGGATCAATTACTTACAAATCATGCATCCTGCTACAAAAGAGGGACAGTAGAGGACGACATTGATGGTTCAACTCTGCTAAATCAAAAGAAATAGATGTGCTTTAACTGTACCACGGGATGGGGAGAGGGGGAGGGCGAGATATGGTAAATACACAAAGTATAGTAGACACTCACAAACGGCCGCTTGCATTAGATTAACCGATTAAAAACAAGGCAACAGTGAATGTGGAGTGCCTACTTTCTCCGCATGTAGGTAAAACCGCAATGTACCGTAGCAAGGAGGCTTTTTTGACAGTGCAATGCATCAAGCAACTGTGAAGCTAATCTGGAATGGCGTGGCCAACCGCTTGGAAGTGGGGATAAATCTTAACATCTATGTTTACATTTGCAAAAGCTGATGGAGAGGTCAGGTGACTCATATGGTGTTTCAGAGGCCATTTCTGGTGAATTATTGGTTCTTCATCCATGTCTACTAGCCTGACCAATAATTATCGGGGATGATCGGGAGGACTTTATAATCCATGACACCATCCACGACCATCAGTGGATTATTTCGAAATTGAAGCCTACTACTTCAGTTGAGAGCATTAACATAGAATTGTGGATACAGGTCTCAGCTTATTTTTACTTGCTGTTAAAAAACAGGGGGATAATGAGACACAAACCTGGGTTTGAGACCGTTTAAGGTAACTGGAAAAAAACCCAGTCGCAAGAGGGAAATGAATCTATGCTTAGGCATTACATAAATGTTAAACACATGGGTGAGTAGAAAAAAAAGGAAGGCAGTACCGTTCCCTTTATAGCTGTTGATCTAGTTGAGGAATTTTGACTCCCAAGGGTATATCTAAACCACATCCAACATAACTCTCACTTCTATGCGCAAAAAACAGGGCTTCAGTCTACACAGTCAAATCTAAGGTGTCGTTGATACAGGGCTAAGATGACACGAGATGTGGAAGTCAGGACAAAGACTTCGATACATAATTTCGCAACATGGCAAACAAAATCCGGCCGAATCCAATCCCCATCTGAGGCACACTGGAACTGTGAAAATCAAGGCTGGAATGGCAGTGAGTAAAAGTGAAGTGGAAGGAAGCATCGAACAGTCACCTATTCAAATCTACAATTTAGCTCAATGGGATCACAGGTGGAGTCTGGAAGGGTTAACACAATGCCTCAACGTAGAAAAGTTTCAGAAGACTACGAATTAACCCTCATTGAGCTCAAGGACAGAAAGTGAGAAACTTGCTAGCCACATACATGCCATAGGAAGCAGATTCACCGAGCAGAGCCATCCGCGCCTCCTGTTGGGCAAATGAGGCCGCCGCAATCGCCAATGATGCGGCCATTTCGCCTGCGCTGAAGACGGTCTGAACTGCAACGGAACGTGTGGCGCCGCTGCTGCTACAAACACCTCCTCCACCACCGACGCCGCGTCGGGTCGAGAGGACACTGCTCAACTCGCTATTGGAGTCGCCGGCTCCGCCCGGTCCACTACCGCTACTACACAGCCCTCCGCCTCCGCCCACCAGTGGGGTGGGGAAAACGGAAGGAGAGGTGGTGGATGAGGGTTGGGGACGTCGCATCACCTCCACTACAATGACGGGGTCGGGAGCTCGCTGAAAGACTTCCATAGCTTCCTCGTGGCTGCAATTCTGAACATCCTCACCATTCACCTGTGAGGTAGTAGGGGTGGGGAGAAAGTCTACATTAAATGGAGTTATTATTAATAGTCTTCGATGACCTTGAAGAGGACAAACTTCAGAGCTACTGACGGTGGGTTTGGATAAATTGCTGACAAGGAGCTAGCAATCAGTTTTAACAAATTTTTAAAGCATCCTCTTAAAACGCTTCATATACCCACAAGAAGTGTATTTTAAAAAATATGCCACCTTTATCAGTTAGTGATTTGTAGTGGGTGGTCTTGAACTTTCTGAAAGAACGTTGCAGAGATCCTCCTTAAAATCACACGTTTACTTTGTCAACTACAACTTTATTTCCTTTTTAGACAAGATTCCACTGCTTCAAGACAAAAGCAAATTCAATTTAAGAAGTACAATTGAAATCTATTTATTTCTTCACAAAAGCACTCGTCGATTTACATCAGAACTGTTGGACTCGAAACCGCGGCGTATGGCCTTGCCTGACTTTCCAGCCACAAAATGTGCAACACGTGTTTATCAGTCACTTATGCAAGCCAGTTTTACTGGGCTGTGCTGCAAACACATCATTTGGGCTTAAACAATGAAGTGGGTAATATTCTAGGTCTGAGAGGAGAGTCATTTGAATTGGTCAAACAATTGACTGACAGCCGGATGAAATGCACGGAGTGCTGTGGTGCTCGATCGCCCACTGGGACCCTGGCGGTAACTATGCTATCACCCAAAAAAATTTCGCTTCTTTTTTTCTAATTTACGTGTCTCCAGAGGAAGGAGTGATTTAATGTATGAGTCATAGGGAGAGAGCCAGTGGGGTGGGCAGGGGGGGAGGGGAGGGGAGAGAGGGGAGCATAAATATCCATTTGTTCTTTGTTGCAGTAATTTATGCTAACAACTCCAATTTCATTTCAGAGGAAATTAATGGAAATTCCCAAGAGATCACTGCTGAGACTCCGGAATTTAGGCGTTAATTCTCTCCCACATTTGATGATCAAAGGAAAACAAATTTTTAAACAAGCTTCTTAGGCCTAACCCTCAGGAAATGATGAAATAATTCACCCCAATGTTATGTGCCGAGTCCTTGAAAATGACCAATCGTCGATTGTATTCAATCTAGTGGATCATCGTTTATCTCCAACCTGGCACATTTTGAAATATTTCAAAATAGTTTTAGCTGAAATTAAACAAGTCCAGACATTTGACGGATCCGGAAAGTTCTTCGACCAGCGCATTCATGGCCTATCAGTCAAATGACCGGAAAGACTCATTTTTTTAAAAAAAATGGCACTCATAAACAGCAAAAAGATTAGACGTCCCCGTCAATCTATCAACTAGGAGACGTAATTCACGATTGAACTCATGTATGTTAATGATGGATCAGAAGCCATTCCATTCCTAAATTCAATTTTTGACTGAATGGGGTCTCATTAGCCTCTACCATCAAGCAACTTCCAAAATGTCACCTTTTTTTCAGCCTTAACATCTTTGAAAACCGATATCGTTGTTGGTGCCTCCAAAAAGCAATTGAAGGAATCCTAACTGATTCCACGCACAGGGGAAAAGGGTGACGTGGGGAACACTTCGAAAGGAATAAAGTACCTTTCCCTTAGTTACGCCTGCAGCTGATTGGGTTATAATATAAGTTATGTTTTTGGTTTCAGCCTCCTTCACTGCGGGGAAATAATTCACCTGTCGCTATCTAAACTACCTCCCAGATGATTAATTCCTCCTCTTGAATGCTTGAATGCATCCCCTTCCCCGCCTTTCCTGCCACCGAGGTTGTGATGGAGGGGAAGGGGCGGAGGCAAAGGAGCATACGGACCGCGATGAACGTGAAAATGCCTGACTCATTCACTCATCCATCCATTCATATGCGAAAACACAGAAGCACATTCAGTCCTGATGCAATGCCGCTTCTATAACCCGACATCTTCTTCCACCTGGTGATTACATCCAATCGAAATGCTATCATTGGCATCATGAGGGATGGTAGGTGGGCTGCCCTACACTTGTTTGCAGGTGTTACCCAGGATGGGATGGTGGAGTGGGAAATGGGAGAAAAGGTGAGGGGGTGAACGTGCATGACCTTTTTCGGTAACTCTGGAGTCTGCACTTTTTTGCCAGACACCTCTCCACGAGTGATTGACAGGTGTAAATAACCCAACACGTAGAGGTTGTGTTAACTAAGGGAACGCTGATGTGTAAACAAAAACAGGGAGTGGACAAGTCATGGGGAAATGCGCCAGTATTCACTTTTAAAAACCCTGACTGGAGAAAGATGACGATGTCCCTCCCGTAGGAGGAATACTTCTTCTGTTACCGAGGGAAAAAAGAAAGCGAAGTGCAAATGGATCCTGATCCAACTTTTTGACCACCAACCAAGCCCCTGCGGATCCGAGAGGTGGTAGTCAGTACAATAAATGATTTATGACCAGCTTTCATACTGATTCCCGGGTCATGCATTTATGCACGAATGAGGAAGGTGTGCATACTCGAGTACTTATAAAGCCATCACGTGGACGTGAGTGTAGAGGACTGAGGAACTATGGAGGTGCTCCTGGGATGAGAAATGACCCAAAATGGTTTATTTACTAATCCAGAGTGAGGAAAATGAAGGAGGCCGTTAAAATGTGTAGACCAGAATGTTTGAGTAAGGAAAAAAGTTCTTACCAACTATGAATGATTGCCTTTCCGGCCTGAAAAGCGGGAACAAAGCCTCATTTTTTGTATGTACAGTCCTGACCTTATTGGGCGAAAAGGAATTGAGGAAAGGTGTTAAGCGCTCGCAAAGGTGCTGCTGCGGTAGAGCAGATTAATTTGGCATAAAGTGGCGGATCCTCGGGCCCACTCACCTTTTTTTTTTGCCAAGGAAGCGTTCAGCATTTGCACAACAAATCACAATTTTAAATTTATTTGCCTCTTTGAATGCGAAATGAGCCAAGTGTGCTTGAATACTTAATTTACCTCGGAGTAGTCCCTCCTCCCCCAACTGCTGATGACAGGTTATGACAGTTTGTGAGCGCAGCACGCATACCTCCACCAAATTTTGGGCATAATTTAGTGCATTCTCCAGCCAGCAAGGAAAGCCACTTTCTGCCGAGAATTATTAAAATTAAGAAAGTCATTTTTATGCAGAGAAACGATCCTTCGCCTGGAGAACATAGCATAATCTGCATCACCACCACCACCTTTTCCATTGACCTACAGAAAAGTAATTAGATGGGAAGTCTAAACGTAGATCGGATTGATGGAAAATGCATTTTGTACGTCGCTTTCGGGATTTATTGAAATTGAAACAAAAAGCACGGATTTTAATCACTAGGACAAAGTGACGATTTGCCTTGTCTTACCTAAGCGCACTCACCTACATTTATGTCTCCCTACCCGAAGAAACTCCTACTGCCGCTTTCAAAGTGATTACGAGGAAATATTACGCACCTAAGAGTGGTAGAAATCTACACTGGTGGAGGGCTCCAGGATCACAATCGTCACCCGTGCTTCCAGTAGCTTGCCTTTAAGTGTGTGGTCGATTATGTCCAGTCGGCACGTTTGTTTGCTGCCTTAGGGGTTGTGAAAGCGCCGTAACAATATTTCGCGTCGACTCCTCCTCTTTCTTGTGCGAGTGCGGGCAAGAGCGCACATGTCCGCTAGCGCTGACTCACATACACACACACACACAAACACTTTCCTCCCGGAGTGAAGTGATAAATGAACACACAAGCACAAGCATACTTATCCACGTACCCACACACGCAGAACTAGAGATAGAGAACTAGGGGATCACGGCATTCGAGAATCCCAGGCTTTCAATCGCATCTTACTTAGTCGAAGTCAGAGAGACAATGACCAATCAGCTCGAATTCAGTTGATAGGCAACAGAGCGGGGATTTCCCATGACGATTGTACTCGCAATACATTCTGGTAAGTAATGATGCTTTTCAAAGGGCACAAAAGCGCTTGGTCACGTCATCTTCAAGCCTTTCATCAACTGTTACTTAAAATAAGGTGAGTGACTGACAATGGGACAAAATGAAGTGTATCTCCTGGTTTCCATGGTCTACTTGGTGATACAACAAAAGCTTCATAACATAGGTCTTCTGAACAAAAAAAAGGGGATTGCGTTCTCCGCGAAAAATGGATGAATCACTAGTTTCGATGCGCCATTGTAGACGCCAGGCCGCATATTTTTAGTGTAGCGCGATAGCGTTATAAACAGACCCAGGGCAAGAGAAAGGGTGGTGAGACCACAAAATAGCACATCCCCTACCCCAGTACGAAGGCCAGAAGCAAGTGTTTGGCGGTGACGGCGGCCACCCACCCTTGCAGCTAGAAAAATTGGGCGTTTTTTTAGGAGGCAGCAATCTTGGCTTCTTCTGAGGAGGTTTTCTGCCTTCTCAGTAGAAGAAACACTGCCAACTGCCAAAGGTGTGGCAAACAACAAAAAAAAAAGCGAGAGGGAGTAACCAACACGTCATGCGGTCGTCAAACTTGGAGACCTTCAACCTAAACCCTAAGCTGTCATCAAAAATCTCAAAACGAAATAAGCTTTTGAATTGGTTTGAAGTACAAGATATTTTTTGAGGCTGCCTCCAGCAATTTTTGATGAATCATCGGATTACCCAAAGGAGGGAGTGACTTGTTTGCAATCGCAATCATCCAACCGCCGCCCAAGCCCTGGCTGCGCGCCAGTTTAAACTCAATAACGTTGTACTCATCGCCATCGTGGTGATTCCAGTTGGAGGTGACCAGCAAACTCCGAAGACCGCGTCTAGAACAATGGTGCGCCACAACTGTGCATGTGGAGGGGGCGGAAGAGGGGAGGGGTAGGTGTCGAAGCTCAACAATGAGCATGACTGACACCTCCAGATGCAAATGAGGCCCCACTTGTTACTCACTCATCATCAGGCATTCAGACTAGGTGATGATAATCTCATCTACCGTCAGAATCTTTAAACCGGTGTGGTGCAATTTTGGATCACAACGCCTCGACTTGTAATTGTTTTTTCATGATCACTGAAAAAAGATTGCAGCAGCAACACCAGCAGATGTGTGCACACATGTAAAGGAGCGCGGTTGACTTTGGCCCACATGGGTGACAGTCCTCCTCTTTTCCTTCCGATTTTTCAAATTTTGAACTAATTTAGTGGTTTCGCTCGCCAAGGAAAAATACATCATGTGCTACGATTTTCAGAGCGTCGCCAACACTGCTGGCAATGCGGCTTTAACGGCAGCCCATTGCTGCAAAATTTCTCTTTTTGGTGGAACCACTACATTCACAGACAGGTGATTTAAATTTGCACAAGGAGACGTCTTTGGAACTTTGCCAGCAGTCAATTAAGATCTGTAGCCCTGCATTTGGGTGGCCTCATTTTAAACAGCAAAATGATAGATTTGTGTAGCATTGCTTGGTGGGTTTTGAAAAAAAAATCGCTTGAAATATACCACGAGAAGAAGAAATGAATGGGAACCAGCAAACACCAGCAACAACAACGAATGGGTCCAGTGAATCCCAAATATCGACTTTGTAGCCAAAAAAAAGAGGAAAACCGACCAAAATGACAAACCTTGAGAATAATAAAATCCATATTTCCTGTCCTTTACTGGTTTGTAATTATCCACTCGAGTGGGACATCATCCGGGTGAGGCCAACACAGCGAAGCACAGCACAGTACAGTTTACAAGTAGTGATTCTCGCAAATGAACGACGTCTACTGCACAATAAAATGATGCTGCTGCTGGTGATGATGACGCTGCTGCTGATGATGCTGGTGACTATATTGAGAGTGTGGGTGGGGGCCGGTGTGGTGGGGGCTATGAGAGTGGATGGGTGACCAGATGCTTGATTTGCGCGCTAGTGCGCACACCACGTACTCGCCACATGCCCGCCTGCCCGCCGCCCTTGCATGCACGCACGCACTGCATGGACGAGCCAATGGCCTGCGGGCTTGGTGCGGACGTGCATCCTGTGTGTGTGTGTATGTGCATGCGAAACAGGTGCGCGAAAGCACCCTCGAGCGCCTCCAAAGCAGACGCTTTCACTGTTTCTGCGGCAGCACAGCCGTCAGCAGCAGCAACATCACCGCCAATGCTGTAGCGGTGGTGGGGTCGTAGCAAAAGCAATTGATTCAAAGCACAACCGGTGATTCAGTGACTAAACCGTCTCTCGGCCGAGATCGTTTGCGATTTGGTGCGTGTTTGTGCTAACAAGAAAACATGAGGTGTTCTTGGTTAGCAACATACCAATTGAAGCCTAACTTGACTAGGTCTCGAATACCTCGTCCTGTTGGCGGTAGGCAAAGCTGAGCGCTTGCAAATCTGTAAACTTTTTGAAAAAGTCGAACTTTCGAGGGGTAAATCGCATCAGAATGGTTCATTTACACGCATCTTCACGTTAGGGGCATGCGACCAGGTTCATCTACGCTGCCTTGTTAGATCTTCAGAGGTGACTTAGACTGATATCAGGAGAAAGGGAATCCATTCAGCTGTCGGAAGCGCCAGAGACGCACGCCACCTAGATACCTCACTTCCACCGAGACACGAAAAGTAGGGGATTTCAGGCAGCCTTGTAAAGTTAAACTTGATGATAAAGATTTACGTAGAGTCCGAAGTATTCATTTAATGGACTCATCGAATCGAAATTTTGGATGACGTTTGTTTGATGTGTAGACGTAACGACACTACCACCGCCCCCGCCGTAATTCGTGATTAGCATGGGATCCTGCCAAGAGCGCACCGCCCGCGCTACTCGTTACTTAGTTCCTTTGCCGCTTGATAGGAAGCCCACTTCCGGACATCAAAAATGACTCCTACATGCAGTCATTGGGATTAATCCAAACTTTATTATTCCTCTTTCTTTCCCTCAAACTATCCAGCCAACATTTATGCAACTTTATCTAGTCTCCTTCATCTTTTGGATCTCGTTCATCCATCCACTTGGCAGTGATTCTTGACGCTGACTTACTACTTGGATAAACACTCCTTTCTTGTTTATAAGTGGAGGTTCCTGCCAGTTAATGGTGATTTTAATGGGTAAAATTTAGTCTCAAATGAGAGAATTTGTTTAAAAGGCAAAAATATTTAACGATAGTACCTAAGTTGTTTGCGTCCAAGTCTACACTCTTCCTTGCGATCAAATAGAACCCCTTTGATTGACAAGCATTTCCCACTTTAAAGCAGTTGACTTCGAAGACCAATTACGAATGCCTTTATAATGCTAGAGACTAAAGTCGTACGCAAGTCATAACCATGTCAGGGCAAGGTAATGGCATAGTGACGTGAATATAAATGAGGTGCAAGCGGTATGTCGCAGCGCTCCGCGTTTCCCCGAATGCGCAACGCTCCAAGGGCCTGGGAGGCGGTGGACATGGACGAAGCGTCGTGCCGCCGCAGTGAAATGAGAAGCCCGCGCGGTTAAATGCGCAATTAAAACAAGAAGTTGTTTTGTTACATTCCCTTGAAAGATCTTCAGGGAAATAGTTCAAAATGCGGCATAAGTCACCTTCGATTTAAAAATGCATTAGAAGTCTACTGGTGGTTATTTGCATCAGCACTACATTATTCCCATAAAAGGCTCTTAATTTTTCTTTTGAAATATCGTATGATAAGTTCATCCAACGACTCACTTTACCTACCTTCTCAGGGATATCTGCAAATCGCATCTGCCCACCCACAACCAAGCTTCATCATGTTGGGCTTGCAAATCTTTTTTGATGCTTCCAAGAACCAAGCTAGCTGCTGCTCAGGTGAGGAAACTCGATAAATGACTTGCGTTGCCCAGGTAACAATGCACAAGAAATTAAAGTAGGATGCTTGATGACAATTAGGATGAATCATTGTGACAAAATTATCACTTCCTCCTATCAGACATCATGCATGGGCCCTGGTTAAGAGGGCTTGGACACTTTCTGTTAATAGCGTGTGAAAATTTCTTTTAGATCCTCGGGTTGCAGCGAAAAAGTTGTACTAATAAGATTACAGTACAACGTTCATTTTCATGGTTAACCATACTTTAAAAGAGGAATTATAAATTGAAAGCCAATCCGGCCTTCTGTGATTCGAAAACCATGCCGATGACATGAGGCTTTGAGAAAAGACAGTGCATATTTGTCCTCTCGAGCTCTCTAGTCTCTGCAGAATCTACTACCATCTAGATGAAATTACCAGATGTTGCATCTTTCAGGCGTCCAGGCCTTCCGAATGCTAAGCTCAACCCTTCTGTCTTGCTGGCATGCCTTGTTATGGTCTTCAGAGCTCTAAAATGCTGAAAAATGTGGGGATTGGAATCAACTTAACTGCAGAACTGATTATTTTTAGCTGATTAGTAAGCCAACAGGTCACAGAGGAAGGATGTCAACCGCTGATGGTAGAAGCTGAGGGTTCGGAATAGAATCAAACTTTGGCCAACATCCAATTGTGGGATCGCCACAATGACCACTAATAGAGACACAAGGTTGAATGAATACAAACCACTCCTACCAAAAACATGATAGCCTTCTTGGTCTCATTTTTTGGCAATTTTTGTGGAGCATGTTCGCTGGGAGCATTGACCAACCTTTGGCACCATCTTTTAGTCCTTCTATGAATTTCTATAGTAGCATGTCGATTAATGCCTTGAGGAGCAAGTCATGAATGTTTCATAGAGTCTTGCTATTCTTGTTATAAATACACATTTTGACTAGAGTGAAAGAAGGCAAGGACTCCAGTGAAACGCATAAACTTAAACTTGTCCAATATAAGCCAAATGGAGTACAATAAAACGGAATCGTCGAGTCTAACGTGATCAATTCACTTTTTAGTGGGATAACATTGGCAACCAAATTCTCCTTCCGCGATGGCAAACGCTTTCAAAATCCGAATCCATTTTTGTGCAATTAAAATAACTTTTAAATGAAGTGCCCTTTGGTGACTTGATTCATCTCAGGCAAAACCGATCAGTTCGACAACCAATGAGCCAATGAAATGGAAGCGATATCGGACCAAAGCCCCATTGGTCCAATGTTGGAGAATAAACTCATCCCATGAAACCACCACAATCGAAAGAATTTATTTCTTGAGCACTTAAAATTTTGTTGCATCACATCTGCAAGTAAACAAATCCTCACTATGACGGAAGTGCAGTGATAGCAAGCACGTCAGAAAGGATAGGTGGCAAGTTTAAAGTGGCAAGTTTTAAAGCCCCTCAGCCTGATACTATCCAGAGATCAGCCTTATCAAATGTACAGAATCATTTATTAATAGTCATAAAAAGGTGGCAGAAATCGTGACCTCACAGTCACTACCACAGTTGGGTCTTGTGTTGGTTACCTGTAAAAGGCGCTTTACTGAATCCCATTCCAGAAGCTACCTTCTTCAGTTCATCTACGGAGATGTTTAGTTTTTCGGCCTCCTTCCTCAGCGTCTCCTCGAAGACAGCTTCAGCATGGCTGCTACGGCTGTTGGCCTCCTCGGTTTTTACTAACTTATCACAGTCCTTGTCATTGCTCTGCTCCATCTGAAATGGAGGTTTCCACTGCAACTCGGCTGCGTTGATTTCACGCTTCAGAGCCTCGTGACGCTCTGCTCGTGCCAATTTCATCTGTTTTAGGGCTTGTAAGCGACTGTCGACGCGGTCTTGACACATGGAGAGCACCTAGGTCAAGAAAGTGCTCGTTGCGCTACATTATCAAACTATTCGATCTGACGCATTGCTGCTTAAAACTCCACTAGATAGCTGCTTTAGACTCTATGATTCAGTGAGCAAATAAAATAAGTACGCACTCATAATATACCAACGCAACAATTTGTTGTTGCTTATTATTCAAAAATGCCCTAATAATTAGGGCAATTTCCTAACACAAGGATAATAGCAAAGAAGGAGACTTCAGAAAATTTAATTTGACGCCTAAGTTTTCAGCCGGCGGAGGCAAAAATGACGAAAACCAGGATGGTTAGCAAGGTAGATATTATCGGAGAAAAGTGTTATTAAATCGCATACGTCATTGAGAAGTCTCTCACGAGCCTCTTCCTGGCATTTCCACTTCTGCTCCCTCCTTTTCGCCAATTCCGCTGCCTCAGAACTGCATTTGCGAGAAAATTAAAGAGCATTATCTTCAATTAGGTGAATGGCAAAGACCCTAGAGATTTTGCCCTTCTAAAACTGGAAAAGAAGTGACTTGTATCCCGTTTTCTGGAGGACAAGGTTAGGGAAAAGCGATCGCCTACAAGTGGCGAATTCAAAACTAAAACACCTTTTCTGCAAGTGAAAGGGACAAATGGATCAACGATTTGTGACAACACGTAAAGAGTTGAAAGACCGAAGGATTCCATCTCATAAATGATTTTCTCCACTCTGCCTCACAGGTTCCGATAAATCAAGGAACAACAAGCTTGTGTGGACTACTGTTAGTGGTGCCGGCACGACAAACAATTCGTGTCTCAATCAGCTTAGCCATCTCCCAATAGGGACGACAGGCAACAATAGCGATGCCTGCTTGCCAGAACAGTGTGTGACGATGGTTGTGGCTTTCTGTGAACCAAGTCAGACATCTATAGAATACCACGAGCACAGAATGGTGCGGTGTGAATTGACGAGCGTATCAAAGATACCCCATTTAAAGGTAATTTTGCAGAGAAGAGACATTGCATAAGACACGACATTAATGGTCGGTGGAACTTACGCTAGCATGTCGTCCATATCCCTTTCCCGTCGCGCTTCATGGCGTAAATCTTCTTCAAGCATTTCCTTAACAACATTGATACGACTTCTCGGCCCTTCCCCCTCCGCTTTCCCCTCCTCCTCACCCTCAAAGGCGAGCAGGCGATCAATCCAGGCCAAATCAGTGGTGATTTCTGTTTGCACCTGACGAGAACGTCGAATCAGTGCTGCAGTGTGTTGTCGCAGAAGTACCTTCTCGAAGCGTCGCTGACGTCGTGTCTCATCGGTCTCCAGCCTCTCCGTTGCTAGCCTTTGAAGAAGCTTTTGATCCTCCAAAGCCTCCTTTTCTATTCTTTCTAATTCTTCAGTCTAGGAAAAGAGCAGAAACCGAGATGAAACGAAGAATTTGATATTACTCCCACTACCTATGCTTAAATTTCCTCAACTTCTGTGGTCCTACAATAAAATTACTGTTACCGGGAAGCGTTTAACATTAAACCATTCAATCGAGATTTTAAATGCATCTAAATAAGGTAAACTTGTAAAAATAGAAGAAGAATTGAAAAAATCAACTTTTGAGAGCAAACACCCCCTTAAGGAGCTTATAAATCTGGGTATTGGGAACACAAATTTCACAATTTTAGCGAGTTCCTTCAATTTCAGTGAGTTTTTCAACAGTTTTCTGTGAATCACATTACTGTTATCAAACAATTTGAGAGGCAAATTATATCAGTGTAAAACGAATACTTCTCTTTCAAACTGCTTCAGTTCATCCAGCTTCCGTTGCAATGCAACATCGCGTTGACGCCCATCGGATCTGTGGCTGTCATAAACCACAGTTTTTGATTCGACTGCGCCAGAAGCCTCACCGTCACTCATCTAAGATAATTCACACCATGTATTTTAAGGAAAAGGCACAATTTCAAGCTATTTTACAAACAATCATCAAATTCAGCGTTACTTTTTTTAAATGCATAAAGTTGTGACAGGCAACGGACTGGAAAAACAATTTTGTCCAAAAATATCTGTTAAAACGAGTTACTTTAATACAGGTTTCAAAGTACCAATCACGCACCGCATTTTCACTTTGCCCATTCATTGAGTCTAGTTTCTCAGCCATTCCATTGTGCAAACTGGTAACAAGTGATCGTTTAGTGGAGAATTGTTCATTCTGAACATTTTAATAAGAACGAATAGAAATACTTCGGATGCGGTACATTCATTTTTATGCAGCACTTCATCAATCTGGTTCCTCAGGCATGAGTACGCACAGTCCCTTGTCCTTGGTGACTGATTTATAGCTTTCTTGATAAGATGATATTCAATTCACCGGGAGGTTACCTCATAAAAGTCGGCCTCTTTCCGCAGTAAAGATCTAAGTTTGCTTTTTCTGGCCTCCAAATTACTTAAAACGGTCTCCTTATCAGGTAGTAGGTAGGCCATCATGCTAGATATTACTAATGGTGTGAGGAATCACGCTATACCTATTATTAAAGGAAGTTTCGGAGGTCCACCGCTTCTCCTGGCGTGCTCTAACATCAGAATCCTGAAAGAACCTTTTATTTTCTATCTGTTCGCATTGTTTTTTGGCCTCAGCCATCTTTTGCCGATGCATAACAGCTTCGTAAATGTTCTTAGTTCGAACATTCGGCATCATCCTCATAAATTTAAAATAGTGCTTGATGAGTCGCTATGCTCTACAATGCACAAACAAATACTACAACAAGCGTGAATTTAACACAAATTATCATGTTAAAATCACTAGAAAGTAAAAAGGATTGAATTAGCAACAAGAGAAACAAAAAATATTGATTAGCTTTCGGCATAACTGTGGGAAGAAATTGGAGTAAACTTGGCTCAAATTAGTAGCGTCAAACTGTAAAAACAACTTGCAGTGTCCTAAATGAAGCACTTTTGCACATTACAAAACCAATAGACTTAATTAAACCAAGTGAAAATCATAGAAGCTAAGTAAATATCATAGGAAAATTGGAAAGTTACACCAGAGTTAGCAGTGGTGTAGTTCCATTATTTTGGTATACATACCACTTTGTTTATAGGGCAAATCTAATGAAATAATAGGTTACAGTATAACGATGCAGCGGAAAACCTAACTCACAGTCTATTGCTAAATGAGTTGGTTATTAACTACCTTTGTTTAACATAACATATTCCTCGGGAGAATTTTCAAAAGGCGTTCTTTGTTAGTGATGGAGAAGCTGGTTTGTGAGTTTTCCGTTCTAAGGTTTGTGACTCTTTACCTAACCACATTCCTACATTACTTCGTAGGCTTGGTAATCCCCTTAGATGCTGTGGTCGTTTCGTAGCCGTTGAATCTCGCAAACTACCTGCTTTCTCTGCATATGTTAAAGCATATTTTAACGACGTGAAGAGTAAAAATCCCATAATGAAAACAACGGAAATTATGAAGAAGCTTAGCGAGATGTATAAGGCTGCTTCCCCTGCTGATTTGGCTAAGTTGACACTAAATGCGCCTATAACGAAAACGAAGACTGACGAGGAGAAATTGGAGGATCGGAAAAAGCTATTGGTGCTCATTTTGGTTACATGTTTTTAAAAATGTTCGGTTTTTGTATTGTTATAACTGAAATGTTAAATAAGAAGCATATTTGATGCAAACATGCGTACTTTAAATAGTTGTGTTTCTTGACTATTGTATCGTTTTACTAGTGTAGCTTTTGCATTAGGATCATGCTTTTAAATCGGCGTTTAGTTGATTCTTATAACCTTACATGTATTTGGATTTTTATGGTTTGAAACTACCGTCCATTGTCTGCAAACCTTCCTTCTTTCGCATTTTTGTGAAGAAGTAGGAATTTGTAATTGTAGGCGGCATGCTTACTCAGAATTCCTTTCAATTAGCCGCATTGTGTATTTACGCCCCAGCATAATCCTTTTTAATGTGCTTAGAAAATGTCTGTGTTACTAACTTTGTGTTTTGCCACTTTTGCAGTTTGCTAGAAAACATGGCTTGCCAAAACCTCTGCCAACTACAGGATACAAGGTGTATATTTGTGAACAGCTCTCTGGTAACAAGGTAGTTATGTCCAGTGCCCTGTTTCCTCTCTTTAACGTGATTTAATTGCCGTGTGAATTTTAAACTTGGTTTGAGCAGGGATCAAGCCTGCAAAGCATGACTTCAAAGCTCTCTGCTGTCTCGAAATCCTGGAGCGATCTCTCAGAGCTCAACAAGGAGGTGAGTCCTATTTTTGCATTGGGAGCCAGCCCCTGTTGTGGCATACTGTTAACGTGAAGCTTAGTTCTACGTCAGGTCGATTTTCTCACACAGTTAAAAACTTATTAAATGGCATTTTGTTGCCACCTTACTCTTCAGGCCTACATTAGCCGAGCATTGGAGAATAGGTTGGCCCATTTGCGTAACCTAAAAACCTGGTCTGAGGAAAATGGTATTCAGTTTTCCAAACGCAGTTCTGTCCTTGCCAGTCGTTTCTACGCCAAGCATCATGGGAAGGATACCACTGGCAAGTCCGCCTCCATCAAATCTCCCCCGAAATAACCGGTGAAGGTCCCATTTTTGTATGCATGTATACATAAAATAAATCGTTTTAACAATTTCGCTGGTGCACTATGCAGTTACTGGTAGATTGAGATTAAGTTACCGAAAATATTATAGCAGTAAATTACTAGTGTCGACGGTCAAAGAAGCCGATCTTCATGGTTATTGTCCAGTTCTTAGATGGCTTTACTGGTCTCTTACGTACATTGCTAACCTTAGCTGTCGCCTAAAACTGGCTTACATGCGCACTTTACGGGTGGATTTTGTCTGTGAATCCACACAGATTTAGAATGCTGCATTCATGCATTACTTGTTTCTTCATGCACCAAGGGCATTGCGAAGTGAACCGAAGCTTTTGAATTTATACCTGAAAAGAACAAATTTTAAGGGGCTGAGAATGAGTTCATCTTTCAGCTTGATTTCTTGCAGCTTTTCCGCACTTACCCCGGGACTTAAGCGTTTTGCTAGGTAGCCTTTTGAATTTGCAAGTGTTAATGGGTGATTTTGTTCAAAGTTTCCACAGAAAGACTCGTCTCTTGCGCCCAGATTAGACGTCCAGGTTCAGGTAGGTGTTCCGAGTTCTAAGTCAGTATTCACAAAAGTGACTACCAAGGCTGCATGGCTTCGAGCGCGCCATCATGATCGGGACTGCCGATAATGCGCGTACGTACGTTTGGGCGTCTTCGGAACATCTGTAGAGTTCAAGTGCCTTGCTTGAATTGCACGTTTGGTACTTGAAGTGTTCTGTAGACAACTGACTTGGTTCAGAAGGAGCTTCCTCCACCATCACACGCTAATCGGGCACACAGGCACTGCCATTGTTGCCTGTCGTCCTGATTAATGATGTCCGGGCTGATTGAGGCACAACCTGTGCGCTGATTACTGGTATAGGAGAAGGGCACACTTGGCACCTCCTACTATTTGTAGCATTGTCATCGTTAACTCTCATTGTAAAATATCATTTAAATTTTAAGCCAAACTTTGACATAAACGTTTTGCCACTTTTACCATTGAATTCTCGTTTAATCAGATGTAATCATTTTGTCATTTCTTTTATATCTGATGCTAGATAGAAAGAGTACTAAGCCACAGAGTATGCCACCCCAAATATTGGGGTGCATGTGTACGAATGGTGCGGTATCTCATCTACCAGGATGTTTTCTTTCCAGCATATGTTTCACTAATAAAACCCAAAAAAGCTGCTTGATCCCAATTTTATCCCATGGCTGATTATTATGAAGTGGATTTACCTCTTAAAGGAAGGTTTTTTTTTTGCTGTCGTAGAAGCAGTAGATTCATATTTATTTAAGTAAGTGTTCTGTATGCATTTACGTCATCGGTGTAGGTTAGATCCTCCTGAGAAAACCTCAACCCTGGCCTAATGGAGTATCTTTAGCCATTTAAAGCACCGAGAATCCTGTGTTTGAAGGCCCTACAGGCGCCGAATCCGCTTGCCTTACTCCTCCTCACAATCCTCGTGATTGCTACAACTAGCGTTTGCGAGCACCGCGCTTGACGCATATGCATCTTCTAGTTTGCACAGAAGTTGTTTGCGTTTGCCATTATCTCCTCAAAACTCGCTACTTGGGTAATGCAATCGAAGTGTAGATTTTCACGCTATATCGGCTTCAGTCAAGGGTACGCAGTTACACGGTCTTTCTCCAATCTCATGCCTTTTAAGCCACGTCTGATTGGCAATTTCTGGCTCAACTACCATAACGCTTCGGTATTGCATTATGAACAATTAGAGGCCACAATGATGAGGCGCTAAGGCTTGGCTGTAGTGCTCTAGTCCATGCCGATCTTCGACCGAGGAGGTGATTATACGCGCTTGTAGTAGTAAACTTGGACAATAATTCCTTCTAGCATCTTTTTGGCCAACGAACCAGAGGGGATGCTGTTGGTAGGAGTCATTATGCGGATTATGATTTCGAATAGCTCGTAAGACACTCTCAAGTGTCCTATTTGGGGGAATTTTACCACATCATTTCACAGAGCAGTCAATCCATCCATACCCAACTGATCATGTGAGCCTTCAGGGTTTAGGAGTGTTCCTCCCTCTCAAACACTATGATCCATTTCAACACACCTGAGCGCGCATTGACCACGTCAAGTGGATCAAGGTATGAGCAGATCGACAAGGTAAATTCTGAGACAAAGGTTTATCACTTTTGTTGCATCCAGTGGTACTACTTACACAAATAAGTAGTAAAGGCATATATTGAGATAAGCATTCCCGATGGCTGTTTGAGCACCCATGATACAAAGTTTGAGGGGGGGGGACAGCATATACCCCAATTTACTGATTGGTGAGGATAACCGGGCTTTACACACCGTGTGTTAGTCACATCAGGTAAAATGATCAGCTCGTGGAAGCTCAACGCCGCGTTGAAGTCAAGCCAAAGCAACCTGGAGAAGCGATAAGTCCAGCCATCCAACGCGCCTCTACTCCCTTCCTTCACCCGAAGTGCGATTGAAGGCGAAGAAAGAGGAACGCATGTTTAGAAGCTGCCTATGTTGCACCAAATCTCTGTTTGAATAGAATTTAAATGCTCCGCAGCCTATCCAATGTAATTCATGCTTTTAAAATCTGATTTTAAAATCAGGTAATTGTTATTTCACAAGGAGACTTTAAGATCGTATCGAGGATTTGAAATACTCCCGCATTCAAAACCTCATTTGTCCACTGGGCAGCTGTCGTGGACTATTGGTTTAGGCGACACTTCATCATCGTGACCAGCCTTCCATCTTTGAACGTTTACAGTTCTGATGGCATTATTTCATCTTCCAGTGTAGAATCCAGTGTTCCCTTCTCTCCCAAGCTGCGCTGAGAAGTAAATATTGCAACGGAGAGAAGAGAGAAGGGAATGTGAATTTTTATTTCGTACAGGCTATCTGACAGAATTGTTTGTGTGTGCGATGTCCGCCATCACCACCACTAGAAGGTGTCTCTGCACAAGCAAGGTCGACATCAGTAGTCGGCAAAATCTGCGGCCACGCACAGCATTACCTCTCAAAACACAGATGGATGATGGATTTCAGCAAAATGAATTTCCCACTCGAAAGTCACTTTTATCCACTTTACCAATCCCACCTAGTCGTTTGATTTCGCGCCCTTACCGAACCGAGGGATTGGATGGGTACTAAGCCCTCTCATCTTCTAGAGCACAATTTTAATGGGAAATGCAGAGGATGTCAAGAAAATGATCTTGCTCCTAATCTTATCAGTGGGTTGGGCCTAAAGGATTTAGTTTGGGTAATGTTAATGTCACAGCTGGTGTCAATGACCGATGGGAGGACACTTCATCCTACCTCCTCCAATCTACCTCCACTGGCAGACGTTGAGCTTCAAAGTAAGCATTAAGTCTCTGGAGAGAGGGGCTAGTGGGGTGTTAGCAGAAGTAAAATAAACAGAAAGCTGGACCACAATTTCGTGATCCTTGCACTTGGTAGCATTGTCCTCCGCCCTCTCCACGTGGTCGCTCTCCTCTCCTGCGTCTGCCATTCCAACGTAGTTGATATTTCTTGAGAAGTCATGCTTCGATTTTCCTTGAAGATGAGGAAGCATTTAATCGGAACGCCAATGAGGTCCCTTGTCGATTCTGGTTGATTTGGACTGGCTTACTCTTTTTTAATTACACCACGAAGGTGAACCTGTTCTGTACTCCCCAAGGAGCCTCGGTGTTCCACAGCGAAGCTGTTTTGTATACCAATCACATTTCGTAGGGCACATTCGTCATGAATAGAGGTTAACCTGGTTTCACAGAGCAATGGTTCCATCTTCATTCCATCCCACCGCCATTTCAATTCTGCCTAGTCGTCTATTTGCCCTATTGTAAGCTTTAGCTGAAGGTAAATTTCCCAAAAATGGATCATATCTGATGTTGCCTGGGTTAATAGTTATGCCTTATATTAGAACACGAGATCACGACGATTGCGAGTAGTGGACTTGGTTTTGGTACAGTAGCCATTCTTCTGTCTACGCCAGGCGTGCCCTCCAATTATGATGCCGTGTTGCATAGCAAACGACTTGGATGTCTTCATCCATTCAAACTAGACTCGTCCACCACTGACATCAACCTAGAGCTGGAGTCCTTCCTGAAGAAACCACATGATGATCCATTTTCAATAGGGCTAGTAGGCGTTTGAAAGATGAAGGATAGTCGAAATCCCTCAGCACTTTGTAGCAATCGAAACCCACAACAACGGAAAGTGCTGTAATATGGTGGGCTAAAAGTTCATTTTCCTCCGCTTTAAGCACCACCCGGGCGCGTTGTCCACTTTCTTCGCTGTATCGGTTTTGGTCATTTGTCGGAGCTGCCGAGGCCATTAAATTGAGGCGAAATCCTGGTGAGCTGTGAAATACTGCTAACTTGGAATTTGGCATTTGGAAGAGCATCCCAACAAGGACGCTGTGGACGAAATGCCAACAACACTAACACCTGCTTCAAATCACGTCTTGCAGGAGGTAACCTTAGGATGTCCACAGAGGAAGCACCTGAAAAATCAATGATTTGACGTGACCTGACATACTTGGGGGCAACTAGAGCTGACGTGATTATTCAAATCGACCAATCGTGATGCGACAAGGTAGAACATGACACAATCTGACGGGACTTGACCTCACGGGGTGGTGTGGTGGTAACCTTATTCAAGTTGCACATCAGAGCGCTCATCTTGCAAGTCCTTTCTTCAATTGTGGTACCGCACCGCTCGTTCAGCACATCATGCGGAGTGAGTCTGACACTATAGTGATCGTATAAGTGAATATCCTCTTTGATAAGGCCATTCATTCGTTGATTAATCAGTCATTCCATTAATTAATAACTCACCAACTTTCCTCAGTGGCTTTGTACTTCAACTTAACCATAAAATCCTCCAGAATATACTTATTCTACTTTGTCACTTATATTTGCGCTTTAGATGGAGGAACGAAGCAGAAGAAGCCGAATTGAAAAAGGCATTTCAGAGATTCCAATGGAACTGGGTCTGAAAATTTGCAAGCACCTTAACGCCACCGATTTGGTGAATTTGTGTGAAGCAGTTCCAAGGTGGAAGTGGGTACTCAATACCTCGCCATTCTCCCACGTTGTATGCGAGAGCATAGAAGATTGGAAATGGCTTGATAGGCACCTCTGTCAGCTGCTTTTCGGTGGAGACGCCGAGATTGCCTGGACTAATGCCACTTTAGCAACGGTGTATCGCAATCAGCAAGATGCCATTTTTCAAAGACTGTCTCGTACAGAATTCCCTGAGCATACACAGAGGCCTGTTAGTTGTTTGTTCCTCACATCAACTTCTGACGTGAGTCGGCTGCGAGACGATGTAAAACAGTACCATTGCAATTTGCAAGTGGTAAATACCGGCCCCCCAACTCGCATCCTCTTCGATGTGGTCAGTGACGCAACACACTTTAAACATGATTGGAATGGCTTTTCACACGTCTCAGGCGAAAGCTGTCTGCAAAAGTTGCAGGACATTACAGGATCAGGAACGGAAGTGGGCAAACGAAGGCGTCTGACAGACTACGACTGTGTAATCCTAGATGTTGATTACGGGGATACTATTCAATTGCATGCAGACATGGATGACCTCTTGAGTGGCATGACCCCGCGCCAAACACTCATCACGACTGGGTCGTTGCTCCACATCAAGGGTCTCGTGAGCAACCTCGATTGCATGGAGGAGATGTTTTGGAGCTTAGGTGGGCTTGAATTCTCTCTCCTTTCCCAAATCTCCGCTAACTGGCGAATTTGGTGCAATCAGCACCAAAATCACTTTGCCATTGATTTCGTGGAGGTAATGCGGTGGGCCTGTCTCGATGTCTTCTCGAGACAAGGTGGCAAAACATTGCACTGCTGAGTATGAGCATCTCAGCCAAATATTTCACCCATGCACCTGTGTTTTTTCTTGGACCTTACAATAAAAAAAATTTATTTTACGTTTTAATGTATGGGAAGAAAAGGCGATTTACTCCATCGGTGGATAAACATAGAGGACTATTAAAAATTACTTGCAATTGGTGTGTAGATCATGAGGAGAATACCGTTGTGGTGGTGAGGGAAAGCCTTTCGGAGTGATTTGTCTTCTCTGGTGGGAGTCGGGTGTTGATGATCTGGCGGATTTCGAAGCGACCCATTAATTTTCTGAGGTAACTGCTGGGATCTACGCAGCGCCTTTCCCATTTCGTCCGAAATACATCACTTTGAAGTGCTTACACTTTGTTGTGGAGCGTGGGCATGCAAACGAATGAAGTAATTCAAGTAAGTAATTGAAAGAAGCAGTTCTTCATCACTGACCGATTTCCAGCTGTGATTGCGGTGTTCACTTCGAGGCTTATCCACACCCCACTCATGAAGATGTCATTATTTAGGTGCTATGTTACCACCAATCGCTTCCTGTAGGTTTATTCATCGTGGTTGCTCTCAACGTTACTTTGCAATCGCGTCAGAAAGATACTGAAGAACGCTTTAGTCGACTGCTAACAGCAGAGACGTTTCCACGATTTGACCATTTCTTGCGTCGAAGACATTGTTTTCGATCCACTGCCTCTTTGAGGTTAGGGCTGCAAACATTTCAATATACTTCGGTATTTACATGTTACCGTTCTCTCTAACGCCGGTGCTCGTGTAACAGCAGTTCTGCTTCACTCTTGTGGGTGAAGTGGCCAGGGGAGCGTCACCTTGTGTGACATGCTTTCATTTTACGAACAAAATCTCCTCCAGCCTACAAAATGCTGCATTTTTATTTCTAATTTTGATAAAATCACAAATTTCTTGCATGAACGTGAAGGGGACTGAGCCCAAGATCTTTTGTATTACACTGTAAAGAAGAATGATGATGGCCTGACCCTGGGGTCACAAGTGTCATACAATGCCGTTTGATTTATGTAACGCAGTAGCCGCTATTCACTTGAATGCCGATGCTATTGTGAGGCCTTGTTCGAGGTATCGTCTTGGTTGTTTATGCAGTGGACGAGGTGGTAGAAATACTGAAGCAGCGGACTCAAACCTAAAATGAGGGCTAGGTGGGATTGAAGAAGACGATCTAACCGGTGTGCAGATGTATACGACCCTGGAATCTCGTTCGTGTTACAATTTTTTTGAATTATCCGACGCAGCAGATGGTTTGCAAACAGTCAGAGGACTGCGCTCCTAATCCCTTCGGATTGGTCTAGAGTGTAAATTAAGTATACTAACAGTTACTATAAGACGAGGTCGGACCACTAATATAGGTATACTTAACTTAGTGCCCTAGTCGCAGTCGCGGTCCCAGTCTCAGACTCAGATTCGGATGGAGGCTCAGACGCAATCTAATGCAGTCTCTGACGGCCTCCACTAAACAACGATTGGACTGTACCGGCACGACACACCTTTGTGTCCACTTACCCGCGTTCACCGATAAAGACAGACGTCTGTCCTGGGGTCTTGTCCGTTGACTCTCTGCTTGGTGGCCTCCATAGGATCCGGACAAATCGTGCAGAAACTCAAGTGCCTAACAGTGACAACCCGGTTTGTAACACAAGAAAATCCGGTTTTTTGAGAAAACCCTTTTCTCCCTCTGTCATGTACTTCCTCCTGGTGCAGTTTGCTTTGCTGGAGACAAGAGAGTACACGTGACAATGCAGTCCGCACCAAGAAATTGAACCAATTTGATCAGTACTTTGTGTTCTGTGTCCACTTCATAAGTAGAATTGTGGAAAGTAGGAATTCCTCTTGGGAGGCAAAATATGGAGAAGAACTTGATGAGCTAGAAAGGCAACTCTGCGTGCGACCCACTTTGCCGTTACTGCATAATAGCCGGATGGCTTCACCATTGGTTGACAATGGCCACCAATATTGATGAGAGGTCAATAGAAACAGGGCTTTTAAAGATGGAAACAGAAGAAATAGATCATGAAATGACATACGACTGCATTGCAAGAAAGAGCGACGCAAAATATCTCGCACGAAAAGAAAACGCGTGTCTATTCATATGGACAGGTCTATATGAAATGTGAAGCTGACTCAGGTATGCATTTAAAAAGCTGCTGGTTTGAGGATGTGTGATTACTTTGATCGTACATTCACGACTAGACGAAGTGGAGCAGGATAAAATCCACCAGCATGACTTAGTTTCGGTCCTACTGAAGAGGCAAATGAAAGCGTCCGTCTTACAAGTATTCGGCTTAATTCTAATGCCACTTCACTCCTTCAACACATTACTTGGAGCAAGTTCTTACTCTGCTGTCTCCTACTAATTTGACGTTCACAACAGAAGGAACTGCTTTATAAGGTCAACTATTCGTGTCTTCATCTACTTATTCGTCTAGTCAGTTAGCTGAACAGTTAATGTGTGGATCACTTATTGTCTGTCAGGGTCTTTGTAAAGTCATGTGGATGTGAAAGCCCTTCAGTGCATTCCCATTTTTCTTCGTCTTCAATCGCACTTCAGATGAAGGAAAGGAGTAGGCACGCTGGATGGGTAGACTTATTGCCACAACTGATTCACCCAAAATTGATGTGAAGTGCCCTCCTTCTTAAGATAATTTCAAAGCATTAAATTTATCAACAGAACACACAATATGTGCACATATTTTCAGGATTTTTGCAGCTAAATTATTCTCGACGTAAACCAAATCGAAACATACTCCTTTAAAGGAGGCTAATATCAAGGAAAGAGTGGCCACTCATTTTGGGTTACATTGGTGGAATAAGTTAGCACACACCTAATGTCTTCATTATTTAAACACAGAAGAATTAAGCATCTAGGCAGAATTGATAAAGTGGACAAAAATGTCTTTTGAATGTGGATTTCACGTTGTCAAAATCTTTCATTCACCTATGTTTTGAGGGACATGAATTTGAGTGGCCGCAAATTTTGCCAGCTACTGATTTCGGACTTGCTTTCTTAGGATTAAAATTAAGGATGCTTCCTGTGTTTCTTTAGCAGTCGCTATTAATTTTCTTGTTCCAGATTCCATTTCAGGTGCAGAGACACCTCGTTTCATGAATTACTTCGAATACTACAGTGATGGTGGTGTTGGAGTTGTTGGACATCCCACACACACAATTCTCGCCAACAGATTAATGCACCAAATATTTGCAGTTATTTCTCTACTTAGCGTAGCATGAAAGAGAGTTTGAGACTGATTTCCACATTGAAATGTAAAGTAATGCAACTAGGGTTGAAAAATTACAGAGAGATGGCTGTACCCGATGCTGGCTTAACACATAAAACCACTGGGCCACCACAAGAGCTTAGTGGGTGGAGGAGATTTTGAATATAGGGTCGGTCATAGTTCTTTGTTAAAATGGCAATCACTTTATGTTGATTTTTTGATTTCCAATGTATGGATTACATTGGATAGGCTGTGGAGCACTTAAATTCCATTTGAATGGGGATTTTGTGCAACACAGGCAGCTCCTGAACAGGCGAAGCACGGAGATATCAGTGACAGTGAACAACACACAGCGGTAGCACCAAATCCACAGAGGATGCACACTGTACTCGAAGCACAAATGCATTTCCCACCATCACTTTGGTGTAGAGATAAACACAGGTGCAGGGAGGAAAGACCAAACGAATATCGAGTCTTTCTCGGGAGAAAGTCACTAGAAAGCCAAAATTGGTGGATCCGACGAACACAAGCAGTAATGTATGGATGATCGCAAAGGGTAGAAAGAGGCAGGTAAATTAAAATTTCGCTACTAATTCACTTGATATTTGGTGCTGCCTTGGCAACATCGACAATTTCCCGACCAAGAGTCTCCAATCGACAGTTCGAGTGACACCTGCATAACTTCATCTAAAAAGCATTCACACTGATTTGTGGAACGAATAGACTTAGGAACATGCAATTATCCTCCTAAGGACCTTATCAACTACAAATTTAATTCCTCTTCTAAATTTTACATAGATGGCACATCTGTGTTTAAATTTGCTTCTTCAAGTTGCTTCGGCTTGACTTCAACGTGGCGTTGAGCTTCCACGAGCTGATCATTTTACCTGATGTGACTAACACACGGTGTGTAAAGCCCGGTTATCCTCACCAATCAGTAAATTGGGGTATCTGCTGTCCCTCTACCCTCAAACTTTTTGTCATGGCTGCTCAAGTACAACCATCCCAGTGCTCATCTCAGAAATAGGGCTGTTTGCTTGAGTACCGTCACTCAGATGTTTCAGCTAAGTTAGTCATTTCTATTAGTTTGAAAACGTGGCACCATTAGATGGATGAGGGGTGACCGACCTTCCTCTCGTACTTATCCAGCACATCAGCACATGTCTTAGCTTGCCTGACATGGTCAATGCTTGCTCAAGTATACCAATACACAACTCCACATCCACGTGAGCGTGCCCTGAATGGATCCCAATTGGAAGCAGGTGGTCATTTCTTAGTGGTCTTCTCCACTGATCCCTGCAAACGTCGTCGGTAAGTTGGAAAAGGAATTACAGGTAGAAAAGGCTGGAGACGTGTGAACGATTTGCAAATAAGGCGACACCTCACTTCTACAACTGGGGACTAATTTTCATCCAGTTTTTGTAGTTCGGTACGTCTACTGCTCGCGTGATTAACAGCAGTTGAGAAGCTAAAGAGATGCCAAAGCTGTTTTTCAGGTGATGTGATGTATAAATGAGGAAAAAGCATTAATGACCCACGCCTTGGAATACTTAGAGACTCGAGGATTGGCGAATGGGAGGCTGTGCTTACTCTTCCTCCTTTTACACCTACGCAAATCGGTGCCCCCTCACCAAAGAGGGGGATGGTGTTACTCCAACCCTCCAGTAGTGACAAATCGGAATGCTCATTTGAATGCAAGTGAAGGCGTAGAGTTAAATGGTAGGAGGGCAATGAAAGAGAGATGTGAAGAAAGTGCCAAGCAGGATGCCGGTTTGAGAAATTTTGGTACTTTGGTACTAGGGTCTTTCTCTCATTCTTTCATTCAACTAACCAACCATCCTTCATTTTATTGACAAAGCCTTTTTATGTTGGCGAAGTAGAAATGAGGGCCTTTATTTCACGAAAGATAAGGTGATGTTCTTATGGAAGGTGCGTGCATTAGTGCAGATGGATAAAAATGATCCGCTAGGTATCGTGCAAGGGCTTAAATAGCCGCGGTGCACACTTTTATCCATCACTTCTGTTAATGTGTTATTATTTATTGCCAAATCATTAACTTATTCATACATTCCTCTCTTTACCCATTACTGATGGGGAATCCAACCATCCATCTAAAGTAGCCTAGACAAACTTCCATTTCTTCTTCATACCTCTACCCCCACACACCCATCTACTCTTCCTTCCTCATTCTAGTCAGATTCCTCCACCCCGATTAAATCCACTTGTCAGTCAAACTTAAATCAATCCACACCTATCAAAATCGTGCATCCTTTCGCACAAAGGGTGAGTGGTTGGGAGGAGGGCAACAATTCATGACCATTGCGAATAAATTGCTAGGAGATATAACCTGTCAAAGTGCAAGCGATACCTTTCCTTATAGTCCATTCTGTCGCAGATTGTCTCAAATCACCACCATCGCCATCACCGCTCCCAACATCATAATTACCATTAGTAAGAGGTCAAAATTTAACAGATTCTCGCAGGCACTCTATTAATTTTTTCAACAGTATGCTACTCTAAGCCTTGGACACATGAATTTGATCTTACCTCCCACTTTAAGGAAACCCACACGATCATGTCAATTGGACTGAGATTGCCACTTTTCGTGCCGCTAACTCCAACTAAAAAAGGAGAGTGGGTAGTGTTTGTTACAAAGTCCCTTTCATATCCACTCTCCACTGGTGGAAGGCGCAGGTCAAACAGTTTACTTCCACACTCTTCGCTTAGCCCTGTGGCTCACTCGCTCATTTACTCACTCAAGTGGTGTACCTTTGTAGGGCCTCCTCTTGTTGTGGCAATCAGTTAGTGGCTGAGCCCAAAATTGTGCAAGGCAAAAGAAGTAGTTTGTAGGCATGAGAGCTTTCGCCACTCGGAATGCATCTTCGCCGCATGGGTGATAAAACCTGCAATGTATCCCAGGTGGAGAATCAGCCTGTTTATTTATGCAAAGTCTACTTCTAATTGGACATTAATTTAGCTATATTTGTAGCAACATAGCATTTGCCAGATTTAGGACAGTGGTAAGTATTTACGTGCGATGACAAAACGTTTTCTTACACATTTTTAGTAGCAGATCGTACTCTGGGACACTGCTGGTCTCTGCTTTCGTGTTTGGCAAAACATCGAAGAGTAATCTCATTTTACAACCCATAAGCATCTTAAACGGTGAAACGTCGGTTGATGGATGGACTGTAGCCCTGTATGCGGAGAGAACTCGTGCTAAACCTGATTTTCAGTGTTCGGTTGTACATCCTTAGTGAGGGCCTTCACTCATCTGGCAAGAGTGTAATGCCTTTTTTCCATCCATCCACTGCCTAGAGGGTGTTTGGGCATCGTAAGCGTCTTTCAGACACCGAAGGTCCTGCATAGTTCAGCAAAGAGTCAATTTTCGAAATTAGTACCTTGATAGCTATGCACTATTTCGAACACTCCGTACCGGCATATCTACAAATTGAAGAAAAGGTTTTGCGTCTTTGGTCTTCGTGGGTTCCGTCTCACCAGCATAACCAGAATATATCGGTTACCACTTCTTGTGGGTGGTAGAGAACGCATAATGTCATTACCTACTCTTCTCCATGGGAACCCCGTAGGACCTTTTCAAACTGCTGTAAGTGATACAGAATCTGCGAAAAATCGAGTCTCTCTGTGGTGAGCGAAGGCCACGAGTATCTTTTGCTTGAGGTAGCCAGCATCTTTTACATAAGTGGTCCATTTGCTCGTGTAACTCTTGGAGAACTGTCTGCACTAGGCGCTTGGGCGACCTGAAATCCCCTTGGTGTCATGTAACTCCTTTCTTTAGAGAGAAATTTTTGACCATTTTTGCCATATCTATGCGGCTGCCCTGCCGGACAAGGTCATCTCTTTAACTGTGGGTTTATGAGTGTCATACTACCGCAGTTCCTCGTACCAGATAATCAAGTGAACGGTCGATCGCCTCCATTGTTTGTAACCAGATGAGCACCTGTCGATACGCTCTCATTTTTGTCTTCCTTGCTATCTAGTAGTGTCTGAAATACACAACCATGCAGCTGATAGCGAATAGCTCTCGTTTTGTTGCACGTTTCTGCCTCATTTTTCTTCGTTCCTTTGTGAGAGTGCGGCACCCACCTCTGCTTCACTGGTGTTAGTTTTTAGTACAAAAAGTGGGGCACTCAATTTTAAAGTTGGATAGTGCAAGACTCGGCGCGAGGTAGAGCATTCTCTTCAGTTATCTGAACGCGTCATCATGCTATTCTTCCATCTTAAAATTCCTTTGCCTGCTTCTTGGTTAATTTATGCAATGCACTTGCAATTTTAGCAAAATCTTTAAGGAAATGCCTGCAGTTATTTGTAAAACTTAGGAAACTACGGGGCTCTATTTGATTGGTTGGTGATGGTTAGGTCTTCACTAGTTTTGTACAGCCTTCAGCAACTACCATCCCATCCGACTAGACTGCATGTTTTACAAAGGTAACCAAGCGTTGCAAAATAGGCGATTCTTTGTGTTCAAGCTTATTCCTGCTTCTCGCAGACGGTGCAACACCAAATTCAGGTGGGATAATGCAAATGCCTCCTTCTTTGTCATTTCATTCTACCTCCTGTAGTCGATGCACAGTCGCAGAGGCCCACGGTGACTCTGGCGGTTTTATAATCTTGTCTCTAATCATTTCTTTAACCAGACGTTTGACTTTTCTAGCAGAGGAGGAAGTATGGGGTTAAAAGGTTGGCAGATGCGTCTAGCTTCGTCGGTGCCTATCGTATGCTTCGCAAGACGTGTTTGTCAGTAGCATGAGAGAGCAGTGAGCATAGGCCATCTAAGTTGTCCACAAGTATGGCTGCTACCTTGAGGAGGGCACTGCAGATGCCATTCGCAGATCCCGTTGATAACGAAACCACTGTCTTGGCGTCAATATCTTGGTAAGTAGAAAAGGCGCTTTCCACAAAATTTAAAAACGGCTTTGACATTGCACAGAAAAATAGCGTCAAGTATTAAGTCGCAAACCAGTTGTTGACACAGCAAAGTTCACTGCACAGGGTTCTCCCCTTATACGGACTTCTAGCGACGTCCCCTCTTTTTACGACCATCGTTCTTCCTTCCGCAGAAAGTAATCTTGTTAAAGGAGGAACAATCTTAAAGATTTACTGTTGATTTAGCCGAAAAAAAGTTGCATAGACGTCCTTTCAGTTTAATTACGACTGGCACAAAGGCATTAGGAACGTTTGGGAGCGAATGATAAAGGAAATAGAAGGCTCATCCAATCTTAGGGTCAAGCACTAAGGGGCAGGATATGAGGGTGTTGAGATCTTAATTACAAACTTGACCAGATGACAGACAGAATTGATCTTTGTACCGCAATGCTTCTCGACCACAACGGATGGTCGAACTCCGCGTCTGAATTAAACGATTATAAATCCAGCTATCCTGTATGGAGGTAAGCCATGGACGATTCATTTTGCTAGATGTTTGGCGATCCTAGCGTACTCCTCGTTATTCTTGCCCACTTTTAGGGTTGCAAAGAAAGAAGTTTCTAACAAAAATCTACTCTTCTTGGTTAATGACGAGCTGCGATAAGATGTGGCAACATTGTTCCACGGCATTGATTGAAACCAAAAACCAAACTTGGAAAAGGACATGGAGGATTATGAGTATCTTTGGCATCAAACTTAGGGGTTAGCTTTTGCGATTTCGAGCCATTCATCAAAGTTCACGTCCTTCATGAAGGGGTGAGGTCCACTGGCTCTGTCCTCGTTTATCTCTTCCTCTCTGGTCTTCAAACTCTTTGGACGAAAAAACTAATTTGTCAAGAGTGCTGCTAGACCATGTTCAGGAGAATATGTACTATGAACACTCTTCTGTCTTGAGGAAATTCGACCACTTCTCCTTCACAAAATCAGAGTTTACTGAACGCTTCTAAATACGAGGCGAACTCAAACAGCATCTGCATCACGGAGTTGCAGTAGCTCCAGCTTTCCAGCTATTCTTGTGCACCTCTGATCCAACAGCGTCAGTCAGGATGTGGGACATGGAGCTAAAGGTAAGTTGCATCATTCAAATCTTAGAAGAGTACAATTTCAACCTTTTTAATGCACCGACCTTTAACTAGGCTTCTTTTACATTCGCCAAGACTTTTAACTTGGTTAAAAACGCAGCGTTTGCAATTTTTCTCTTCATAATTTAAAAGATGTGTACCCTTCTCAGGGCAAAGTTATACGATACCAGGATCACAGACGCAACTCCTGAATTAGCCCAAACAGTTTGTCAATAACTCGATTTTATTGATATAGTAAATATTTGCATTGCGATCCCAAGCTAGATTCCTTTGCCCTTCCTACGAACACGACATTCGTATATCAGTAAGTGGAAGTGGGTTGGCAAATGAGTCTGTACTGCTCTATATTCAAGCTCGCAGACTCTGTGCCCTTCAAACATTGACAAGGCCACTGAACAGCACTTTGAGCGAATGAAATTTTCATGCAAGCAAACTCACCCGTGTACCTTTGAAGGTGTGGACTGCACTCTCATGAAGTCCATGATGGATTTTAAAACACCGTGTTACCACACTCCCGAGAAATTGTGTATGAAAGTAGTAAAATTCACTCGTACTCCCACCGTAATTTTTAATTCATTATGCCCCATACGTTGCGGTCAAGTGCTGCATTTTTTTTATTAGAACTAATACACTCAAAATTTTTGACAGTGAATATAAAAGAATCGTAAGAAAGCAAAGAGCAGTACTAGCTGGTTATGACTGCTTCCTCTGTGTCATTGAGCTTTCATCAATTCTACGGCATAATTCCAAAATTAAGGCTGAATTGCGAGCCATAATGACGAACATGTCGTCTGACCAGACATTCGGGTTACTAATAGATAAAGATGCGAAACGGAAGGAGGAAAGTGGACTAAATTTTTATTTAGATTTCGTTCAAAAACTCGGTTTTGTGAATGACTCTCCTCTAATGTCTGCACCAATGAATTGGGGTCTATGGTGCCTCCAGGGCGGTATTGCCGAGCTTACCAATAGCAGGGATATACTTACAGGGGTTTGTCAAGATGTCATTCGGAGACGGATGCAAGCACGTGGGCCTCAATTAGCCGCAAGGTCACGTGAAGTGCCCGACTTTCCAAAATGGTTCAGAATAACTGCTTCATAATTGAACTGATGCAAATACAAGCATATGTCCTGCCCATGGTCCTGTCTTTTCGTTCTTCAAGCCACAGATCCGATACGTCTGGGTCGAAATGGTTTTTTCTTAGAAAGTTGGGCAGTCAATGAAGTGCGCCTGGTAGATGTCGATTCCAGTTGTCTTGGACGTCTTTACCAACCACAAAATTCCTTGTTAAGCGTTTTGTCAGCGGGACTTGAGGCAGCTACTTGGTTTAATTTAACCAGAGTCTAAGAGTGGTAAGAATAAGCAAATTAAGGTACCATTTCCAAATGCTGAATACTTAATTAATTGGCATGGGTGATTTAATCAGTACAGGATGAAGAGGTTTTTCCATCGGCACTCAAATGCTTTGAGGCTTGCATCGCTTTAGATTCGGCCATCAAAGAATTAGCTGCCAAATGCATGCCTGCTAGTTGACCGGGAGACTACCGAACAAATATGTCCACTTCCTTGAGGATGTATTAATGACGACCAATTTTGTTGCAAATTCGCACCGGCCACACATCGCCCATAATTCCGAGTGGCGGTGCTTCTACCTTCTTCATTAATGTGACAAATCAAGATTTCAGTTTGACTACGATGGCACGGGAGATGTCGTAAAACTCACCAAACTTGCATTACTGTTCTCTCATTTGAATAACACCCAGAACACGCCCCATTTCCTGCAACATACCCTTATTAACCTTGTTCGACTCCTGAAGCTACTTCAGTTAGTCTCAAAAGTGTACGCGATATGTCACCCAACCATTGTGAAGTGGTGATAAACACAAACCGCAATTTTCCCAATTTCAGCCTCAGATGTCGCCTTAATTTTAACGAATCTCCTCATGTTTGTACATTCGGATGTCACCGAAAATTAACTAAAGTGCCCTTTCATGCCAAAGTAAGTCTATCTCATTCTAAATAAATCCACAAGCACTAGTGGAGGAAGAAAAATCGCAGCATACCGTGTCGTTAAAGACAAAAAAGGAATTTGTCGCTCCCTTCGCCTTTTAGCGAATTTCTTCAAGTAGACTTTTTAAGTTTGTTTCCAAATTAATACTTTTACAGTGGCACCTCAGCATTCTCCTGTCTATTACAGCTCAACTGGGTTGGACTACCATCGCTAAGGCAGAATTTTTACTGAAATGGCAATGAGATTTCCTTTTCATATCCAACGATTCGTTTTTAGCAACACTTTTTAGTCCAAAGCACATTGGATCATCCAGCAACGGCAATTGGGCAGTCATTGTGCTGAACTGGACCTCCTAAACCACGACATCTCTTCAAGGAGGCTTCGTAGTTGTTATATTTGCGTGCCTCATACTCACCAAACACCATCGCCTTTGGATCCTTGCGCCGCTCATGTGGAGGCTGGATTTGACATTTAAAGGCGTCAACTTGATTACAGTCACCCCAAGCGACACACTTCAATCAAAGCAATCAGTGGGGTGATCATTTTAGTAGCTTCCATGAAATACATACACACAACTTTTAAATAATTTCCGGATTAGTGTAGAATCACTTGCTGGTGTTGAAAATTTGTGAATTCACCTTGTTATGCCAGTTCTCACAAGAGCTATTAAGTTCGCCCTGAGTTTCGGGGCATGATAAGAACGTGCCTCGATGAATGGTGTGGTCAGTGTGCATAAGGCAAATGTCCTGTCGCCGTCAATTTGCCGTAAGCCTTTAAATTCTTGAACATCCTCTGGGGAAGAACAGCACTGAAGATGCGGAGAGCCGTGTTTGACCTGGGGTACTCCTTTGGCAGCGAGGGATAAAAATCATGTCTGAGCCACAGTCCAATGAGATAATGGTCCATCCTCGAGGTATCCATTCCCAGGTTAAAGTGCTGGAATGCATCCTCTTCGTAGCGCGTTTTCAATTCCGAATCGGCATTGAGACCGAGCGTTGGTCCGTTTGTGCTTCTAAAGCAAACAGTGCAGCACTTGCTGTCTATTCATTAGGGGACTACTAAAACACAGACTTCGCCTGCAAAAAGCCTGTAAATTTGGTCTATTCACCCCTTACTTTCTGCAAAGACACAACACAACTAGTCAAGTCCTTAAATTGAAAAAGGGTACGCTTGCCTTACCGCATATCCATCAATTCATTAATGCAACTGCTAATAAGAAACTGCAAAATTGAACCCTGTGTATGCATATCAAATCTTTGTGGATATTCTTTAGCATGAACGTATAAATTGGCACTAGGGATACCTGCCTGACTTTAGGCAGGTTGATGTTCTGACGGATCAGGGGTTTAAGCAGTCTTTCACCACGTAGGTGAGGTTTCACAGGTTTGCAAATCCTCTTGTTAAGTAACGTTTTGTCGCACAATCTCATCGTTTTCTGCTTGCATACTGGACAGTAGAATACGAAGAGATTCCAGAATTTTCACAGCAAAGCAGGCAAGCATCAAGACCTTTTATATTTTACCCATACCACAGAGAGGAAAAGTTAGTAGCTCTCGTTCGTAGGCTAAAAGATTCGAGATCAACCCAGGATGGTGAGTGCTACATGGCATCGTAATCAAAGTAAAAACGGGAGACATTTCAAAGTGTGCAAACACAGGCTCATCATATTTCAGGGCAGTGGTAAGTTTAGCATGACAATTATTGCTATCCAAAATAGGCAACAGAGGTTTCAATTTGAATAGTTAAGACGATTGCTGCATACCGATTAGGACACAGGTTTCAAGGGTTGACAATTTCCTTAACTACGCAAGGATTTAAAAACCTCAAATGCAAGCACAACTTTTGAAAACCCACGAGAAAAGGGACAGGTGGAAAGGGCGAGTCTCACCCTGATGAGACTACCAAATGCTTTCACTAGGGATTTCACAATCAGAAGACTGGAATTTAAGCCCAGCACAAGTCCTCCTTGTATGCAGGGCTAGGGCCTACACTTCAACCTGCTTCTCACCATTCTGCATGCTCACAGGTAGTGAAGTGAGGTACCTTCCAATATTTTGCTTAACACAAATGTAGCAACAAACAATGTCCCAGAGTAGGTTTTGCCACCAAAAGAAGCGCTAAGACGAATTCCGATATCGAAGACCAACACTTACGACTATCTCATCACCCATAATAACACTTACCAAGAAGGAGAGTACGAATATGCAAGCCGATCGCCTCATTTGGAACCCACCGCAAGTTCCCTCATCAGTTGAATGAAGCTGCATTCCGAGTAATGGAAGTCCTCTCACCTACAAATTACCTCGTTCGCAACGCACAACTTTGTCCTCAACCAATCACCGTTCATCACAACAAGATGCGTCGGTACGGAGGGTCACCACCAGTCGGATGGAAAGCTGAAGTTCACGTACTAATAGGCGGCATGCACAGACACCGCCAGCTAGGAGATCACTGGAGACGGTACACTAAAAGACGAGCGGCTGTCATACGTATCTTGAGGTACATATCAAGAGGTGCTGGGTACCCTGAAGAAAATCTGAACATTCGAAATGAGAAGCAATCGTCTATACATTTATCAATGACAAGGATGTGGCACGAAAAGATCAACTTGTGAGCAAGGCGAAGCGTAAAGCATATGTACGAATAAGCATCCGCCAATCAACGAAAACTGAAATATAGACAAATAGAGACTATCTTACTGGTACTTTAAAACACAATTAACATGGTAAAAATGTGCTCAGTGGTTGATCACTCAACATACGACAGTAATTATTACCTAATCTTTGAAAAACCGATGTGCTGCTTGCTCTACCTAGTGAATGATGGTAAATTTGTGCACGGATGAAAGCGTTTTCGCAATATACTTGAAAACTAAATATAACAAATAGCATTGCCCTAATGGACCAGTAATTAAAAGGAAAACACGATGAGTGTTTGCACCCTTCAACGAAGTGTGCTGATTTGAACACAATTGGACAAGCATACCAAAGCTCCCGCAGCACATGAGTGGGTGAAGCGGTACGAAGGAGGGTTATAACACAGAAGGTCTAATCGGCTATATTCAAGGGCGGATGTGCCCATCCATAAGACGGCGACCATACCGCAACATGGACTTAACGGAAAACAATTGGTTTAAACCGCTCTTCACTTGCATCCGTCTGCTTAAATTCAAACTGGCAGTGAATGAATTCGAATTACATTATCCTAAGAAGACAATATGAAAGGGGCGTCATCCCCAATTGTTGGGGCTTTACGACAGGTTCATTGCATGATTGTGAAATTTGAGAGCCAAGAGTAGTTTTGTTTTTCAGGTAATCTGCATTTTGGTAGTCACGACTAAAGGGAACCATCCTTTAGATTTGCAGTCTTACGGTAGATGTGCCAAACCCCACCACTTCCACCTGAAAACTCCAGCAAAGATTCTAGTATGCAATTTATAAGTGAGCAAACGTTAATTTAGGAATTTTCATGCATGCCAAGAAGAGAAATAGACCTCGTTTGCCCTTAGTTCCCCTACGATTATCCAATACTTTCAAGCGTCACTTGACTCGCTGATATTCCTTTCATGGTAGAGATTTTTTAAAGTACAACACCAACCGGATACTGGCGTTGGACTGCCTATGCGACACAAGTTTGACCCTGTATCCAAAGAATAGCCGGTTTCTTTCAACGCTTTGTTACCTTCTAGAGACATACAGTATCGTCAAATGGAATGGCAGTCATCCAACACCGTATACAACAAGTGAGGACGTAGCCAAAACTGATAATTTGGACTTAGTTCCGCAGTCTACTAAGTTTGGCAACGTATTACAGGCGTTTCGTTAAAGATCTCACCAAGATAGTTGGCCCGCCGTATTATCTAACCAAAAACCCACCAATGAAGAGACTTAATTGGTAGAAAGCTCATAATGAAGTATTTGTAGAAGTAAAGTGAATGCTCTGCCTCGTACTGATTCTAGCATTACTCAACCCCCATCGAGAAACCCATCTTTTATTCTGGGCACTAAAACCAGTGATGTAGCCGAGGGCGCTGCAGTCCTAAAAGAGACAAAAAAAGGGAGGAAACGTGTCACTGCCTAAGCGATTACAACACTCAGCAAAAAAATAAGGCAGACAAGTGCAACAAAACAGGAGCTATTGGCTATCAACTGAATGGTTGGGTGTTTCAGACACTACCTGATATCGAGGAAACATATAGTGAGAACGGGAGCTCACCTGGTTACAAATAGTGTAGGTGATCAACCGTTCAGTTGCTCTTTAGTACGAAAACCTGCTGCAGCAAGACTTGATAGTGTAACACAGGAAAGAGGACTCGCATCATAATGCGAATCTCCTGTCTTGTACGCCAGTTGCGGTAAAAGTGGTAATGTTGTATTGCACGCCACATTCTCAAGCAAACCCACTAATCACTTCTGGAGGAATAGGCAGTGTACCGGTACCGATTCGATTCTGATGTACTAGAGCTTACTAACATGCTATAATAAACCGACAGTGGAGGTGATCACCCTGACCAGCAAGGTGACTGGATGGATATGGCAAGAGTGGTCAAAACTCTCTCTAGAGGATAAGATTAAATAATACGAAGAGGACGTCTAGTAGTCCAAGTGCCAAGTGGTTCCTGCCTCATTAGCATAAACAGTCTTTCAAGAGTCACAAGGACAAATGAATCATGTGCATGAAAAGATGTTAGATGCCTTGAGCAAGAAATAGCTGTAGCCTCACCAGACCCCAGACGTACCAGATTTTCGCCAAACCTATAGCACTTGCAGCATCTTTAAAAGGCAGCGCCTTACATAGACCG